TCACCGATAATTAACCTGTCCCCTTGACGGTAATGGTAAACTTGGTTAACAGTGATTTGGATAGCGGTGCAGGCATACCAACAACTTTAATCAAAATATGTATATAGAAACTCTCATCCCCAGAACCATGATGACAACTTAGTCAACAATAGAAACAGTTGTCAGCCAACAACTGGTAGCCGCAACGTCTCTCAGGCTCAACAACCCAGGTACAACTTTTCAACCCATCTCAACAGGTTGTGAAACTGTCATATTTTGTCTGACCCCACTTTTACGTTTGGTACTCCCTGTAGTTTACAACATTCTATCTATTTACTAGGGAGTTATTAAAGCTCCTCATTTAACATAGCAAACCCTATAGTGCAATATCATTTTGCAACGTATAAAACTTTCAATATGGCGATCTAACTAGCTTTTCTGAAATGGGCTTAGCAGTTTGAAGCCTGAGGGTCTGAGAGACAAGGGTTCTCAGAAAGGTTCCAGATCACTGCTGTCATCGTCTCTTTTGGATAACCCCTGACCTGACGACATTTGAGCGTACATAGTCGTACTTTTACTGATCTCTTGTGCCCGGTTTCTTCTCGCACGACTTCCTCATTGATTGTAACATCTGATATAAATTTAGGAATAGATTGAATATATAGGTATCTCAAGTTACTTCTTTGACATTGAAGATAATTCAGAGTGGTTATGATATCTTCCGAGGAATAAATAGCTAAGCGACTTTTACAGCTATGGGGCCACGTAGTTAATATAAAGAGAAAGCTAAAGTCAAAAATCTATCCATTTACCCTTTAGCCTATATCTAAGGAAGTTGGAAGAAAGGTCTAAATATTTCAGGTATTTGCAATATATTTAATGTTCATATATGAAGTTAACCTATATTACTAAATGTTATACCCTTAGGAATACGTTGTAATATCAGATTTGATGTCTTTGATATGTTTAAAAATTAGAACAGTCATAAATAGATACATAGTTCTCATCCATCTATATATATGCTGTAAGCTAAATCTAGTAACTGGCAGTTGAAAGTAGTAAGGCCGTAACTTAAGTGGTTGAGTTTTAAAACACTGATATCTACAAGTTTACTTGAAGAACTATGGCTAAAATTCGCTTAAAGAGGGGAACCATGTGCTCATATAAGAAGCTATTGACTTTGTTAAACTATTAAAGCTCGTACAAGAGCGCCTATCATTAACGGGCTTACTTTAAGATTTGCAAGGGTAAGGCTGCTATGTTCATTTAATGATTTTTTTTGGTCTGCTTCATAACCTCTTATATTGTAAAGTTAGGACTAGTCCTCGAATCGAAGCTAAAACCCTGGTTATTTAAGCAATTGCATTGCGATATAAAGAGGTCCAATATAATATGATGCGCCGGAGAGTCTCAGATTAGATTATCTACCTAAAGGCCCCTAAAATACTTATAGTAGGTTTTTAGCTGAATTTCGTATAGTCTTAGCTATAGTGTACCTCAGGCGTATTAGTTTTGGAACAGTTCAAAGTAACAGAATAGCTTATAGAAGCCAATCAAGGTGCCCATAGTATACTGAATACTAGAAAACCTGTCCAAGTTAGGTTCACGTAGTGATAAAACTTTAGGATTCAAAACAGTGATTTGCATGAATTAGACAAAAGTAATATCATGGTTTCCAGTTATGTGAGCGCAAACCACTATGTTACTGAGGCATTCTTAGGCTATGTAACTATTATGATAGCAATACTCCTTATATATCTAAGGTTCTATTTTCGAATGTTTCTCAAGGCCTTTTATACACTAAATTTCGGATCCAACTATGTGTCCTATCGCTAGCTGGGGCAATCCAGATGCAGCCCGGCTCGATGCGCGCGCTTTTTACAAAACATTTAATTTATACCTAAGAAGGGTCAACGAGTTTCGTCAATATGGGGAGATCCTTGACCCGCTGACACTAGAACCAATTCCCATCCACCCAGTTCCGCCTCGCTTTTTTCCTCACCTACCGCCAGAGAAGACGTAGATGAGGAGGAAGACCTACTTGAGATTGTTTTCCCACAGGCTTTCGCCAATGGGCGGCTTCTCCTTCTCTCTTTATACTTTGTAAAGAATATGCCTTTTTCTTTCCCTTAAACCACGCGTAGGTTTCTGCCATTAGGCTTTCCCTGGCGCAGGACTCTATAAGTTGTAAGTAGCTATAGATAGCATAACTATGCCGGCCGGCGTCGTGGGCACGGCCCAGTACCCCAGTAGGGTAGAACGTGGCCGAAAAATAGAATCATCATCACCATTACATCTAATATAAAGCTATATGCGAGTGTATTTGAGCTATAGGCCGCCCAACTTCTACTATAGCCTTGGATACTTATCTGAAAGTCCATAGGCTGCTAACTCGAGGCTCTAGGCATATTCTTGAAGGTAGGGATATCACGATGGCTGTGACGTTTCCAAATCCTTCTGAGATGGATCGAAGGTAGCAGCCAGGTTGTAGAAACTGGAGAACTGGGGTTCTCACTCAACAGTTCTGGATCACGATCAACCCGACTTCCCCGCTTGGGCCAGCGGGTACAGGCTACTCAACTGGGCTTCGACCAGCTCAAACTCCCATCTCCCCGCTTGGACCAGCTGGACCAGTGGGCACAAGCTACGCGCGGGTTTTTCCCAAGAAAGGCTTTTCCCCGCGCAGTGTACTTAGCAACCTCTTTGGCCGCCGTCGCCATGGGCACGACCCGAGTACCTAGATATGGTAGATAGTGGTCCAAACTATACATACATACATGCATACACTGCAGTCACCAGCTGTTGATTGTCAACTGTTTCTAATGCCGGTCTTCTAACGAGTGGCAAGCAGGTCCTATATACAACTAAGGTCTTCCAGTATCACTCATGCCATCACGAGCATCACCGATAATGGTGGAGTATCACACCATGATAATTTAGCTTTGGCGGTGATGATGATCTGAATGGTCTGTCCCTTTTGGCATCTCACGTCCTGCTTTTCTCGGCGGGGCCTCGTTCCCGTTGACTGTGATCTCAGACACGAGCTGTTGGGCTTCGAATATATATATACATATATATATACATATCTTAGGCTATACCTTTAGGCTATACCTTTACTTCTAATCAATCGTAGAGTGGAGGGGAAAACTTGTTTTCAACTTATAACATTTGTGACGATTCCACAACCCCTTGAGATGGGTTCGAACGTAGTAACCAGGTTGTAGAATCAGAGGGATTAGAGTTCTCACACAGTATTATATCTGGCTTACTGTGGTCACCAATTGTGGGCTAACAACTGTTTCTATTGCTGACTAAGGAAGTCCTCGTCGTAGTTCTGGAGATAGATGATTCTGTATACATATCTATGCTCAAGACCCATTGTATGCCTGCCCTGCCACTCAGATTATCATCGACCAAGTTCACGATCATTGTCGAGGGTAGAGGTCGGTTATCGGTGATTCTTGGCGTTGATAATCTTTCCCTTCCTGTGATTGGTCTGTCTCCAGGCCCCACTCAGTGCTTCCCTATTCGTCCTTCTTTCACTGTTGCGAGCGGCTGCTGGTCCACATCTGGGTCGTAATAATTATCAACAAGAGAATAGAACTGTCTGAAAAGTTTTATGACCCTTATAGTAGTAATACCTGTTGTATTTGTATGCTAAGTATTATAGATTATACAACATAATTATCTCTCCCTTTACCATTTTGTAGTGGCCTTAAGTGTAGTATTAACCTTAAGCTAGGTGTGACGATTCTTCAACCTTTCCAGAACGGCTCGAAAGCAGTAGCCTTGGCTGTAAAACGTGAGGGATAAGGGTCCTTTTACGCAGCAGAGGGAGTCACTTCCTGTAGTCACCAGTTGTTAGTCTTCATCTATTTGTATAGCTGACTGAGCAATCCTCATCCTAGTTCTAGCGAATGGGTAATTCTGTATGCATATTTATACTTAAAGCCGTTGGTATTTCTATCTTGTTACCATTACCCATCTAGGCCTTGATGATAGTTTTCTGTTATGTCTGTGCTTCTCCTTCTGACTGGTCCTCCTTTTGACCTCACTCGGACCTTCCCATTTGTCTCCTGGTAGGCTGTCCGCGGGGCAACTGCCAAACCCCACTACCAGGCGTAACATATAGGTGCGATTACGAGAACAGTGTAGCTACGAGTATGATAAAGCCTAAGCCCCTGGAGTGACGATTTAAACGTGCTTCATGAGATGCCTTCAAGAGGTACCAGGCCGCTGGACCTAGGGACGGGGTTCTCACATAGCTGGAATGATAGCTGCGGTCACCAGTTGAGTAGACAACTGTTTGTATTACCAACTGGAGAACTTCTCCAGCCAGATGGCCCTACCTGGAATCTATCCACATCTTATATACCTTTGTGGCTTCCTTTGCTCTCCCCTCCTCGATGGCATAGACTGCTGGAGGTCAATATCCTTGGGTGTTGAGGATCAATGCCTGTTGGCATTAAATATCGCTTCCTTGGGTTGGATTGGTCACGACTCCCTTTGCTCTTGTTGTGCAAAACCAACTGATGACCAATAGCGATTCTTAGTCTGCAGGGAAACACTTACTGTCACAAATAATTGGACTGACATGGACTGGAACCGGGCAAGCATAAAGGGACCAATGAAAGGCACGAGAAGAGTGAATCCAGAACAGCCAATGAAACAAAAGAAAGTATCGCAAACAGAAGAACGATGCAGGGTTCAAAAGGCGCCATAAAACGGAAGGATCCTGGGTATATAAGGTACAATCCTCGTGGTAAATGGGACGAACTTCTCAGTAAATAATACAAACAGTTGCGCATACCCAATCGGTGACCACAGTGCTCTTGAGTCTGGGTGAGAACCTTCTGTCTCAAATCCATAAGCATTGATTTGAATCCGAACTCATTCCAAGATGGCTAGCTGGATTGTCACACTTGGTATTCAATTTCTAATTTAATTGCACATTAACCACAAGAATCTATATGGCACAAGGTTTCGATGAGGGTTATGGTTGCTAATACTGTACTGCCTATTTATGCACGCAAAAATGTTTTAAATACAGGAGAGTCAGTGCAATCCTCCCAAGGGTATCCGATCTCTTTCAAGAACGTCTCCAACTCAGCAACCTCCTCGTTGGGGCAAAGAATGCCGGTCAAAACCTGACCGATGTCTCCACCGTAGTTCCGATACTGGAATAAGCTGATGTTATACTTGGGCCGCAGCGTCCGGAGAAACCGCTCAAGAGCACCAGGCCGTTCTGGGAAGCGGAACATATAGAGTCTTTCATTTGGAACATTCGATCGGCCACCAACCATATAACGAATATGGCTCTTGGCTAGCTCATCTCCGGACAAGTCCGTAACGTCCATAGTGCCGGACTCCTTGATACGATTGATGATGGTCTGGAGCTCATGTGCTCGTTGGCTTCCCGGTGCAGTAAGGGAGATGCCAACAAGCACATTCGCTTGGGTATCATCGAAATACCGATAGCTAAACTCGGTCACAGAGTGAGGCATTACACAATTGATGAGTTCAGCAAATGCTCCAGGCTTCTCTGGAATCTTTGCTGCTAACAATGCTTCCCTCCCCTCACCGATAGTGGCACGAGCCCCAACAAAGCCCAGACGATCGAAGTTCATGTTCGCACCAGACGTAATAGCCACAAGAGTTCTTGTCGGGTCACTGCAAGGGTTTGCGGCGGCCCATTTCTTCAGGCCGGCAATTGCCAAAGCACCGGCCGGTTCAATGATGGAACGGGTATCCTCAAACATGTCCTTGATAGCGGCACAAGCCTCGTCGGTAGTGACTCGAACCATCTCATCCACGACTTCTTGGCAAATACGGAAAGTCTCCTCGCCGACTGTCTTGACCGCAGCACCATCTGCAAACAGGCCGACATCCTTCAGGACAACCCGTTCTCCTTTCTCGAGCGACTGGGCCATGGCGTCTGCGTCATACGTTTCCACACCAATAATCTTGACGTGAGGAGCAATGCGCTTCACATAAACACCAACGCCGGCGATCAAACCACCGCCACCAACACAGCAGAAGATGGCCTCAAGTTTTTGAAGATTGGTCTGTGAGAGGATCTCCATGCCGATGGTGCCCTGACCTGCAATGACATAGGGATCGTCGAACGGGGGAATGTTGATCAAACCGTCTTGTTTTTCTCTCCGAGCACATTCTTCTTTGGCCTCGTCGAAGTCGGCGCCGTGGAGTACGACATGGCCGCCCATCCGAGCAACGTTCAAGTGCTTGATGCTTGGAGTGCCTTTAGGCATGACGATAGTGGCGGGGATTTTGAGCCTTCTCGCCGAATAGGCGACACCCTGGGCGTGATTTCCGGCACTGCAACAAATAACACCTCTCCAGGATTGTTTGGGGTCTAAATGTGCCATCTTATTATAGGCTCCACGCAACTTGAAGCTGAAAACCGGTTGCTCATCCTCGCGCTTGAGCAACACCTTGCGCTCAAGACGATTGCTCAGGTTCACTGCGTGGGTGAGAGGGGTCTCATGACAAACCTCTCTGACGCGAGGATACGAGGTGATAATCAGCCGTAGGTACTGTCATCCTGTTTAGTCTTATATTGGCGGTCATTGGTATAGAAAAGGTGGAAACAGACAAGCAACCAGGGTACAAAACAAAAAAGCACACAATAATAAATAAACAAGCACGAGGGTCGTAGAGATCACGACTCTGGGGGACTCGGAAAACTCACATCAGGGTTACCATTTGGCAAGAGAAACTCTTCAGGGACTATCTTCTTCATCTTTGCAATCCTGTCTTCGGAGGGAGGAGACGGCCTAGCACTATACTCGGTGAGGGCGAGACTGCTTAGTGACGGGGTCCTGAGGAGAGGTGTGTTGCTTTGCGAAGGAGTTTGAGACTGTGAGGCACCATTCGCCCGAGAGGTCTCAAAGGTCTCCGGTGTGTTCATGACGTTCCTGGTATGTATATAGGATTCATCGATCAATATTGGCGATTCTGGTGTGCCAGAGAGGTCGACACAAGCATGCTCCGTTCTCGGCCTTCTGTTTCATCGAATTCTCCACACGAAATCTCGGCGGGTCCCTGTGAGGTGCCCCACTGCGGGGTACCGTGGCAAATTTCCAACGATCAAAACAAGCGTCTGTGTATAAGTCCGTAACAAGCCTAGAAGTTGGGCCGGTCCCGATCACCTGGATCAGGATGCTGCTGGTGATGATGAAGGCTAACCCTACGCAGGGGCGCGAGTAGGTTGCACAATGCGCGCTACAGGTCTTTATATCAGTTTCCCTACAGGTGCGCTATTATGTCCTCTCATCCACTCTGAGCAACAGGATACCTATAGCTTTGTCCTGTATTTGGACACCTATCCAACTAGGACGTCCTTCAACGCACTCTCTCAGGGTTGAGAATTCTACAAGACCAAAAGGTTGCTCGGGAGCACCGATCCATTAGCACATCCCTCCCTTGCTGTATAGTTGAGTTGAACCCAGGCGCATTAAGCTCCATTATACTTGTACTTCCTGGTTTATGGCATCGATGCACCAAAAAGCAACCCAGCAATGGATGGAAAGGTCTGTAAGATTAGATAACAAGAGTTCCCAAATACCGTAAAAGATTAAGTAATTTTACAAGCATTCTGATGCTGGCGTCATAGGCACAGATCGGTGCCCGCTTCGCAAATCCCGCCCGTTCGGCAGTCGGTGCCGCGTCATGCGAGCATCTTGCCGCGCCACTGGAACTTAAACCGCTTCAACTTCTCCAGACATCCTTGCCTCTAACGCCATCCAACACGTCCTCTTCGTTAGGTCGAGAAGACTCCCAATTGCCCAGTATGGCCGACGACCTTCCTCCCAACCGCCCGCTTCCGTCGTCGTTCGACGGCGATGAGTAGGCCAGCCCATGCCCATGGTTTCGAGTTTTGTTAGTCTGATGCTGCGACACCAGAAGCTGACTTGGACCCCCCGTAGTGACTTTTACAATGAGACGTTCCTAAAGAAAATTACCCGTCGGTCGCTGGAGGAGCCACTGGTTCCTATCGGCTGTGCATTGACCGTTGCAGCCTTCATCAATGCGTACCGTGCCATGCGCCGTGGAGACCATCACCAAGTGCAACGGATGTTCCGTGCTCGTGTGGCAGCTCAGGGATTTACTGTGTTGGCCATCATCGGTGGAGGCATTTATTACGCCGATGAACGTGCCAAGCACCGGGAGTTGTGGAAGGTCAAGCGGATGCAAGAAGAAGAGGAGAAGCGGCAGAGATGGATTAAAGAACTCGAGGCTCGCGACGCAGAAGAAAAAGCGCTTCGGGAGTTGATGGAGAAGAGGAGGAAGCGTGCTGCGGACAAGGAAGTCCATGAGACGGGCATTGAGACTGTTGCCATACAGGCGAGGGCCGCCCTCAAGTCAGCAAAGGAAGGCAAGGCTGTCAAGACCGAGGACACAGCAGCTCAACAAGTTATGGAGCATCAGGACCAGCCTGCAGAGTCGAAAAGTACGAGCAGTTGGTCTTGGGGATCTCTTGGAGGGTGGTTTGGTGGATCAAAATCAGCCTCGGCTAAGAATTCGGGCAGTGATAAAGAAGCCTGAAGGGTCCGCCAGCAGAGATCAATGCTGCCAAAAAATTGTACACAGTGTGCTGAGGTGATATGTAAGTATATGCGGGTTACATGGTCACGCCGCTTCCTGAATTGTATATTGTTAATGACGTATGGTTGGCTTTCGGCGTTTAAGAGCTAAAAATTTTCTTCGCGTTCAAGGAGTCCCAATCCTCCTCTGGTTTAACCATTTCATCGTTGATACAGTTTATGGTATCCTTCCTCGAACCAACTCATCCCATACTCCCGCCGCTTCTATGTCCTCCTAATAACCCGGCCATTTCCAACAAGACGCGGTCAGCTTCAATATCTCCTTTACCAAGATTTACCCTTCGCCTTGCCTCTGCTTCTCTGGCCTCCCACGCCCATCGTTCGGCTTGGATTTTGGCCTCCTCGTCCCCGCCGCAGCCCCAAACCTCGACATTTGTTATCTCAAACCACTCCTGGAAATCGAACCTTCTGGCTACGCTCGCTCGGAATGCTCCACCCCCCGATGTGAATTGGTGGGTAAAACAGCCGAACTCAAAACTGTCGTCCAAGGCCAAGGAGATAGGGCCCAGCGGGATCGTTCCTGCCCGGCGAGAAGCTTGTGTCTGTTTTGGCGGAGGGCAACCGAATGAAATTCCGCCGAAGGAGTATGCTGTTGATGGCTTAGCAAACCATGCATAATCTCTGCTCAAAGTCGATGGGCGGAAGACGTCGTGGATTGGACTGAGCTGGAATAATAACGTGTCCTCGTTGCCAAAGCATTCTCGGTATGTATGTTTCCATGGCTGAGTCAGATACACACCAAAGATCAACGTTTCATCCTTATGGTTGCTTCCACATGGAAAGCGCATCGAGGGGAGGGAAGCGAGGAATGCTGACGATGGCTTTGTGCCTGTTTGGATTTCTTGATCCGAAATACGAGTCCCGCTTACAAGGAAGATGGTAGGGGCTCGCCAGTTGAAAACCTTTGTTTCAAAGCTGCCCATGCTAAACCCGTCTTCATCACCAGAATATAAAAGACGGACTTTCCGGAAGATAGATGAGCCGGGTATGAAGAAAGATATCTGCGAGAGAAGGATTGGATTCATGATAGACCCGGACTCGTTTAACAGTGGTTGAACCAGCTTGGGACCCAACTGGTCATTCTTGTGCTTCGTAAAGTCCAGGTTCTTAGAGAACAGAAAATGCTCGAAGAGGGCATTCAGGCCATTGAAGAGAAAGGGCATTGATGCGGGAATGATAGTGTTGAACCGAGAAAAACGAACGCCAGGAGAATGTCCCATGGTCATGAAGGCAGCAAGCACAGAATTGGCTGTCAACCTTAGTGTTTGCAGGGTGTCGCCCGAGAGTTGTTGAGAGTAAGACGACAAACTTTCCTGCTCGCCCAATGGCGCGGTCAAGAGAAGCAGCATAAGCAGTCTTCTCCAGCTGTCTGCCGGAATCACAGCATCTTCAACGGGAGGTCGGCTGCCATGTCGGAAGGCACTTATGGAGTCTAGTGAATTGAAGGCAGCAAGAACCAAGTCATCATCACCGTCATCGTCATGGTCTGGCCCAGAAGCCTCATCGTCCCCGGGTTGGTCAACGGCGAACCCATGTTGCAACTCCTCGAAAGCTTCCTGACCACTACTGTTATCCTTGGCTGACCGATGTGGTACCAGTTTCGCTGTGTCGCTGCCCGATTGTTCTCCGTGGATGTTGGATAGTTTGCGGTCATAAACAGCAAGACTCTTGAACAGCAGCTTTCGGCGATCCACCGAACCTCCGGCGAGAACTCGCCGGTACCTCTCCGTTAGTATGGTAACTACCATGATCATCTCGTGGAGCCCGAGGATCGCAGGCGCATCCTCCAAGAACGGGAACGAGCCAATGTAGGTCATCATCTGAAAAAGCACCGGCGCCACTTCAAGGACATCGGGTATCTCCAAGAAACGTGCCACAGTGTCTTCTTTAAGATAACGAACTTGTCCTTGGGAATCGGCAAGGGTGTCAAACACATCATTCAGTGAATATAATTCGAGTGGAGTGAAACATTTGTGAGAGAACTTTTTTGCCTGAAAACGGCAGGTCAACCGAAAAAGCTCATGTATGGGAGACTCCTGGTTCCTGACGGGGTCCTCACCAGCTTCTGAGTGAGTTCCTCATGTGAGGGTGGGGGTTTAGTTTCGTCTGAATGAGTTTGCCCCATGGTTGGAGGGCCGGTCAAGTGGCATTTGATGGAAAGCTATGTATTCTCATCCAAATCGTGTTTTCTGATATGGATCATTGTGCAGCTGGAATTGGTTGGCAATTATGTGTATCCTGCTTGCTGTGGATGCAGCTTCGCAAACTGTCAAGGTGATGTTGGACGAGGTTCCGAGAACCAAAGGGCTGCCCAGTCAGGAGAACCAGGTTCAACATTGCTTTGACACGTTAGGGTGGTTTGAAACTGAATGGAAGTGGCAACCCCCAAAGACACTTAGTCAGCATGAATCCTCCTGCAACATACCTCTACACTACAACCATGTGTATTAACAAAAACCCGAACTTGTGCTAAGAGACGAGCACACAGGTTCTAACCCATGCAACTCTTTTCCTACCTAGCCACTCTGCAAGTTCACTTGCGTAGGTTTTAAGCAATTGAAGAATGCGAGTTAGATTCCTATATCGCTTTATGCCGTTATATATATTGCCCTACATGTGATAAAAACATACAAGATGACAATTTCATGAGGCAAGCCATCTTGTCGAGGTATCCAGCTAACCACAAATATCACTGCTCCTGTACTGGCTAGGCGATTAAGTGCTGGTTGCAATCATGTCTGTTTGGTGGCAGCCAACGATTTGCCCAGTTCGCCAAATCTATCCCAAATGGTTGGGTTCTGGACCAGAATGCGGGGTACCGAAGATTGCCATTGCCGCTCGAATGCGTCACCGTTAACCGGCATTGAAGCTTTCTTCGTTCCTAGCACCCTTCCGCTGTGGGGTGACTGTGTCACCTGTTGTTGGTCCAGCCCAGCCTCAGATGCCCGACAACCGTGCCATGTGCCTGGGCTTTGTTCTGTGCCCAATGCCCAATATATATATAGTGTAAATGAACCATCCCCCTTCAGCATATCCAACGCAAACGCCTCCTGAACCAACATCATTTGTGTGACCAGGCCGTTCCTCTTTTGCTGCACCCTTTCACTTTAATCCAATAAGTTAGCACTGTGCAAGGACTCCATCATGGCTGATGAGAACACACCCTCAATTGATAAAACCCCTATTTCGCACGTTCGATCGAACCCGGACAGAAGAAAGTCTCTTGAGTTCTTTTTGTCCCATCGTCCCGACCGCCAAGAGCTCGTTGACAGTAAGCGTTTACCCCGTTTCTCTCTACTGTATACCGTTGAGGTCAGAAAGGGCATAGTTAAACTGACGATTTTGATCTTGTCTGGCCGAAGGAAACATACTTCCTGCGTCTTCAGTGGCGCCCAGCATCATAGCGCAACAGAAAGAGGTGAGCACGGTTTGGTATTTCACATATGTCACCGAATGCTACCTAGTTTCCTTCTGTTGGCCGAAGTCAAGTAAGATGGTGGCTGACATTTTTCACTTAGCTCGAAAAGAGCATGCGCCGTGACTCTCTCAATGACAAACTTGCCAATAGACCTTCCCCAGAAGCCCTAATCAAAGGAGGCGTGCTTCATGAGGATCCCCGTTTGCCCGCTGATAAGTGAGGCGACTGCGCCGGGCAAGGGTATGCCAGGCGTGCCAAGTGTTTTCTGGTACAAGCTATACTTTTGCTACTGTATGAAATCCGATAGCGCACTAACTAAATCGTTACTGTTGCGTTGTTCACCCTGGCCTTCCATTCTTCCCTCATTTTGTCCCGCTGTTTCTGCTGGCAGGGATTTTGCTCGTCCAGTATTCTTTTGTCTTGGTTGGAATACTGGCTAATTTGTGGCATGGACGATGATGGTTGGGTATGGCTGGCAAACGACATTATAGCCAGGGACGTGCTGAGGCCTATATTACATTGGTTTTCCTGTGTTCAGAGTTACCTCTCGGAGTTGTCGGGTTTTTAAAGACCTTTACCTTGACAATTTCTACAACTTTAAGGCATGTTGGAAGACTGTATTACGCTCCTCTACTGAACCTGGCCCAAAGACAGCATTTACAATCACCAATCCTATTCTAACTATCGATAATGCTTGAAGTCGCAACCGCTTTTGAACAGTATGGCGTGAGTCTGTGCTATACATACCTTAATCCTTTTCCCATTGCACCGATTCATGTGCAAATGTTGGCTGTAATGGACCCAAACACCAGAGCCCGGTAACTACCCAAGCCTATGAAGCACAATGTCCCCAATCCCTTCAAGTAAAATGCCGTGAAGCCCCCAATCTTTTCACTCGGCCATGAAGAAACTTGTTCACTATCCTACCCGGCCTGATCCGCTATGTAAAGGAATTGGAACCGATGTTCCATATTTATCGCAACTCCCGACCGCCAATTGCAAATTTACTTGCCGTTACTTCCTAGTGCTCGAGGCAACGTCGTCCGGGCCATATGATGAAGCTCTGGGCTCACCCAGGAGAGAAGCCCTAGGCCGGTTGTGGTTAATCACGATATTCCTCTTCCTCGAGATCACAGTCACACAATGTTCATCTGGGCTCATCTGTTAGCAGGACGCTTCTATTCGGCCATTTTAGTGCGTTAACTACATACCTGCCTTCCCGTCGCGGAAAATCATGATGGCCGCGTCCTGGGAGGAAGATCCTGAAGAGGACATCGTAGTTTGGGAAGAAATGGAATTGAAGGTGAACGAAGAGGAGATGGTGCTGGTGCAAGACAGTTTGGATATTGAGGGATGGGGCGGCTTGCTCCTGTCGAAAGCAGTGGGATACCGCTATTAATTAAGGCCCTCTTAGCACAACGGTAGCCGGTAGAAGGTAGCTGGTAGATTGAATGGCTGTATCGCAGAGATACTTACACTTTGTCTTAGGGGTAGCTGGGTGTGTTGTATGGCGAGCGGTGTTCACTATAGTCACTCTGCTTGCTCAATATGATGCGCTAGGATGAGAGAGGGAGGGAGCGCGAGAAAGATGTCATGGAGCATGCCCTACTTTATAGCCTACCTTTGAAGTGTGATGATAATAATGAGGCAGAGATTGATATGTAGTAGAGCAACTGACCTTGAGGCGTGGTCTTGGTGAGGCTCACCGTCTAAATCAAGGCATACCGTAAGGCCGTTGCTGGCAAAAGAAAGGCTTGACTGTCTTGTATCTCATTTCTCCGTGTACAAACGGGGCTGTCAAGTGGAGACAAGCAAGCAGATAAGTCAGGCTACTCTCGGTGAAGGGTTCATCCCGCATTTTTTTTTTTGATACAGACACTCGGTCAGCATGTGGAAAGTCTTGAATGACCTGAATTGCAGGCAAACAAATAAAACGAGCTCAGGATGGAATTAAGGGTATCATGGCTGACATTTGAGCCCCGAGGCCTGAGGGACGTTGGAAGTTATAAAGTCGTGAACACCACAAACAAGTGTTGCAAGATTATGGAGGATCCTGAGCGTCCATTGTGCCTGTGCCTGAGTCAGGCTTCAACTCCAAAAGGTGCCTAAGCTGGTGCCAAATAAGGAAGTTTGATGGCGGTAGACTACATAATGATGCGAGCAGCTAGTTTCACAGATCACGTATAGTGTGGCCGCCCCCCATAAGTCAGCCGTGGCTTTCCTAAAGGCTTCCTAGGACAAATGGATAAGAAGCCACACAAGCTTGCCCAACAGGCGCACCAAGGAGGCTGTGAAGAGTTCCTTGGGTGCTTCAAGGTTGTCTGTATATTGCCACTCCTGCATGGTTTGCCCAAGGCAACTAGATGTGAACCGGGGCAGCTTGCAAGGCCACCTACTTCTTGGAAGAAGCCCCGGGAATGATGCAGTAAGCGGTCACCTCCCAGGAGCTTTGGTCTTTTCGGAAGATTTGCGCTAAGTTACAAGTCCTACAGCCAGAAACGATCACCTGAACTTTTCATCAAGTGTGAAGCACCCATTTATCAATGTTGCTGTCGATAATTGATTTTACATATGTCCGTACCTGCATGATCTGTGAGAGTACAGCATCGGGTATGCAGGTGGCTGCATACGTTGTGTCAATGAGGTACTGCACGGGAGTAGCTCGTCAGGGATCTGGATCATCCGATAGAAAGATTCAATGGAGCCTGAGGGTTTGCTAGGCAGACATTGGACGTAAGGTGGCGTTCTTGGCCCCGCCAAGACCGGCTCACAACCCCAGCCCGGACCCCTGTGTGTTGGCACCAATCGATCGGAGCGGATTGGCACTGTTTGAGTGGTTCCCTGTCGTTAAGGCCGCTTGATGCTGACATGTCAACTTGCACGTAGCCATCTTGGCATATGGTTCACCGGCATCTAACCACTCAGCCCTTTCCCAAAACACTAACTAGACCAGACTAATATTTGGCTGTTTTTGGAACCTCTTTGATAACGCGAGTTCGCCATTTGGATTCTCAGCTGATTTTCTAGTTGACACCATGAGGAATATCTTTCTTTCTTTCTCATTTCTGGCCTCGGCAGCTGTTGGCGTGCTGGCCTCCGAAGACTTGAAAATTGATGTCACACTCCCAATCGAATGCGATCGTAAGACACAGAAGGGCGATGTAATCAATGTCCACTACAAAGGGACCCTGAAGTCCAATGGCCAGAAGTTCGACTCCAGTTAGTGCCCCGTACCGGTTTAACCAAAGGTTCACTAACTTCCTAACTCCTCTTATGAAGGCTATGACCGTGGTGTTCCCTTTAGCTTTAAGCTTGGTGCTGGGATGGTCATCAAAGGGTAAAGCCATCGTAAAGACAGCCCACTTTCCGAATGCGAGTCACCACTAACGTTCTATATAGATGGGATGAAGGCTTGCTTGACATGTGCATTGGTGAGAAGCGGACATTGACCATTGGTCCAAGTTATGGCTATGGGCAGCGCGCTGTTGGTCCCATCCCTGCAGGCTCTACCTTGGGTATGTCGCTCGCAATCATGGTTTCTATCCATCCACCTCTTGTGCAATCATATTTGACCTAACAATGTGCTTCTAAACCCAGTTTTTGAGACCGAACTCATCGGTATTGAAGGAGTGCCGAAGTCTGCAGACACCAGTGAGGAACACAAGGAGCTTTGAGTATATATCACGACGCTGTTAAATACCAGGCAATGTCTTGCACAAATAACTTGCAGTTGATCCCAAATTCACTGGGAAGCAGTCAGATATGTGCTTGCCTATTGGTCTTGACATTGTTGCGACACCCTGAGTTTCCTCTTCCACTCTCTCCTACTTTTATCTCAAGTATACAAAATTTACCAGCGAAACCTTAGGTTGCCTAGATAACGAAGTCCGGGCAAGTTTTAGGATTACTTCATGGCCATTGTGATGGGGTCAGGGGCATCATAAAGTGTAATGTGTACTTGGAAATTCTTGTTGTTCAAACGTAGAGTTACCAGGGATGACCTCGTTATCGGGTCCAGGATTTTCGAGGAGGGCTCCCTCGAAAAACCAGGAACTTCAGAGAAAATCAGGTGAACTTAATTTCTACATCGGAATTCTAACGTATCAGTTTTGAACACAGCATCCAAGCGGACGGCTGGTAGAATTGGGGCCTTGCATATGCAAAATAAGCATCCCATGTGCTGGCTCTCCTTGTTACTGATCTATGGTGCCCGAGCTTCCCGAACTTCTCGACATGGTTTTTCGAGAGACCGTGAAAAAAGCCTTTTTAACTCCCCTACTTTATAGGTCAGCCTGAGCTGAAGCTGAAGGTTGACCTATATTTATTCCGTATCATAAGTGCCATGGCCTGGAGCGAGATGCCTGACTGCCCCCAAAGCATGCGTTGTTCCTCTGCAGATTAACGCACTCACCGGACGTGCCGCCTTCGGTACCTTTTTTCTCCTATCCAGGTATTTTCTACTGGCCCCTCTAAACAGCTGAATGCGCCCTTGTTATGTATCAAATATCACTGGACTGTCTGGCAGTATGAGGTCGTTTTAGCGCATGGCTGCGTCGGCTCAGCGTTGGGGTGGCTCACGATTCTTACAGCTTTTGTGGAGCATGGCTTACCACATCCAAAGTGCTTCCTTGTGCTGGCATGTCATGTGGTCGCCATCAACGGCTGCCGGTCGCGCTAGATTGTGCAGCGCGGCTTCCTGGGAACGAATTGGAGCAAGAAGAGGAATATTGTCGATTTTCGGATTCGGAGGAGTCCCAGCACCCTCCGAGTTCTCGCCTATGGAGAAGAGGAACAAGAGCATGGCACCTGAAGTTGGAGAGACTTATCTTCTCGGAGCCCTTGGGTCAAGTAGTGAGAGACATGGTGTCACTTTTCTGAACCTCAGGGCTGCTCTTGTCATTAAAGGCATCGTAGTGTATATCTCGATATACTTCGAATTTGACAACGCACTGTATGACTGTGCAGAATAGCTACCAGCGTAGGTAATATGCAATCAGGGCACCGAAGGAATCAACATTCAGACAAGACCGAAGATGCCAGTCACAGTCGAATAGATGTAAGCAGGTCTTGACATTTATGGACGACGTTCTTCAAATTTGGCTGTATAGGTATTGTATATAGTAGCACCATGCATTCAGCTCCTAAACATCCGGCGAGACGACTATGAAAGCGGACCATTGTGCCCAAAACATAACCTTTTCTGCTTTGGATCAGGCGGTGCGGGAGGTCTTCCTCTCTTTTTAACCTTTCCCTTCTTCGTATCTGGAATGACAGCTGCACGCTGTGGCTGGGATACTGCGGCGACTTGTTGGACGGTCTCACGTATAGCCTGCCTTGATAGACACAGGTCAATATGCTCGTTAAACTGTCTCTCATCTGCCGGCTGAGACCTGGAGCAGACAGGACATTCCCACCGCTCCTCCTCCACTAAGGTAGAATTATCCTTAGGATTGGGCACAATTTCCTTCCCATGCTTATGATGTGAAAGGCCAGATGAGGTATCAGGATTATGAAGGACATTGTGCTTGTCCCCATCTGCCTCATCATTGCTACCGTTCTTCTCGGTCATTGAGTTGTTAACTCCAAGAGACGTCGAGTGTTCAGGTAGGTGGGCTTTGAAACCGAAGAAGGCCAGTGTGTCGGGCCGTTTCATGCTAACCAGGTGAGTACATCTGAGACCCATCAGGCGCAATTTCAAGCCAGGTATTTCTCGCTCAAGCTTCTCTAGCATTGGCAGCGCATAGGTGTACAAATCGTCCGCAAGATACACGGCCTTGGGCGTGACAACTTGGCGTGTCAAAACCTCGAATGTATGCAGCTTGACTTTCAGGCAGAGAGTGCGACCTTTGCACTCTGCCTTCCGTAAGTCGGATTCTAATTCTTCTGCTGTCTGTCTGAGCTTTGCGCGCAGCTGAGCGGGGTCATCCATTTCACGGAACGTGCTTTCAGTGCCAACACTTTTACGCTCATGCTCCTCGGCAGGTTGAATATGTGTTCGTCCCAGGCCAAGGTAACAGTGCAGGAGAAACTCGTACGTTTTTTGCCCGAAGAGCTTCTCGATGTACTGCCTCTGTAAGTAGATATCACCGCAGGTCTTAATGCCAACGGCCGATAGTTCACGCTCAAGGACACGTCCAATGCCATTCACTTTTCGACAAGGGAGATCCTTCATGAAATTCATAATGGCTTCTCGTTCCCTCGGGAGAACAAACTGCCCGTTCGGCTTGTTGATGTTGGAGCAAATTTTGGCCAACCTGGCATTCGCAGCAATGCCCGCAGAAACGGTTATTTTCGTCTTCTCATGGATTTCTTTCCTCATTTGACTAACGGCATCGGCTGGATCCATATTATATCGAGCGCAGTAGTCGGTAATGTTGAGATAGGCTTCGTCAATGCTCGCGCTTTCGAAGCGCGGGTCATACTCGGCCAAAATCTTGCGCACTTCAGCTGCTTTTGCGTTGTACTTGTCGAAATCGAGAGGAATGATGATTAGCTTGGGGCATAGCTTTTTGGCCACAAAAGCTGCCATGCCACTGCGGCAACCAAACTGTCGGGCCACATAGTTGCAGGTGGTCAAGACAGCTCCTCCGACGGCAAAAGGAAGATCCTTCAGCTCCGGGCGATCCAGGAGTTCTACGGAAGCATAAAATGCATCGCAGTCGACATGCACAATGTGTTGTGTTAAATCGCGCGATTGCTCAAGTTGAGCCAAAAGGTTATCGGCGGCTCGGAGTTCACGAGAGAGGTCTTGGGTCTCTAGATGTCGCTTCTTGGAGACGAGGGCCTCGATTTTCGCTGTAAGTTCTTTGTCCCTGACTTCCTCTCGAGTGAAGAACTTCGACCCTTTGGAAGCATTATAGATGATTTCAGACACCTGCCAGTGTGGTCAGGAACTGCTATAGGCCAACATGAGGAGACAGCCGCATGTTGCGAGGAAAAACTACATACCTTAGCCTGATCAACTCTCTCCTGCCCTGCTTTCGTCAGAGATGGGCCGAGCAGGGAGTATTTGAGAGAGGCATGCTCATCTGCCGTTTGGACTGGAGCCTCGTTGCCATTGGCAGATGGTTCAGTCGCAGCTGGTTCTTGAACACCCGGTTCCATTTTGCCAGAGCCATGAGCTCAAAAACCCCGACTTATGATGCCAGTTCTGACTTGAGGTTTAAATGCTCCATGGAAAAAAGTTCATTCTGACATTAGGGACTCGACTGCCTAGTTTAACAGGCTGACAAGACGAATATTGATCATGGTAACACCCAATCGGACGTAAGACGGAGCCCGGGACCCCCGCCTGCTCCGTTTTGTTGCTCGAGGAACAGGCACAGCGACCGATCAGTGACGCGGCGTGTCGCGTCCCAGCTTGCACGTCCGCGTCGCCAGATCACGGGAGGCCAAGAACCACCAGCTTACCAACCAGCTATCCGCGCGTCTTGCGAGAGGATGTATGGCTTATTATGTAATCAAAGGTGACCCACACCACAGAGGCATGGGAGTACGAAAACAGTGGGGCACTACATTAGCAACTCGCGTCGTATACGCGCCACATTCGCGACAGGTTCTCTCGTCCCTTACCTCAGTCCCGTTCCCTCTCTAAGGTAATGCACCCAGGCACTCTGTATTGCTCTAAACTTTACCATTTTGACATTCCATACTCCATATCCCGATTCTACTCCGCAGTCCACTTTTAGGACTTGTAAAACCTCCTGCGGCACGACGCGAACGCTTGTGCAGTCATCAATAGGTCGTCTTACCTACGCCCTCCGCGAAGTACGGCCTAACACCCAGGACACTATTAGCGACCTCTGACAGCGGCAATTAACATTCAATATCATCATGCTGCTCAAACGTAAAAGATCCGAGTCTGAGTTTTCGTTTAGTCCCGTCTTTTCATCTTCACATTCCGTCAACGACGGCTTCAACTTTAATGCCATGTCCGCAATGGACACCGCCCGACGAGGCTTCTTCTCTCCACGACTGTCGGTCCCATCGCATCTTCCCAGCCGTACTTTGAAACGCTTTCGCGACAATCGTCCTCCAGAGGAAGAGATTCATCGTGAGTTCGTTCTGATGCTTGCGTTGAATCAATGCGAATGCTTACCAGCGCCGCGATTTCCTCAGAACGTACTCTCCACCTCCTCTACTCGGCGCAACACCGTCCACAGGAACTGAACAGCCAATTGAGCCAGTCTGCTGACGTGACAAACACCATGCCATCACCTAAGCCCAATCGCGGTAGTGCCCAGCAGCGGTCTCTCCACAGCTTTTGGAACCTGCCAACGCGCTGCGCGCCTTTGACAAAGTCCCCTGCATCATCTCCTTCATCGTCTACAGCCTCATTGTCAACAACAACACTTCTTCAGAGCGCACCAACGCAATGTGAAGATTGCGGCGCTTCGCTCTGTGGGATTGATGATATGAGCATAGAGGGATTCTCTTGCGCTGCGGAAGGGCAGATATGCGTGACATGTGGCAAAGCTGTTTGCTTCAGCTGCTCTATTAGCAACCTCGGTGAGCACAGGCGTTGCTTGGCTTGTGCAAGGTAGGCTGGAAAGCGACCTGGTGAGGTGCGGTCATGGTGGAGCGGCCTGGATGCAAGGGCAATTTACATGGGCTTTGAGGTGGGTTTGCAGATGCGTATATCCCAAGGCGTTTGGGGAGTTACGGTTGTCTCATTCTGGCTAAGGACATCTGTCAATAAGTTGAAATGTTCATTTATATTGGTGATAGGACGCTCAAGAGTTTCCTCCAGTCAGGCTTCATTATTGGAGAGAATAGGCACAACGGTCGCGCTCGTTGCGAGCCTGTGATAGCCAGTGGATCAAGTCTCCACACTATGGGAACGTTGGTACAGGAATGAAGCGTTAGGGCCCCCAGAGACAACAGTATGTACTAAAGACACTCAGTTTTCCACCATTCCGTCATGGCGTCATTAGTATCGCGGCAAATGCTTTTTCCGGGCCAGTTCTCCTTTACCAAGCACACAAGCGTGTGGGATCCAAGACAGTCAATGTTCGGCCTCGAGCCGCTCATGGAGTGCATTTCCCTTACACATGCAGAAGGGCCTGGAACCCCGGTGCGGGGCAGCAACGATGCTTCGGGAAGCTGCTGCACAGAGCGCAACCCCGCCCCAACTCATATCCCTCTGTTTGGAAGATAAGCCGATCTAACGCCTGCCTACCATTCATGAACAATTCAGCCTTGTAACCACACGTTGCTCCTCATACTTACCTTGCCTCATAGGATCCTTTTCTGCCTTGTACACTCTTCGAACACAATACTGAAAAGGCTCAAGTCGTATACTCTTCTGAACATCATGACCACGCGAGAGGCAAGCCATGCGGGATCCTGGTACGAGGACGATCCGAGTGTCTTATCCTCGCAGCTCGACGAATTCCTTGGGCGTGTGCCAGCTTCGTTGAATGACAGCGCGCTCCCGATTCCTGGAGCCAGGGTCATTATTGCTCCGTAAGTCGATAGCTGTTTTCCATTTGATCGCGGTTTTCCCACTGCAGGACACGATCCTGATGCGACGCTCAATAGCCATGCCGGGTACTCCTACTCTGGGCCTTGTGCGGCCTGGGCGTACAAAACCCTCGATCTCAGCAATGCGAAACGGGTCTTTATCCTCGGGCCATCGCATACGTATTACTTGCGTGGATGTGCCCTTACAACTTTTGACAAGTATGAGACCCCCTTTGGGGATTTAATTGTGGACAAAGCCACAACGGCCGAGCTGAAGCGGACTGGTCGCTTCAGCGACATGCCTGCTCGCCGGGACGTTGACGAGCATTCTCTCGAGATGCACATCCCCTACCTGTGGAAGAGGCTAGAGCAGACGTTTGGAACTGACAGCGCTAAATACCCGCCCATCATCCCTATACTCGTTGGCGATGGCACCGAGGAGCAGGAACAAGCATACGGTCAACTTCTGGCGCAATACTTGAAGGACCCCACAACTGCTTGGATCATTTCTTCCGACTTTTGCCACTGGGGTTCACGATTTTCGTACCGCCCAGTTTTTGATAATGGCAAAATTAGAAATCTCGACGCAGATCGAAAAGACAAACATCTGGAGCTTCGACCAGGCTGGGAGCAGCTGGTTGACAATCCAGATAACATGAAGATCCATGAGGTCATTGAGATGCTGGATAAGATGGCTATGAATGCCGTTGAATCGGGTGCACACCACAAGTTTTATCATGTCATCCAGCAGACTCAAAACACTGTTTGTGGAAGACATCCCATTGGGGTGATCATGGCCGCGTTAGAGGTATTGACAAAGGACCAGAGACCCGAGGATGGAAGAGGCAAGTTAAAGTTTGTGCAATACCAGCGGAGCAACTTGGTCGAAAAAGTTTGGGACTTCAGTGTAAGCTACGCGTCGGCCTATGCCATCGTTTAAGGAGCATAGTTAGTGATACTATATATAGGTAGTCGGAGAGCCACCTAAACGAGCACAGGGTTGTAGTCGTATATGGGAATGATCGTAAGCAGGAGCCATGAGGGCATGATCTGGCAGGATGTATATGAAGGGGGGTTTGAAGACAGTTTCGTTATCCTTGAACAGCTAGGAAGGCTATTTCTTCGTTATGACTACTTTATCCGAATTTTGATATCCAGGCACCAATAAAATTCTGGTCTTAACTTGCCTTCGCCGTGGCTTAGCACTAGGTATTGCGTGTCTTTATCTTTGCTTTCTTAAGTGGTGCTGTCAAGTATTGCTATCCTGTCTCCAAGCATGCATAATAGGCGGGCTGGCAAGGGAGAGGGAAAAGCAGCTCGGGGAAATGTTATGTTTGGGTGATCTCGTACTCGCAGCGGTGATTACAGCCTTCGAAGGCTTACAAAGGGCACTGTCTGGACAGCTGAGCACACTGAGGATCTAGAGTTTCGGGATTGGAATGCTAAGCTACCTGCAGTTTGACAATTATTCTGAGCACCATAGGCATCTAAGAGTATTTATCTCTAAGATTATGGGGCTGGTCTGTGGCTATCCTTGTACATTACTGAGGATTACTTATGCATGGCCGATGGTCATAGAAGTCTGGAAGGACAGGATAGGGTCCCAACCTCTCTATTGATGCCTAATTTTTCATCTCTTCACATTCGGGCTTTGTGAGTTTGGCTACTTATCCAAGTTCTCCGCGCTTCCTCTGTGACCCTCTGTCCCAGCGTCGTTCAGTCTCATAATCGAGAGCTACCAAGTCAGGGATGGAATCCCTTGCAGGCCTTTCCCTAGCCTTGCAATATATTGTAGGTCCTATCCTTCTTGGAAGATGTCATTGACGCTTCTCTGGCCCTCCGAGAAGATCGAGCTCCTGGTCGTAGTTTGAACATCATCGTACATGATCTGTCACAGGCACCTAAAGCCTTCAGCACGCAAGACTAAGGGATAGAAAAGACCATTCAACTCTCTATAAACTATGAAGAGGCGACTGGAAAGTTGGAGAATAAGATGAACAGAATAGTGAGTAAGGCAGCTTCTGACCGAGCTATCAATTGAATATGAAAAAGGAGAGGGTTACAGGGGGGAAGGGCCATGGGAGAGGCCTATCACAAGTCTCTTATAACCCTAGGGTTGCAATGTGGTTGATAAGAGGCCTGCGCTTTTGAGTGAGATGCAGAACTATCGCTGACGCAAGAGATAGTAACCGAAATGAACCAATGCGGTTGAAATGGGTTCAGGCACTCAACGAGCTTGGCAATTAACTGCATGACCTTATAGAGAGCTCGGAAATGGCAAAGCAGCTGAGTTGTTCAACAATATCTGTCGAAAGCCAACAGACCGACCCAGTACTATTTTGCAAGAGCTGAGTGATCACCTGATGACAAGATTGCAACAAAAACTCCCTCGAAACTATTGGGTTAGCTCAGTAAAAAAAAAAGCAAGCCTGTGGTATGTGCACTACAGGAACACTTTGCTAAAGTCTTTAATTTATTAGAATGTTTGATCGCGTAAAGCACATTGTTGTTTCTCATGAGGAGGCGTTCTAATGGATTTCTAACCTAATGGATTCTCAAACGCCAACAAGAGCGACTCACTCTTATTCCATGACTAAAAAGTCAAGGTGGACAAAGAGAGCACAGGTTTTGCAAAGTTTCCTCGAATGGTTGCGGTCTTCCAAAGACACAACAGCCGGAAGTTTCATGGTACTTGAAGGCAATAATATCTACTGGTTCAGGCAAAGTACTCTGATAAAATTCTTGGTTCAAGGTCCTCAACCCTTGGAAGAAGTCGGCCAACTCACTGTCGTTCCGTCCTGCTTTACCTGGAATGCGTGAACCATAATGCAGCGGACCCAAAAAGGCATTGCTTGCTCACTTCTCTACGGACTTATTAAGTATGGCATGAATATCCCTACTGCAAATGTGAAAGGGCTTACAATTCAGCTTTAATGAAGCGGTATAGTGGCTGATTTCTGAGCAATTTGCTCAAGGAAGTAGAGATCAGACCAGAGGCGTCATGCAAGACAGCCTGTATCTTAAATGACGGACTCGATGAGATTGATTTCTCTGAAGGACCAGCTTCTACTTTGGGCTTCATTGATAAACTTTGTCAGATCCGACAAGTTCATAAAACCTATGTCTCTAACTACCAAGAACCCGCTTTAAAACGACCAACAGTTTCCCCGGCTCTGAAATTTCAAGACTTGACTTAGGAGGAAATATCCATCTACGTCGAGTACGGCTATATGGAGGCGTCTGAAAGATGATGAGCCCCCCACCCCCCTTACCACAACGATGGCGCACATTTTCTTAATCTTATATCCACATGCAACGCTATATCCGTCCCGATGCTTTCTCATCGCGATAAAGGACCTCGGTATTTCAAAGAATTCTCAGTCATTATCAAAGCCTGGACCTCTCTACTACTCCTCATGTTTGCAATGGATACGAATGAACGGCAGCAAATCTAACAAGGTTCTTACCTGAATGCATCCCTCACAAATTGACACAATCTCAATGGTATAGCTGTTACACGTCTATGACAAGGCGTGCAGGCTTTCTGGACATTGTCCTAGCTGACGGCATGGAGTATGCTCACTTATTCCATAGATCCTCCAAGGAGTTTCTTCTGAATACTGAGGAGGGTAGAGATATACTCGGCTACAACATGTTAGCTGTAGAAGAGCGCATTAGCGTCATAATTATAGCAGGGGTTGCCATGGACCGTATCCAGTCATCGCTGCATGGAATTCTTCCATAACCCAAGGAAATTGCCGAGACAGAGCGGACCACAGGTCCGTTCAGAAGTTGCCCATGGTGCCTTCTGGGCTGCACATCGGACAGGGCATCAGCCTGCCCTACACTTCCTATGCACACGGTTACTGGGAGATGACTGAAGTTTCACATCGAGTCCATGACACCTATTGGCTTGGTCAACGTCAATGTCCTCCAATTCCCCCTCTAACCTTAACGAACCATGAAGGAAAAACTCGTCCTCTTGGACATTGTTGTGGCACATGGATTTACCGATTTTGTCAAAGCATCCATTGAAAGACTCAAAACTCCACAAATAGATGCTCTTCACGGCCAAGTATCCACCGAATGTTGAGCCCACCTGGCCAATGTTACATGCATTGGTCATAGTCTAGTCCGATGTGATGGCATGATATGGTTCCGAAGCCTCCAGAGTCCGAGGAACTCTCGGAACGGCCGAAACTCCATTGAGGTTTTGTTAAACAGATGGGAATGTATCGGAAAGGGGTTCGCTTTCTCCGTCATAAAGAGCGGAGAACAGTGGGCATTATTAGCCATACACACTTGACGCTTTGTACGCCTATGATGGCAATATGAAGGCTGGAGTGGTTTTGGATTCAAGCTACAGACGGGGAAAGAGATATCCATTGTCGATTATGCCCATTGCTGGCATAGATGCTCGAACTCAAGACTGCAGGCAGTCTACAAGATACAACTTTGTTCACTCTTATTGGGATTGGTGGATGCGCTTACATCTGCCACTTTTGAAGGCCTGCTGGTATTATGTTAGATCAGCTACTCGCTTCTCTGTGATCAAAGCAAATATGTATTGCATCCTTTGGTTATATCAAGCGTTGCTCTTGAACAGCGGTTTGCGGTGGGATTCACAACTCTCCAAGTAGTGTCGCATAGCGCTGCAATAGGTTTGGCAATTTCCGAGTTGTGCCAATACCCGGATTTTCGACAGAGGTCGGCAAGTATATTCAGGATTCCTCAATTCGAGCAGTCAATTTGGAAGCAGAGATAGAGAAAATGGGATATCGCATCAAGTGCCAAAGTTCACTGGGAGATGGCCTCCACAGCCATCTGGGAGGGAACAAGGGAAACGATGACCGAGCAAACCCGCGGGCTCAACCCTTGGGTGCGGTTGAGTAGATTGGAGTAAATAACTACATTCCTTATGCATATATCTCGGATACATATTTAGCTTATGTAGCTTGGAGGACAGGTGGAATCAGGATCCCTTCTTTTCTCAGCATCCTCGAAGCCCTTTGGTTGGATATGAGATATGGTGCTAGCAACCTATTACTTTTCCTCGTTTTCTACATGATCCTAAGGCGGAACAGTGGATCGTATGGCCACTGCATGCGTACCGTTGGTCTGATTCTCCCTGTGCATCTGACTCAGCACATTAGTTAGGGGATGTTGTTGATCCCGCACATAATCCCTAGCAGGGTCATTGATGATAGTGCATACTGTTAACATCACTGGATGCTTATGTAATTGCTTGCACGCTTTTTTTTGGGAGCGAGCAATGAAAGAGGATTCAGTCTGAGCTCAACAGCCTCCACAGCCCACGTGCTTTTGACTTGGTTGACACACCTGATGATTGCCGTTCTGAAACAGCTCCTGTGACTGTTGCTGGGCTGGGACCATGGCACCAGCAAGTGTTGTCAATCTGCCAAGATCATGGACTGGGCCTGGCAGCCAGGGGGAGGAGGTTGAATCTGAGTGGAAGAGCGCGGCAGTTGATGTGAGTACACGATAGTCTATATACTGGGGTTTGATCTGTTAGCCTCTTGGCAGATTCTATTGTATTCTTGAACCCTTTTTGGTGGACAGTCTTGCCAAGAATCTAACAAATTAAACCCCGGCACAACTTGTAATTCCTGTACATGAACTGTGGCAAGCGGTCCCAAACAACAGCGAACCCCCTTGCAGTGGGTCCCTTCAGATTTCGGCCCACTACAAAAAGCGACCAGGGCGACCAGAAGGCTGCCCAGAAAAGGAGACGACCAATCGTCTTCCAGATCCGTACGTGTAACCCAGACCTTCCGATGGCCCAGGATGGAAAGCATCCCGTCACCAACCCACCCGAGACGTTTCCTTTTGGTCTCGACTTGGGGTGGCCTGTATGCAATGTATGTGAGGGAAAACAACTTAAGGAAACTCTCGTTTCACTCATTTTGTTGGCTGTTGCAAGAGTGTTACGAAACCCGACCATGTCCTCGATGCCGAAAGAACAGGAAAAGGGACCACTTTTGGATGACCAAGAAATGTCACCTTCCGTCTGAACTTTTTTTTGGGACCTGCCTGCACAAAATCCACAAAACGCCCAGTCCCACACGCGGCTCGCCTGTTCCTAACGCGCTACAGCCCCCCGGCCTAACCTCGTTTTGGAGTTTGGCCTCCTGAGGATCCTCTCGGCGCGCTTCATTTTACCTGGTGCTACCACGCACCACCTTTCACCTCCGTTTTCTTCGATCCCGACTTTCTCTCTTTCCGGTTCGTTCTTTGCTCGGTTTTCGCGTTTTCGTTTGTCGCCGCCATCTCTGCAGCTTCCATCACACGGCCTTCGCGGTCCATCGATTTCTGTTCCCCTGGTTTAGCTAAATAGAGCATTGTAATTTGGATTCTGCTAGTGCTTCCTGTGGTTCAGGGCTGTCACCATGAGCGTAAGTATTATGCGCGCAGCATCTGCTTTGCAACAACTGCGCCTATTGCCTCTGTTCTCAATTGTCCTGTCGCTCGCAGAAAGCTAATGGATGTCAAGTATAATCCGTATAACAATTACAATAGTGGTCAGTATGGCCAATATGGCGGCGGCGGCGGCGGCTACAGTACCAATGGGGGATATAACTCGTATAATAGCGGCTCGAGGTATGCCAAGTCCGTCGACTTTCGACTGTGTGCTGCCCCGGGGTTTGAAACGAGCATAGCTGACATGGCTTGTCCAGCGGTCGATATGATCCCTTCGGTGACCAGAATGCTGCGGCAGCCGGATCGCATGAGATGTCTTCCTTGGGGAATAGCGGTCCGAATCAAGCGTCATCAAGCCAGAACGTTCTTGCAGAACGTTCGCGAATCCAACAGGAATTGCAAGAAGTTGAGCGGATGCTCGCAGCACTTCCGGGCTATCAGAAACGGTGCCTTGAAGACACGGATACATCGATAAATTCGCAATCTAAGCGCGAGCTCGACAGGTTCAAGCAGGAGATCATGGACAAGTATAGGAAGATTGCTGAGCGGATCCGCGACTTCAAGCGCATTCCTCAGAGTGCTCAGCTGGGCAATGTATCGGGCCTCGAGAACCAGCTCAGGAGAGCAATTCAGAGATTCCAGGAGCTCGATGCGGCATTTGGCAAGGATATGGAAGCTCAAGCTGTTCGCCAGCTTCGTATTGTCCGCCCCGACATGTCGGATGAAGAGATTCAAAAGGCGGTGCAGAGTAACAATGCCCCCGTCTTCGAGCAGGCTCTCATGGGCAGCGCGCGTCTTGGACAAGCGCAGGAGGTGCTTCGGGCTGTTGAGCAGCGCCATCAAGAGATGCTGCATATCGAACGACAGTTGGAAGAGCTGTTGAACTTGCTCAATGATATGCAGGAACTGTTGGCCAAGCAAGAAGTCACTGTGATGGAAATCGACCAGCAAGCTGAGGCTGCCGCTGGGGATATGGTCAAGGCCAATGAGCAGCTTGAGGTTGCAGTTACTACGGCGCGCAAGACGCGCAAGAAGAAGTGGATTTGCTTGGGCATCTGCGGTACGTTACCATTTCCACAGAATAGCTGCTCTCAGCTTTATCATGGATGATACTAATAAGCAAACTATAGTCGCTATCGTTGTCATTGTCGTGGTTATTGTAGTGGCATATATCATGATCAACCGCGCTGCCAACGGTGGCGGTGGCGGTGGCGGCAGTAGCAACAACGACAACAGCAACAACAATGGTAACACCAACGCTGGAAACGACGGAGCCACGGTTAATACTGGGACTGGCAACGTTGGTACTACCGATGGCATCATCAGCAACGGTGACAGTAGCAGCACCGGGAGTGGTCAAAAGAAGCGTAGCATCTTCCAGCAACGGTCCGTCCTTGACGACTTGAAAATGAACAATATCCGTGCGGTCCGGATCGATACAACCACCCCTCCTGCTCTGCCTGCGCGCCTTGGAAGGAGACTGCGAGTCGATCGGATTGGGTTGGCTGGTAATCTAGGTCTGCCACATCCGGTCCCTCCTGTTGAGAAGAAGATCCCGATGATGAAGAAGCGGTTTGTTGTTGATTGGGAGGGTGTTGACTCGACCGAGGCAAGTGACGACAGCTGAGTGGTGGGCGGGGTTGTACAGGCTTGAAGGGGCAGAAGGAGCGTTGGTGTTGGTGTCCTTTGTCCAAATGCCGTGTTAAGGGAGGGGTATAGTGCCACCTGATTCCTGGTGCTGGCTGTTTGCCCCAGCACCAACTGCGAAGGCCTCGGTTGGACACGAATAGTTTGTCTTTTTGTTGGATGATTGTTTTCCAAGCATGGCACGTCTTTTTGGCAAGATATCAGGGCGTTTGTAGGGTAATTTGGTCGCTGGGTTGCTTTTCCGTTCAATGATTGCCAGTGTCTGCCTTTGCTCCCGATTACGAAGCTTGTAATACAGTCTATATACTACTGTCAAATGCTCTTTGAGGTGGAGTCATTCGTTCTGCTGTCAGTTGACTGAAGTCCTTTAACTTAGGCTTTGATGGACCGAATGCTAATGTGAATCAAGCAGCCTGTCATTCCTTTGATTTCACATAAACGATGAAGTGCCATTGATACGTGTTGATGTCCTTGGTTATTACAGCCATGCAACTGCTTACAATAAATGTGGCGGTACTTTTATGAAATGGGCGATGTTCGGAATTGAGGAAGACAAAGTGATGGCTAAGGGATATTATACAAGAACCATGTATTAGGTAATAGTTGTCATGAACCTTAATCTGACTCCTAGTCCTGCTGATCACTCACACCAGCACTCGCCGTTGGCTGAAAAGGAATGCCTAATCCTGGTCCCTCATGAAGTACATCTCCCCGATTTTCAAGGACTCGTTGTCTTGCTGTCCCAGCGTCAACTACTTTCCGTAAAAGTTTCATCCTTTTTTCGAATTCCTGTATCATATCCGCATAGTGATCTGCGCCAGATACCGGAGCTCGCTCCTGCCGTCCTCCAGAAGGTGTACTCCCACTTGACGATAATAGCAACATGTCGCTTTCAGCATTGGTTGACATCTTTTCTGCGCCCAGCATCGGACCAGCAGACGGCTCGATGCTGACACCTTCGATCTTGAGTACTAAATTACCTCCAGGACCTAGGGCAGCCCCGCCATCGCCATAACTTCCCATCCGATCTACGCGCGCCATCGTGACTGCCCAGTCTGGGGACAAACTGCTGGCCCATGCAACTTCGAACCCAGTGCCGTCAGGGCTGGCTTCCACATCGACGATGATTGCGCGGTCTTTAGGACCGCTATCATCGTTTGAGTCATCGTCTCCGGCTTCTCCGTTGCCCCCTTCCACTTCAGAGCTTCGGTGATGTTGTGCTAGAGCGGCGGTCAGGATTTCAGGGTCGTCATCTGCGAAAATGTAATGCACTGTTGGGTGATGGAGGGTTTGTCGGTTGGTGGAGGGAGATGTAGATGTAAGCAGAGTAAAAAACGGCGAGAATGGGGGAGCTGCTTGTATTGGCTGCGGTGTCGGCGACATAGGAGCCCCGCCCTCGACAGACGGAACTCCTAGCTGCGGCGATCCGGAATGGGAGTATTTCCCCATAGATGTCGGCCGCGAATGTTGCACCAGTGTTTCCTGACGTTCTTGCTCCTTTCGCAAACTTGATCGACTCGCTCGGCTCGCCACAGAAGGGCGGGGGCTGGACGGAACGGGAGAGGTGCGATATCCTCCAGCGGCTGCGGCAGAGCCGGGTCGGGGAATGTTAGGTTCGGCCATCACTTGTCCACTGACTTCCAATGGTGTTAAGTAGCTGTGATTGAAGAAAAAAAAACGATATCCTCAAAGATCTGACAGCTCAAACAGGACTCCGGTTGACGAGGTCGTCGATGTAAATGGTGAAAGCGGCGGCTGGTTGCAGCATATTGCGTTGCTCGGTTGAGCAAGGTGCCTGGCTTGCGAAGATATCTTCGACTTGTGAAGCTGTCTCGGTGGCCCCACAATGAGGTACCCTCAGGGGACGCTTGGGCGCGGGATAGCTTTGATTAAAACTATCTATCTAGAAAAAAAAAAAAAAACATGAGCGTTGTCCATGCGAAGCTTTGCTTCTTTGGTCGGTGCAAGAGGTGCCTGTTGGCATCTCTCAGCGGCGTTGTGGTCAGAGAGGTCTCAAAAGTATCCACACGGATCCTGCCCTAAGCGGTTCATTATCCTCTCACACAGTTATCAACGATGTCACCTCTACATTGCAATACCCAGAGATAGAGCTAACTGCATTGTTGCCAGACGGGTGTTGTCGTTGAAGGGGCCTTTAGATAATCATATCAAGTCCAGAATAACTAAGGCTGACGACGATTGAGGCATTGTTACTGAACGCGCATCCCATCCCGCAAACACAGTGCAATCTGCACTGTGTAAACTGTTCAGTGACGCAAAGCCTTAGTGTCAACAGAAACTTGGCTTGTGTCGCAATAATACTTTACCATGATAACAGCGTTCTTCTGCACCACCACTTGTGCATACTTGGTCAAAAGTTCATCTGATGAATTAAATGCGAAGAGCCGCTCAGCCAATGCCTTAACCCTGAAGATCACCTCTGTGAAAGAATATACATAGATGGCGATGTCAAGGGCCCAAGCTCCCACAATTCAAACACTAAGCGTGAACTGTTCGTTCCACTCAAACCCTGTACCGCTGGGTTAGAGACAAGCAAGCATGAGGAGGGTCGAAACTTACTTTGACGACACATGGGACATTGACCTTTGGCTGAGTCTTGTTTTATCCATTCCAGAATACAATGCTAGCGCTCCGTTAGTGACATCTTTGTGGCATGCTAGGCTGAAGAGTCTTCAGACACGTACCATGTGGAAGTTGTGGCCACACTTTCCGGACACTAAAGCGATCATCAATTACTGTTCCTGAAGGTGGCAAAGTAGTCTAGCCAAACGTCGGATACTTACGAAGGGGACAATCGTCTCCAGGATATTTGCAGGTTGGGCATGTGCCATCGAAATGGACCTGACAGATACCACAGACATCATCTTCAGGGATATCCCACCTCCACGTTGCGACGGCATTCCATTTCTTGATTTTGACTTTCATTTTTGAGACTTGTTGGGCCAATAGTCCTCACTTAAGTAACATTAGGGAGATGAAATCAACAAGCAAATTTAATTTCTTGGCTTTTTGTGTGTGTGCGAGTGGCTGTCCAACGTGTTCGTGTCCAGCGGCTGTTGTGGTTTGGTAAGAGGCGATGACTTAAGAAACCAGAACGGGAAACTGTGAAGCCTGGCTGCCAATCGCCCGGCCCAGTCCTCAGTTATCGGTGTCTTATCGGCCATCTTTCTTGGCGTTCGGATCGTTACAACTCAGTGGCGCCATTAGTTGTGGTCCAAGCTTCATGCTGCGCACCTTGGCCTTGGCCGGAATTTATTCTTTGCAACCACTCTTCCGTTTCCCCCTCTTCACACGCCCCGAAACCCGGTTCTCGGCGGTTCGAAGTCCAACTCCAACTCAATGGACAAGGAAGGGCAACGGCAGTAAGCCAGATTCCAAGAATAAGTCGAGGGTTCCGCAGGAATTCCGATAACATAAGTGGATTGTTCGACTCTTTGCTCGTCAATCCCAAGGACTGGACCCTGACTTTCTTCGCGAGCCATCCACGGCTGTGGCAACCTGCCAACAGCAGAGAGATAAAGCGATCCGGCATTAATAGCTTCTTTCTCTGTGGCATTGGCTTGTGACGCAGCCGACGCTCTTTGTTTCAGTTGTCCCAGAAAGCCTGTTGAGAACCGAGGAAGACGAAGACGACCACCGCTAGTCGCAATCATGATCACCATCTCTGCGCTTCGGCTTCTCCGGGCGTCGCTCTCACAACGCGGCTGCTTCAACTTCAGCCGCACCGCCCCCAGCGGCCCGTCATACCACTTTGTCATCGCAAAACACGGAGCTCGCCGGTCATTCTCGAGTTACCTTGTCACTCCTCAAGAGCTTTCCGACGCCCTCAAAAAAAGCCCCCAATCTCCCAACTCGTCTGAGCCCCGCGTAATACCCCTTTGTGCTTCATGGTTCCTTCCCAACGATCCCAAAGGTCGCACAGGAATACAGGTTTTCACCGAGAAGCGCATCCCTAAGGCGCGTTTTTTCGACCTTGACAAGGTTATCGACAAGCATAGCCCATACCCTCACATGCTGCCGACCCCGAAACACTTTGCTGAGGCCATGAGCGAGCTGGGCATTCGGTATGAGGATATTGTGGTTGTTTACGACAGCGCAGAGCTGGGAATTTTCAGCGCCCCGCGTGTTGCTTGGACCATGAGGGTGTTTGGGCATCCCAAGGTGCATATCCTGAACAATTTTAGGTTATGGGTTGAGCAGGGTTTGCCTACAGAGTCGGGAAATGTGTGGACGGTCGAGTGTGGGACCTATCCCATACCAGAAATGGACGAAGATCGGGTTGCCAGCTTTGAAGAGGTGAAAGAGATTGCCGAAAAGCTCAAGGAAGGTGCGAAGGACGTCCAAATACTGGATGCCAGGTCGTACGGCCGGTGGTCTGGTCAGGCTCCAGAGCCAAGGCCAGGCCTTTCCTCTGGCCATATGCCAGGGTCTATCAATGTTCCATTTGATGCCGTCCTTGATCCTGAGACCAAAGCATTTCTCCCTCCAGAGCGGATCAGAGAGGTGTTTAAATCCAAGGGCGTTGACCCGGAGAAACCTATCATCAGCAGCTGTGGGACTGGAGTAACTGCCTGCGTCCTTGAAACAGCACTTAGAGTGTCAGAATATGGTTCTCCTGAAAATAGAAAGGTATACGACGGAAGCTGGACGTGAGTAACCCTCTATGGAAAATATTGTAGCTTTATCTCCCTCATCACTAACATATATGCAGTGAATGGGCACAAAGAGTCAGCCCTTCTGAAGATCTCATCCAAACCGAACAATAGCCTAACTCCGCATTCGGGCCATCACTGGAGCAGCAGCGCTCCATCGACAGTTCCGAATCTTACCACACTCCGCTTCTCTGAATTTCTGTGCACCATCCGTCTAGAAGGTCATATCATGACGTTTGAGAACTTACCCTCTTCCATATGCACAGCTCTGAAACAGCACAAAGCTTGTGTGCACGATCATGTGCGTGATTCGACTAGGTTGCTTGCAGCGCCATATCTAGATGGGGATGTTAATTGGCGGCATTGAGGTGAGGTGTTTTGGGCATTTGGGATTGGGGTTCGAGCATGGGATTGGTTGGTGCCCAAGAAAGCACTAGGCGCTCCGTGTACAATGGCATCAGTTCGTCAATCAAGGCTCGAGTCCTCTTCGTTCCTGCTCGTTCCTGCTTTGATCCTCGAATCATATCCCTGCATCAGCATGCTGTTGCTGCGAAGGCAGGTTAAACGGGCTCGTTCAGCCGTTCACCCATTTGTGCCCCGGCGATGTGAAGCCCTCGAACGTCCCATTATACGGATAAGACAAATAACGCTTAGAAGGAATCGAACTGACTCAATTGACTCGCTCGCTGTTCCTGGTCGCATATTTTTCCCTGGCAACTATCGCCTGTGTCGCGAGGTAGCGCCTCGACTCTAGTTTGACCAAAACCATTACAGCTCTGAAAGTTGTCGTTGAAGCTTGTCTCCTATTGAAACATACTACATCCACGGGCCAGACTTCTTAAATACACAATTGCCGGGGGGTTAGAGACCAAACCGGTGATATAAATGACCTGCGGCCACGTAATTACATGGTCTATACAAAATGAGGGACATAGTAACACCAAATATCCAATGTACAGCTCTTTGGGAGCCACCTGCTGTTACTCCGATTGTTTGGCCGATTTGAGGTTATTCCTCGATGGCTGATGTTTAAATTAGTTATTATATGTATTATTTTTCGTTTTGACGTGCGATTCTCATTGCATGCAGCGCCCTACTAGACTCTTAGGTGCGCCAGCCAGGCGGTGCTCCTTCTTGATGACATCGGCGAGCTACAAATGCGTGTTAGCACGTTTGTCAGAAGACTCGAGACTTTGAACGTACCCTCTCAGCGCCCGCGTACGCTGTGGCCATGGGTGACCCTGAGAGCTGGAAGGGCCAGAAGCTGATATCCGCGACACGGAGGCCCTGAACACCATACACCTTCTGTTCACTTGATACAACACCACCCATATCCTTGGGCATCATGGCAGCCGTGCAGCACTGGTGCGCGTTCGACGGGTTGATCAGCTCGCGCATGACAGCATAAATCTCCTCATCGGTGGTCAGGTTGGCGCCGAAGGGTGCTGCCTCACTGGGACCCAGCACGCGCATCGACGGCGCGTTGAAAATTTCGCGGTTCTTGCGGAACAAAGACGTGTAAACCTGCGCGTCGATGGGATCGGTGCCCGTCCGGTAGTCGATTTCTGGGGCGTCCAGAGGATTGGTTGAGCGAATGTTGACCGTGCCGCGGCTCAGGGGCTTCAGATGGTACACCAACGCCGAGCTACCCGTGCCCCAGTGCACTGTGCCAACACCGACGTTGGGGTTCTCAAACTGCTTCAGGATGGCATTGCGCTGTGCCTGGTAGCCACGGATGACGGCTGGGTCGGTGCCAGGAGGCAGAGAAAGCGAGGCACTGCGCGCCCTGGCAGCGGCGATGATCTGCCGGTAGCTTTTGGGTGCCGCCCGCTGCAGGGACATCACACCAATGTTCGTGCTCAAGGAGTTAACGATGGTGTAAGCACCCTGCTTCGAGCTGTCATACAATGCCCGCTGCTCGGCGTTGTAAGTAGCGTTCGTGGTGAGGCTATCAGTGTTGGGAAACACGTTGTTTGTGACTTCACATGGGAAGAAGCAAATTGTTAGTCAACCGCTCTTGACTCAGAACATACTCGAAAGGACGAATGAAAAGGAAAAACGCACAAGTATACGGGATTGTCAGCGTGGGCTGGTCCTGCAGGTTCTGCCCGACGCCGGGGAGGTCGGAAATGACAGGGATGCCGAGCTCGTTGAGAAGCTTCCGGGGGCCAATACCCGAGAGTTGCAGGATCTTCGGGGTTCCCAGGCCACCAGCAGCCAGGATGATCTCCTTGCTTGCGTAGACATTGGTCGTAGTATTGCCGCCAGAAGTCGGGATGTAGCTCACGCCAATGGCTTGCTTGCCCCTGAATAAAATCTTAGACACCAGGTGAGATGGCAGGATGTGGTAGTTTGGCCGGGAGCTGACGCGGTCGTAATGATTGCGCCGAGCATGGCTTCTTGTCATAGTCCTGGCATCAATGGCAGATGGGATCCAGAAAACACCTTGCTTCGACCCCGCCATTGGGTCCTTAACAGGAGGAAGGCCGACTTCATTTGCGGCGTTCCACCAGTTTTCTTTAGGATACATTGTCAGCATTCAGTTCATATGCCAACAATCTCTCCGCAGACTGTCACTCACCGCTCCCCGGGAAGAAATAGTTGGGATATGAGTAGTTCACGGGACCAGAACGGCCCCGAATTGAACCATCCCAAGTGATGTTGCCAGCCGCAGCAAGTTCAGGGCTAGGGGGCGTGAAAGTTTCACTCTGCGCTGTGTTAGCACGGGGCCAGTTGGTGCTGTCTGGAGCTTTCTAGCCATAGCTTTACCTTGATGAAATAGGGAAGCATGGAATTCCAGCTCCAGCCCGGATTTCCGAGGGCACCCCATGAATCATAATCATCCTTGTCACCCCTGAATAGACGCCGTCAGCATGCAGCTTGGCTGATGGCAGGAAGGCGTATTCTGTCGCCTGCTCAGCGTACCTCAAGTACACCATAGCGTTGATAGTGCTTCCGCCACCGACAACCTGCGCTGTGATAACATCAACGGTCCTGTTATTAAGCCCTGCTTGAGGTGTGCTAACAAGACCGGGCCAGAAGTAGAGCCAAGGAGAGAAGGCTCCCGGGACGAGGATGCCATCTTCACCCCGATCCAAAGGACCGGCCTCAATCACAAGGACGGTTACTATAGCAAAAAAGAGAAAATTCGACATTAGTAACCAGCCAGTCTCCTACATACATAGTTCTCTAGGGGAGTCGTTTGTACCTCGAGGATCTTCGGTTAGACGGTCGGCGAGGGTGAGCCCGGATATGCCGCCGCCAGCAATGATGAATGTATAATTGGAGTGAACGTTCCTTGGGTGAACAATTGTGGCATGTCTTGGGACTTTTGCAGAGTCGATATCGATTGGACTCGCTGCCGACAGAGACAGGAGGGGCAAAACCGCTCCCAGAAGCTGGAAACTTGATGTCCTCATTTTTGCCTCGGTCACTGGAGAGTCACCGAAGATTCCGAAGATAAAAATGAGATTCTTCAGTGAGGAAAACGCCCTCTTCATATCTGTGTTCGGAGACCCCGTCGCTGTGGAGTTCAATATGCCCTTAATCTTGAACCCGCAGACAAGCGGACACACGATCCTGGTTGGCGTTGCTCACCACGCCGACGCTAGCAGGGAAGCAGAGACTCCAGAAGATACACACACTTAGTAAGCGCACCGGACCTCTCGCATACCGCATCAAGATGGCCTTATTGCAGCGTCGCATCTAAGCCCCTGGCTGGCCGACTGGCCTGCATATCGATGGGTAACGACAGAAGTTACTGGACCAGTCGGCAGCCTCAGAACCTGACGCCGCGCGACGCCGTCAGCATAGCTCGGGTCTGGAGACCCGAACTGGCCCCAGCGGTCCACAAAACGCGCGTGGCATCATTCCGTGTGGATCTCTGATTTTGCTGAAAGGAAAAGAGCCGAGTGGTTATCAGGGAAACTCCACGTGGCGGAGGGAAACGACTTAGGGACACCAACAAGGTTATTGAGCCCGCCATGTAACCTCTGCGTCGCTATGGGCTTGTAGACTTGTTGAAGCTCCCTGACTTATGGATGTCTTCTGAGCCTAGGAACCCTTTATAGTTGCACTTGGGCCCCGATCACCGGGCTGATGTGGTATGATGCTTCCTTGTCCATGGAATCATTTTTTTCTGGTATCTAGATGCAGCTCCACATTCTCCTGGCTCTGCCAAACGCTACAGACTGTCGCTTGCCGAGATGGATCTCGAGCTAAGGAGTTGAGCGAGGTCCGAGCACGCAGGCATCGGATGTCTCGTGCTGCGGTGTGCTTTTAGGGATTAGACAGGTCTTTGTTGTTGCCGGGCAACCGGAACAGCTGGTAAGCAAAAAAGGCTATGAGGTCAACAATTGGTCGAGTTGCCATTCCCCGTTGGCAAAAGCGGGATTACCCCGAGACTGTGGCCGAATACTTGACGTCCTGCTCCATGAAGCAAAGAGGTAGATTAAGTTGGCCGGCTTTATCTGTGGTATGTTCTATCCGGGGTCGCAATATCCAAAAGAGATTTAAGCTTGTCAACGATCAACCATCACATCCATTTATTCCCAACACCCACATGGAAAGACGAAATCAAACTGTTATGTACAGAAAACCCCGGTTCCAAGAAAGTTACCCCCCGTATACAGTAACCTATTGCCATCTGAGATCAACATGCTCCGTGTTGCCAGCAACTTATAGAGACAACAGGGAAGCCAGTCACGATAGACTGAAAGTCCTCCCATACTCTGTAGTGTAACCTTTTCGGTCAGACTCAGCTCTGTCAACTGCAAAACAGTTGGCAGAAGTGAAAATCTTCAAATAGTGACATGCACAAATATGATGAGCTTTGTTTCAGTCGCTAGTGAGAATGGTTCTGAGAACAGAATGCCCTGGGCTTGACTATGCTCAGATCCAGAGGTTATTCACACTCATGGCATGAGCATGTCTCGACTCTTGTCCCAGTCTCAATATATATCTTTTCTTGCTGGTTGAGAGCATATCAATCTCATATAACGACCCGGATGATTGAGCGAATTGCCAAGGCAATGGCAATCCCAGCGAATCCTCCAGGTTTCAGCGCTGAAGAACCACTGTGGATTACTGAACTGGCCGCATCTGCATTGTTCCAGTTATCATTTTGATTATCGTTGTTGATGCTGTTATTGTTGTCAATGCTGTTCTTATCTGTGTTGTCAATGTTAATGTTGTTATTGTTGTGATTCTCGTTCGAGACGTAAATGACCAGTCCACCGTTGGTAGTAACAGGCATGGCACCGGGGAAACTAGTTGTGGCAGTTACGGGAGCAGCACGAGGAGTGGTCGTGACGATAGTAGCTATATCAGGACTCGGTCAACATCTATAAAGCCTTTTAATCAGTGTTATATCACCTCACGTCAGACTCATACCTGGGCGTGGTGGATCATCAAGGTCCATGGTAATCAGATCTCCTACAAGATACCCAGTTTCAGTTCGAATGTTGACATTTCAACACCCAATGATATTGGACATAAACAAACCATTGCCATCGACGGTCCACTCTTTCATGAAAGAGACCGCCCCGGTGCAGGAGTGTTTGTTTTCACAGCAGGCGTATGAGAGTTGAGAGTTTGGGCCGTAGGCGGTGGTTAATGTATGTGAGAAGAAAAATCCAGAAGAACAACAAGCGATGTAATTTGCGTCTGCACGCCAGCCTCCGGGACAAAGTGTTGGAGACGGATGCGCAACGAGGATATGATCAAATGTAGTTGTTCCGAGTACTGCACATAATGCTCTCGGCACCCAGACCAAGAGGATAAGGGTGAAAGAGGTCAAAGCCGTGGACCACATTGAGAAGCTGGACGTAGCGAGGCGGCAACTTGGGTTCAAAGACAATGAATAACATCCAGATTGTGAGAGGGGAAGCCATCGCCCATATATTAAACCTGCCAATCCACTGGCATGGCCTCGGAAGGAGCATCTGGTGCAAGAACAATTCCAGCAGACCTGACAGTCATACCATTAATCATATATCTGTTCAGCATGGTATCATCTTTTACCAATACAGTCAATCCTTGATCAAAAGATCAAAGCATACATGGGGTTTGTCTAAACTTGTAAGCCATGATCTGTGATGTCGTGTTATTGTTCACAAGGCTCTAGGCTAAATCATGCCATGTCAAGAGTTTCTAGCTAACAATCGCACGCACTTATTGGTTACTTATTTCAGACATTGAGGCAAGGCTGCAGCACTTATGGTATGTTCATCCCATGTGGCCGGCAAAATGCGTTTTCATAGCTCCTCCTTCTCCTTCAAGAAATCTTTAAGTCCATATTTAAGTGCAGAAAAGTGCTCAAAGCGAGGTGCATCTTCACCAAGAGCCCAAGCAAACACTCCCCCCAGGTCTCTCCTTTTCAGAATTGCAGGAAACTTGCGCTTGATGGCATCCACTGTGTCAAATGTCCACCATATATCTTCAGAAGGATCCCAGTAGTAATATCCACCGTCCTCCTCATCATATGTGCCTTGCCTAAGCGCACGTGAGAAAGAGTCGACGAGATTTGCAGGCACCGGATCATGCCAAGCAAAGGCGCCGCCGCGGCCAAGATCAGCACCAGTCTGGGGATCCTCGAGCTGCGGCGTAGGGCAGCCGATTGGCGAGGCTTTGGCACAGGCTTCATGCTCCGTCTTAAACCACCTGACATAGAATGCAAAGCCGAGGTTTAGTCTTTCTGGAGCTGCACCGGCAGCTATGTAGGCATCGACAGCTTCGAGGCTCAACTTCACTCCAGTATGGTGCTTAGTGACGTTGTCACGACGATTCATCAAGTCGTATGTCATAACGTTGAGAAAATCGACGTAGCGCATAATGCGGGGAACCGTCTGATGTGTAAAAGCAAGCATGTCGCGCTTCAGGCCGGGCACAGCGGCCGAAATGACCTTCTGCGGGCCAAGAGCACGGCGGACTTCGGCCAGGAGGAGTGGGTATGCCTCGATCTCCCAAGACTTCTGGTCGTTTGGAAGTTGCTTATAATCTTCACCGTTGCCACTGCGCGTGTTATTAGAATACGAACAGAAGGGGACAGCAGGACAGCTTTCAGCTTACCCTGGATACTCCCAGTCAATGTCAACGCCGTCTGCACCGGTGGCCGCAACCATCTTGGCCAGATTTTCGGCAAAGGTCTTGCGAGTTGCATCCGTCTGGGCAGCGGCAGAGAAACCAGCCGTGTCTCCCCAGCCACCAATGGCAACCATGATCTTCGTTCCGTTGGGGAACTTTGATCGAACCTCGTCCACGGTGGTAAATAGTGGCCATTCTTTGCGCCCAGGATCGTTGAAAACGCCGGGGCTCATGAAGGCTACTGCAACATGGGTGAGAGGGGTGAGCTCCTCCAGAGGAGGAGCAACGGGATGCTGGCTGGAACAACAGAAGTCAGTCAGCCCATGAGTAGCCGCGTATCATGTTAACCTTGGAGAGAACAGTATAATCAGATCCAGGTTAAGCAGAAAGGTCGTGAGAAGTTGAGCGATTACCCAGTGTAATACATGATGCATCGGAACTCTGGCTTATGGGAATTGCAAGCCATTGCGAAGGAGGACAAGAATGAAACGACAAAAGACCAGAAAACCATCCTTTTAGTCATGATGACTTCTTATATGAGTGCATGCAGTTCGTTGCGTAGGCTTCTGAAAATTTCTTGTCTGATGCCTCACTTGCACAGAAGAGAGGCAGATGATGGTCAGGCTGGAAACATCGCAGATGGGAACTTGGAAGGTCAAAAGCCCAAACGCTTTTCTGAGTTCTGCGTTCAAATATCTTTATCAGGCTACAATATCGGGAAGCTGCAACCATGGACGGTTGTTTCCAACTGCAAGCCGGGCTTAATACACAGCTCGGGCCAAGGTTTTGTGCTTCGAAGTTGTGAGATAAAAGGGGATGAAAGCAAGAAGGGTGATTGGAGTTTCATCAAGGTGCTGAGTTGCCGACTACCGTGATGGAAGAGCCCCAATTGCCAAGAGTTGGATGTTTCGAGATCTGCAGGAAGAGCGCTAAGACCAACGTTTTCTAGAACGGTTTAGTGGAAAATTAGAAGGAACTAGCCGAATTAGGATGACTTCCTGGCGGGTCGAGGAAATTTTCCTCCATTGGTTGGTCAATTGTCGACGCTCTCCCCTAAACTGCGTGCAACTCTTTTTCACGGCCTCAAGTTTTCGACATTATTGGCAAAAAGCTCGAGCTTCCGTTGTTATTCACTGGGGCATTGATACACAATGAGTTGATACACTTAAATTCTTTCACATTACATACAGCCTTAGGAATTATCTAGCATCGCCACGATGTTTGAGAACCTTTGTACCCTCCCTCTCTCGGCCGACCTGTTCACACAGGTCATGCACCCCTCCAAGCCGTTGCTTACGGTCGGCTTGTCGAGTGGTCGCGTCGAAACCTTTCGCCTACCGAGTGATGATGATGATGGCATGAGCAAGTCAAACAGCGGCATGGGCTTGATCAAGAGCGTCTGGAGCACCCACCGCCACAAGGGCAGTTGTCGCTATCTTGCCTACAGTCATGACGGAGAATGTAAGCGGTCCATTTGTGATGAAGAGATGGTGAGGGGTCATTGGCTGACTTAAATTCATTTTTTAGCTCTCTACTCTGCCGGTACAGACGCTGTGATCAAGCACTTCTCTCCTGAGACTGGTCTGGTCATCTCCAAGATCGGCCTTCCTCCTAGAAACAGTTCCACGAACGCTACCGACTGTCCCGCTATCTTGCATGTCCTCTCGCCACAGACGCTCCTCCTCGGCACAGACTCGGGTTGCCTTTACATTTTCGATCTCCGCGAGAACGGCTACCTGAACCCTAAGCCCGTGCGCAAACACGTCCCGCATGCCGACTATATTTCCAGCATTAGCCCGCTTCCTCCTTCGGCAGAGAGCACGTCAGGTTTCCCCAAGCAATGGGTCTCAACGGGCGGCACAACGCTCGCCGTAACAGATCTTCGAGCCGGAATTGTTGCTACATCGGAGGACCAGGAGGATGAGTTGCTTTGCTCCACCATCATCCCAACCGGCTTGGGCCCGAAGCGCATGCGGGACAACGCCGTCGTCGCCGTTGGCACTGGTGGCGGTGTTCTGACCCTTTGGGACCGTGGGTCGTGGGATGACCAGCAAGAGCGCATATATGTGGCGGGTGGTAAGAGCAAAAAGGATGCCGACAGTTTGGATTGTATTGTGCGCGTTCCAGACGAGCTTGGCTGGGGTAAGAAAGTTGTCGTTGGTGTGGGTGACGGCAGCCTGGCCATCGTTGACTTAAAACAACGTGAAGTCCACGCTGTGCTCAAGCATGATGAGATCGAGGGCGTGGCCGCAGTGTCGTTTGACTACCAGCATCGTTTGATCAGCGGCGGCGGCAGAACCGTCAAGGTTTGGGCCGAGTCAGGGATCGAAGGGGATGAAGAAGAAGAGGAAGACACTGTGCCGGGCACCAACGGCATCAAGAGGTCTGTTGACAGCGACGACGACGATTCCGATATGGATGATAGCGACAGTGACGACGATCGCCCGAGGAGGAAGAGCAAGAAGAAGAGGAGGAAAGGCAAGGGCGTCCAGCAAAGGACTGTGGCGTTCCCTGGATTGGACTAAAGAGCGTTGCTTCCCAGCGGAGCTTACACCCAGGCATGTGGTGCGACTTCCGGCAAGTTTCAACACTTCAAAGCCAGTGCTCTGACCGGCGCAAACCCAACCGTCACATTTCTGGGATGGTGGCCAACCTTTGATTGCCATTTACCCTTTGGAGCCCCACTAATGGACCCTCCGGTATGTTAGCCCTGAGACCCTTTGCCTCAGGACGCAATATGCCCGAGATTGTTGTGTATCCAAGTTGTCTCTTGAGCAGAGCATACTGTCAGCTTCCAGGAACAACGACGCCAAGTATCAGACTTTGCCATGGTAGTAGCCTGACTGTTTCCCAAAGATCTTATTGCCTATGATGGCATACGTACTCAGCAGCGCTGCAACACAGAATGCCTCAGGAGAAGCCTAAGAGTGGCAGCGTAGTGAAGGCGAAGGCCTTTTTATGCGTGCGTAAGTCTCTAATTTTCAGATGATCTATTCCCGACATAACTCCTTGGGAGTGTTCGTCCCGTTCAGCTTCTACAATCATCCCGGTGCTATCTCGAGGCTGTCTGGTGTGGTAGGGAGGGTTTAGTGCCTGGGGCACAGTTTTTTTTTCTTTACATAACTTTGTGGTACGGGTTTGCTCATAGGTTCATACGTAGTGTACGTACTACCATTATCCGTTGATGGCTGTGAAACCCGAACATGTTTTTATCCAACTTCTTCACCAACCTCGAGGTTCAAGCCCCCGGTCGCGTGTAGTTTAATGCCCTCACCCGTTTCCAGACCTCCCGAACCGTTCTCTCCTGACCCTCTCTTCCTGTCTCCGTTGTGGAAGGCCCTGCTGGTCTTAGATGTGTTAGAATGGTCTTAATAGGGATGGATGGGCCGCTGCTCACCGAATCGCCAGGTATAACCTGCTACCTAGCTTAATGTCCTCTATCTTTGCTGTTAACGGGTCTTCTGGAGGATTCGCCGTTGTTATCAGCCCCCCAGCTTCCTGCAGGATGGCAATACCGGCGGCCACATCCCTTCCAGCGTTATTATTAGTGCTGAACACGGATTGTCGCAACACACAGGCCGACTCACCACTCCCAACAACCCCCTTCCCACCAGATGTCAAAAGCTCCCATGGCCGTATACGCAAGATCCATTGTTGCACTGCTCTCCAATACACCTGTCAGCAACCATCCAATTCGGCGTGCACTTTCAAGTCCACATACCTCCCCAAGCTCCTCATCCCATGTACCATCCCTCCCTTCCCACACCGCCCCCCCAGCTCAGCCGCCATATTCACAAAACTTTCTACCTTCCGGTGCAAGTTTCCCCCCTCCACATCCTTCCTATCCTTTCCCCATTCGCACGAGAACACGCACCCCTGCGGCGCGTTCGACGGCATGGGCGGGATGGGATTCCGCACGAGAGGCAGTTGCAGCGTCTCGTTGAGCCAGGCGCCCCGCCCGCGGCACGCTGTGAAAAGTTGGTTCAAAAAGGGCGCGTAGATCACACCAATGATGGGCTCACCGCCTAAGACGAGGGCGATGCTCACGCAGAACATGGGGAAGAGGTGTGTGTAGTTGACTGTACCGTCGAGAGGGTCGACGCACCAGGTTGGTATAGAAGGGTCGATTAGGTAGGTGCGGGTTGGGAGCTTAGAGTAGGTCTCTTCGCCGATGAAGCTGTTTGGAGGGATAGTTAATGAGACATTTGGATGTTGAGGGGTGAAGATCCTTACGCATGGTGTGGGTAGCGTTGAGTTATGGACACCTTGATGAATTCTTCGACTTCTAAAGGAGGTGTCAGCTAGGATTTAGTGAAGAGGAGGAGACAGAAATGCTCTTCGATTGATACTACCTTCATCGGCCTTAGTTACAATGTCTACTGAATTGTCCTTTTCGGTGATCTCTTGGGAGGTCATACTACCACCGCTACCAAACCTCGACCGGGCAGCATCCATAAGGAGCTTGCCAGCATCCTTACCAAGCTGTATAGCAAAGGCATATATCTCGTCCAATTCCTCCTCATTTATCTTTGATGGTGAAGACATTGTTGTAAATCTCAGCTTGGCAAAGCTACAAGCAGTGGCAACGAAGCCAATACCAAGTCGTTTGTTGGGGAACAAGATGACTAAAGGCAGATGGCATCCCATCCAAAGGAGTCGAGAGTCGTCGACACACATGGAGAAGTCAGTCATGGACTCAATTCCGCTACATAAAGCCGTTAAAAGCCGAAGATATGGATCAGCTGCCCCAATTCCGCTGCTATAACCCAGGATTTGGATCCCTTCGCCAGGCTTTCTGTCCCCAGATTTGGAGGCATGGTGTTTCCTGTTGCATTAGGTCCTTTTTTTCCCGCTGGTCTTGAACCGGATCTAATGGCTTAAACGAAGGAATTCGACAGTCACTGGTCAGGATTCACATTTGTTTTTGCAGGATGTTGCATTCGCAATCTGTGGTGTTCCAGGTCGCCTCAGATGTGTGTATGTGTCCGGGTAAGTGTTTATCCAGGCTTGTGGAGAACAACCGGGAGGTTGTTCGCCCTCAAACTCCAAGTCAACATCACAAGAGCAGATGTCTTTTCTGGAAAAAAGCTAAAAACTGCCGACTGTATCTCAAAATCTATGGGTAAAATATTTTCAAGTTGCCCTCAGATGTGATGGCTGTCATGAAGCAGCGGAAAAGCACTCATCAAGCATCCAGCTGCCAACAAAGATCGGGAAGTTGATGGTATCCCGAACATGGAAGTCATTGATGTATATCAGACATCATGATTGGAATCGAATCCAGCCAAAGTGAGCCACCTTGTTCATCTCTAAGACATCATCATATTGTATCTTAGGCCAGCTGTCATTTGCACAGTGCTGCCACTTCCTTTTTGCATCTCCTGGGCCATTGAACCCATGAGTCATTGACCAACCGAGCAGTTAACACCAACCTAGAATCTAATATGCCACGCCACATCCTCCTCATTAACGGTCCAAACCTCAACCTCCTTGGCAAGCGCGAGCCACACGTCTATGGCTCAACGACCCTGGACGATGTCATCGCCACTGTGAAGAGCCAAGCCCTTGAATTAGGAGTCGAGCTGGAAACATTCCAGTCTAACCACGAAGGTGCCATCGTGGATTGCATCCAGGAAGCAGCGGGATGGGGGCCGACTGTCAAGTCCGACGAGATCAAGGAGAGAAAGAAAGTGTCGGCTATCATCATTAACCCTGGGGCACTGACACATACGAGCGTTGCAGTGCGGGACGCGCTTTTGGGAGTTGATATTCCGTTTATAGAGCTGCACGTAAGCAATGTACATGCGAGGGAGCCATGGAGAAAACACAGCTATCTCAGTGACAAGGCAGCAGCAGTCATCTGCGGTATGGGAGCATTCGGGTATAAAGCAGCGCTTGAGTTTGCGGCAAAGCATATGGAGGTGAGGGAGGATAAGAGATGAAGGGATGGTTGGGAACCGACTGAAAGCTCAGTGGGCTTAAATCCTAAGCTCTTGCCTTCAAGATGATGTCACTAGATGCGTCAATACGGAAAGATCACTGCAAACTGTCACGATTAATTGTTCAGTCTGTAAGCATGTTAAGTCTCTCGATAGTAGCTCCCTGGAAAACAAAATTCACCGATCTTCCGGACGCCTCAGCCCAAACATGTCACAGCCAACTTCCGAAAACACAAGCAGCAGGTTAATACTTACAGGGATGCAAAAGCAACAGCAGGGACAGGTGCCGGTTTCTCCGCTGTCAACTTCATATCTTTGATCAACTTTGCCCACGAGATAGCACCCCTCCTAGCCAGTTCCTCTGGCACTTCAGGCCCAGTATCGGCCATGCGACGGTTGAACAGCTCCAGGCTGACCCAACCTTGGAAACCAAGTCCATAGAAAAATGCCCAAGCAATCTCTTTGACGGGCAAATATGCGCCGCGGTCTTTCTCGCCATAGAACAACCGACAGTTTCTCGACCAGCTCATTCTGGCTGGCTGTTCAGGATTGTAGAACGGATGTCCCTCGATCAACGGCTCCTCAAGCCTTTCGGCATCCACAACCTGCACATAAAACACCTTACTGACGTCGACTTCGCTCACCAGGCGCGCCATAGATTGACGAACAGCTTCCTCAGCGTTCGGAGTGCGGCCGCTGGCCACCGCAGGGTCGGCAAAAATGCGACCAGCGATGTTGAACGTGTCCAGGCACATGCCGAAGTTGGGGCGGTCGACACGGCGCACCACTTCCCAGCAGCGCTCCCAAACGTTGACACGGGTGCTCCAGCAGAGCGATTCGTACGCAAAACGGATGGGGGGATTGGCAGCCAGACCCATGTCGGCCAGCTCCTGAAGGTCAGAAACAATGAGGTTCAGGTCCTCGGTGACCTGATCGGCAGGGAGGAAGCTGGCCGGGACCTGAATCATATCGGTCTCGAGTTCATGAGCGAGCTGGATCCAGAATTGGAGTTGATCAAGGCGGCGTTGGTGCTCTGCCCGATCCAGAAGGCCGTCGTAGTGGCTAAAAGGCTGGAGGCAGACAATTTCGATGCCTCTGGCACGACAGAGGCGCACAATATGACGAGCTGCGGCAAGCTGGGAAGATGGAGAAGGCCCCGAGGAAGAAGGGGGCTCGCTCGAGAGACTGTACGCCACGTCTGCTAAGTCTTCGTGAAAGAGCTCGATCCCCTGGTACCCATACTTGTGGGCGGCATCGAGCTTGGAGATAAAGGAGTGGCCAGCGTAGCACCGGCCTAGAGACATCGATGTGATGGCAAGTTTGTAAGGCATCTTGGAGGACTCCGAAGGAAGGTCTGTGACGAACAAGTTATGGAGGAGAGGCATGCTGGGCGATGAGGTGGTAGATCAAGGGCCTTATATAGGGGGATAGGTGGCAGACAGACGGCTTCAGGACTATCAAACTATCCAAAAGAATAGGATAAGGAGTAATAGTAGAGATATTGTTTAATAGGTTGAGCGCGGGATGTATGTCGATATCGTAGGGTTTATCAACAAGGTGAAGGTCGATGATGTCCTGAGAGACTGGATTGAAGGGGAGGAAGATCGGAAGTGTGAGGAGGGTGGGGGATGACCCAGGCATATATCTTATCACTAGCCTTCAAGCAAGCATGGGAAGGTAGAAAGACCTCTTGCTTTCTCGTCCTCATTTAGACTTGGACAAATCCTAGGAAGGTAAGACCACCCCTGGATGTGATCATGGGTGTGCGGAATGACGTGTGGAGTGAGGGCGGCAAGTTGCCGCAGGCGTTTCATCCGTGTGAGTCCGTTCATCACTTGTTACCCCTAGTAAGGTTTCGTTCTAGAGACCACTTAGAAGTATTCCTTTCATTTTCCCGACCTTTGAACTCTTATCCAAACTCCCGGCGCAAGCCGCCGGGTCCAGTTCCCTAGCTTAGCCTGGTGACAAGTGCTGAGGTGAGCACAACCACTGGATATGGGCTTCACAGTCACTCCTCCAACCTGGATTCCTGCATCACCAAGACAAACACCAAAATACTGGACCAAAGGAAGCGGATATCTCTGACAGAACTTTACTTAGGAGCGGTGTAAAAGGTGCAGAAATATGACCAATGGTGCACCAGTTTCTTGAACAGCGGGTTGATATCGTGCAGCCAGCCGCAGACCTTCCACTGATGAACACAGATGCAGAAACTCTGCACTTCACCGGCAGACCCAAAAATAAAGCGAGGCGCCACGCCACCTGCGGACGTTGCTTCTTCCTGCCGACATGGGCAATGTTGTTGTCAGAGTGAGTTTGTTACCTTGGGTAGGAAGACTCAAGAGAGGAGCGGGCTCTTGAATATTGATTATCCAACAATGAGACTTTGCTAATGCTCCCTTGTGGATTCTAGAAGGCCGCTATGCCGTGTTATTGGTTAACGAACAAGCGTTGGATAAACATTTACACGGCGCAGAAACATCCTTGATTCCAGTGCTTGATGCACCTAAACGCAGAAAACTGCTGGCTGAGAGAAAGTACCAAATACCAACTTGGATAAGAACTCTCATCCTCTTGGTCTCAGTTCTTGTGTTCTTGTATGTGCGGTTCTCTTACCTCACTGCCATGAGGACAGCACACTATCACAAGCACATAATGGACTGCACAGTGCCGTCCTTATATGCATGTACGCAGCAGGTCCGCTGCTTTTGGATGCATCTTATTCCGCCATTGCTGGTCAGGGTTCTTAGCCAGGACTGTGGTTAAACGACATCCCGTTTGCCCTGAATCCACACCTTTAAAGAACCCGTCGACTCCACATCTTTCTCCATGTTCATGCTCCCGTGAACCGGCTGATGGTTTGTGTTGATGCTGTGATGGGGAGACGCCGATTGATCTAGCAGTTTAAATATTACCTGATGATAAGCATGTTACCTAAGGTTGAGAAATGAACTCCCTATTGTCAACTTTGTGTGATCTGAAATCATCGACCTTACAAAAACAGCCAGCTTCCTTGCGTTCATTAATTTTGTGATTAGAGAAAGCCAGTAACACACCAAAAACCAAGGTGTAGATAGCGGACTCGCACAATACAAACAAAGCAGCCATCATGTCGACCACAACAACGGTGACTGTGCAGAAAGAGCAGCAGGAGCAGCAAGCACCCCTGACTCTGACACTCAACTCTCAAATCGACAAACTTGACAAACATGGCTTCTTGTTCGGCGAAAAGCTGGCGGCCTCAATGTCTCCTCTTTTACACAGTGTGGTCTACAAGAATCTGGGTTTAAATTGGGAGCAGATCAGACTAGATTCTACAGACATGGATCTCTTCCTGCGCCTGATACGACACCCAAAATTTTACGGTATGTCATCTCTCAGCTTCATTGCAATGTAAGTACACATCTAGAGCTCTCACAGGGACTAACAGTTCTACCAGGCGCTTCCGTTACCATGCCACACAAAGTTAACATCCTCCCCCACCTCGACTACCTCACTGAAGAATGCCGCGAAGTTGGTGCCTGCAACACCCTTTTTCTGCGCACCCTGCCCGACGGCCACCGCCAGTACTGCGGCGCCAACACTGACGTCATTGGCGTGCGCGAGTCCTTTGTGCAGAACGTGGCTGACCCAGCCTCTGTCTACGAGAACCGTCCAGCCATGGTCATCGGCTCGGGTGGTGCGGCGCGCTCCGCGGTCTATGCTCTGCACAAATGGCTTAAGGTGACGCAGATTTATCTGGTTAATCGCGACAAGGGGGAGGTCGATGCTGTGGTGGCGGAGTGTACTACCCGCGGGTACGGGGATAGGCTGGTGCATGTTGAGACTGTTGATCAGGCGCACAAGTTGGAGGCGCCGGGGGCAATTGTGGCGTGTGTTCCAGATTTTGAGCCTATTACTGAAGAGGAGTGGACGGTGAGGAGGATTGTTGAGGTCATGCTGAGCAAGGAGGGGAAGAAGGGAGCCATGCTGGAGATGTGCTACAATCCATCTCCATACACTGCGCTGGGGGCCATTGCCGAGAATAATGGTTGGCAAGTGATTCTGGGAACCGAGGCAATGATCTGGCAGGGTGTTGAACAGGTGAGTTGTCATTGTCTTGTTGTGATGATACAACGGTGTACTAATGCAGGCTTATTATTACTACAGGACAAGTACTGGACTGGCCGGCAAGTAAGCGAGCTTCCTGTATCTGAGGTCAAGAAAGCTATTGCAGAGCGCCTGGCTCAGATCTCTAGGAATTGAGCTTGGTTTATGAGCCTTCCAGTTTTGTCTCTTATGGTCCAGAGAGGACTGCTACATGATGTAGCTATCAATTACATCTTTGGACTTGAGCAGCTGTATTACCGGGGAGTTGGCTGAGAATATGAGTTTATAGATCCATTGTCTCTGGAACGTTGGAACGATTCAAGGACTTACTCCGTATAAAAAACAGCACGCTTAAGATGGTGACGTATTCTGAGGTGGTCATCTGTGTCCTCTAGATATTCGAGGAGTGAAGTCTAGAATAGTTGTTCCTCTTTCACCTGTCGATCTGGCTGGGGTGTCAAGAAAAATTATGGCAAGCCCTGTATTGTGTGATCCAGTTTAATAATCAAAAATATAAGCGGGATTTACTTATTTAAGACTTTATAGGTCTCAATGTTAAAAGGTAGAAGGGAACCAGATCTCTTAGAGCCTCTTCGTGCTACTATGAAGGGTTTCATGCTATTAGTGGCAAGTTGAGTTGACATATCAAAAGGTTACCAAGAGATACAGTCTGGAGATAGGGCAGCCGCATAGTGTTGGGGAGAATATTTCCACCATCAGCGCCACGGAGTGGCAGCGTTTTCCAACTCTTATCGAAGTTGTGTGACATGACCGGTGCGAAGCCAGCAAACCGTCGGAGAATCTAGAATAAGGTCCGATGGTATGATTGCAAGGGATGTGGGTCAAAGAACGAGGCTGGTCCCGACTAAGTGGTGGGAATACACAATATCGGATGTTTGAGCTCTAGTTCGAGTGAAGAACTCATACTCAGAAAGATCGGGTTTGACCATCAGCCGTTCTGGACTCAGACGGGACCAACAGCATAAGACAAGGCAATAGCCAATGAGTGGGTTTCGGCATATCTTCATCTTCCTGTTAAAACTGAGGCTTTGAGTATATGAAAGACATGATAGGGACACCAAAGTTGGGTATTCTGTAAAGAAACAGAGAGGTTCTCCAAAATTGAGCAGAAGCCGTTGTTCACAATAACAACACGGGGCAAAAGGCGGATGATATTCAGAGTAATTAGTCCACAGTCACAGTAAAGCCATGGTGACAAACTATGAGAGCCGATATTATATTGTCCTTTTGATAGTCATTTCCAAGTTCGGCTTTACTACTCTCCGTCTGTACATGGCATCCAGATGCTGATTAAAACCATCACTGCTGTGATACCCAAAAATGAAAAAACGCAAAACACGCTGGAAAATCCGACCAAGTGGATAACCCGCACCTGGATCGTAGGGGCAACCGAGACCCTATGTCATCATTCACCGTGACATGGCTCGAACACTCTCAGCCACTTCCTCTTGATGGCTCCTCCGTTCCTTCTCATCCGTCGACGACGAGGCATCTTCAGGAGAAACCCTCGTAGCAGCAGCATTCTGCGCCTGAAGCTCCTCCATGACAATTTTATTCGCCTTCCTGACCGGCCTAATCTCAAACAGGCGGTCCATAGCCTCCAGAGGGACAGACTTCGTCTCAGGGACCAGGAAGAAGACAAACACAATCGACAGGATCATGAGCGACGCAAAGAAGTACACTCCATACTTCATCTTGAGAAACATCTGTGGGGTGAACCGTGAAATAATGAAGTTCCAGAACCAGTTGTTCGCCGCAGCCGACGCCTGGCCCAGAGAGCGAGTGTTCTGGTCGAACATCTCAGAATTGACGACCCATGGTGTGCCGTTCCATGAGGGCGTGTAGAAAGCGGTCCACAGATAGAAGAAGAAGACGGCAGCGATACCGGCGCTGTCCATGCGGGCATCAGTCTTGGAGGCTGGGTCCGCAATCTTGATATAAGAGCCAATGAACCACATGCACAACGAGCCACCAGCAGCGCCGACAAAGAGCATGCGACGACGACCAACATGGTCGACAAGCCAGAGCAGCCATACGAAGGTGAGCACAGTCTTGACAATGCCGAAGAGACCGGTTGTGAGGAAACCCGTGTTGGTGCCGGTGATACCCAAGCTGCGGAAGACGGTAGGAGAGTAGTAGTTGATGGCGTTGATACCACTTCCATTTTGGAAGAGGAAGAGCAGACTACCAAGCACGAAGCGCCATTGGACCTTAGGCTTTTTCAGAGCAAGGAAAGGCCTCCAGAAGCCCCTGCCGACTTCCCGTTCATAGCGTTCGAGATCCCGGTCGATGAGCCGGACCTCCTCGATGATGTACTGGTCAATGGGCTCGAGGTTCCTGATCCAGCAGAGAATCTTCATAGCCTCATCTCTTCTGCCCTTGGAGAAGAGCCAGCGAGGGGATTCCTTGATCCAGAAGAGACCCAAGAACAGCAGGCCGCCAGGGATGAGCTGGACCGCGAAGGGGATAAGCCACTGTGACCGAGTGGGCTCAAGTGTCGTGTTAACACCGTAGTTAATCCAGAAGCCGACCAAACCACCAATCTGCCAGCCAAGCTCGTAGATACCAACAAGGCGGCCACGAACAGCAGGCGGGGCAAGCTCAGAGATGTAGATGGGCACCATGTTGGACGCGCCACCGACACCAATGCCAGCCAGAACACGACCTGCAAGAATGGGCCCAATACCGCGATCTGAATTAGCAGCAAGCATTATACCAGCGCCGAAAAGGAAGACAGCAGCAAAGATGAACAGCGACTTGCGCCGGCCGAGGAAGTGACTGGTAGCATAGGCGAAGAGACTGCCAAAGAAAGCACCTGCTTGATAGACGGAGACGATATTAGATTGAAGCAGGGCAAGGTCGTCGGGTTCGTAAGAAGCGAAGTCAAACTCCTTGGTAAAGGAGGGCAAGGCGAGAGTAGTGCCGATGAAGGCAGAGTCGTAGCCAATCATGCATGATGCAAAGGAGGCAACGACAGCACAGGCATAGACTCGCCAGTTGTATACGGCCTTTGGCGTCGGTCGGTCCTCCTTGAGTTCTAGGAGAGTCATCTTGACCGGATTTGGACGTCAAGCTGGACGTCTGGGAAGTCTGGAAAAGAAAGACAAAGTTGAGGATAACCGAAAAAGATAAAAGATCAAACCTTAAGAGAAGTCTGGGGTAAAGATGTGGCGTGATCCGGGGAAGGCCAGAGAATTTATAAAAGCAAGAGAGTTCCCCAGAACCGGGCCCATTTACCCCAGACCAAACAGAGCGGCCATGTTTTTGAAGCCGGCTGGCCATGTGCCTTCTCCACGGTCCTCTTTACATGATCCCCGGCTCAAAATTTCTCATTCTCATGAAGAATGTTGGACCGTGGGGATGACACCCCGACATCCAGTCAACCGGATGAGAAGAAAAGGTGACGTGGAAGTCTCCGAGGCAAATTATTTTGATTGGAATTGCCCACAGAGTTTGTGAAGTCCTCCTTGAGTCTTCCGCATGAGGATGCCATGCTCCCAGGATCCACCCCGGGGAAGACGCTAGGGGCAGCTGTTCGGCAGTCAGGATGAACACTCACCCGGTCACGGGCCTCCACGCGACCGCCAAAGTGCCGATCCCGGACTCGGCCGTCAATTACCAACAATTGCGAGAGCATGCGCTCAGAAGCCTGGCTCATCAGCGACCCAACATGGAAAGGCTTTTTTGCTACCTGAATCCATCGAATGACGGCTTCTTTGTGGGTTGACCCCGACAGACAAGGCGTGGAAAATTAAGTGCAAGGTACATGTAGGGGTAAGATTGCTGAAAGAAACTGCAACTGTTGCAACAAACTCGGCTGTTTTCATTCCTGCACGTAGATTTTATAGTTCATAGCCAACTGCTGTTCAGGGGTGTCCAAAGATTTTTGTAACTCAGGGCACCTGTGCAACAATATTGTTGAGTCGAGGTTGAAGCTGTGCCAAATTGGACCGTCCTCGTCCATACCCGTAAGGATCATCAGGATAGGCCTTGAAGACCTCGCGTCTCATGAGACGACGGGGTGCTCGCCGCCCAGTGAACAGCTCGAACTGCGCGAAACCTTGCTCAGGAAGCAGGTCCAGACCGTCCATCGCGACCCAGCCTCTGTGAGCTTCCTTGCGGACCTGTTCCAGCAGCGGCGAGTCGAGAGTCTTGTATTCCAGCTCCAGCACAACGCCGCCCGTGGGGCTACCCAGCCAGCCTTCGGGAAGCGTGAAGTTTGGCGCTGGATTACCTCCAACGCTGTGTGTCGGGATGCAAGAGACGATCATGGTAGGGAGCTTGTAGCCTTCGGGCCAAGGATCATCCCGGGACTTGATGATATGAAATGTTGTTCGTTGGTCAGTGTCAGACCCGGTGCTGAATAGCGGCAGCCCATTCCGAGAGAGCAGAGTCTCAAAGTGGGAGACAAGCTTTTGGGCATTGGCAAGCGTCCTGTTGAGAATGAAAATATGCTTGACTCCGAGTTGCAGCATGGCATATACGGCAGCTCTAGCCATGCCACCGGCACCGATAACCAAACCGGTGCTCGTTGGACGGACAGCGTTTGCTGGAGATAGTCCGCGGCGGATGCAGGCCCGGATGCCGATCCAGTCTGTATTCTCTCCATAGAGAGCCTTGACCGGGCCGGCTCGATTCCGTTCATTGGAAAGCAGGCCATCTTCTGGAATGCTTCCATCTGGGTTTAGATCTCTCACTGGGATCAATGTGTTAACGGCTCCAATGGCTTTTGCATGCCGGCTCAGAGTATGGGTCAAGCTGATGATTTCAACTTTGAACGGTAAGCCGACAGATGCTCCAGCAAAATGGGGATCGTTCACAAGTTGTTGTATGCTCGCAATGTTGCCTGTAGAGTACGGCTCGTAACGGTGTGGGATGCCGCAGGCCTTCAGAGCCGCATTGTGCATGGCAGGAGACAAACTGTAGCTGACATTTGCGCCGAAGACGTACAATCTCATGGGCTCGTAGTAAAAGGAAGAATAGAGGGCTTGAGTTGCTTCGAAAGCCGTCAATGTTGGGCCGATGGGGATGTTGCTTTCTGCGTGCGCCAGGGGCTTGCCGTTTCGATATTCGTATGGGTTGACTGATGTGAGAATTCTGTTGAAGCAGGCCGACCATCGTCCTAGAGCGCCGGTATTGTAGGCGATTATTGGAAGTCTCGGTCCGGATGTTGAGTCTGCCAATTGCTGAACCAAACGAACGTCAAAGTTCTCAGCAGCGTTGCGAGCTTTTCTCGTGAACCTGACCAGATCACAACCGACTGCCTGCGCCTTTTCGTAGTAGAATCTCCAAGAGGAATCGTTCCATGGAGGTGGGTCAGGGTCTACCAGCTGGAGGTTACCGATAACTTTACACGTTCCCTTGGTGGAAAGGATTTCAACGAGAAACGACGTGTTGAGTCGTAGATCAAGGGTGATGTAATCAGGGGCAAGTCGCAACCCATGGCAAAGATACGAAATGTATAACGTTCGCCAAAAGTCATTGGTCAACGCTGCTTCGGGAAAGACCACATGAAGGAGGATAGGGATAACAGTGTCCCGGCGTATTTGAGCGAGAACACGGCTTATCTGACTGGCACGCTGAGGACTAAGGAGAGCGAGAGATTGTAGAGGGCTCGCACAGCCAGTTACGAGGTCATCTACCACGACTTCTATGGCATCTGCGCCAGTCTCGATCTCCTGAACATCAACATTTTTTTCGAGAAGCGTTGACAGAGAAAGAGAGATGGCGTATGTGAACTCCCTCTCCTCGGCCGGGACGGTTGCCAGAGGAAAAGCTGATTCAATAAAAGGGATGGCCCCGCAGGGAAGTATGAGCGATAAGAACTTGAGAAAGTGCCTCTCGGCTCGTTTAAGTGTGAGGTATGGCGCTATCGGTCTGTCTGGGTCGTTGGTTGGTGAGGGAAGACGAGCGTCTATGGCCTGGCCAGAGATGGATGGTTCTTCGGACATGTTGAAGAACTCAAAGCGAGTACATCTTCTGAACACAGTGCTGCTCGCATCCAAAATGTCGCGGGCTTTTTGAGTGCTGCAGAGCTTTAGATGATTCTGGATAGCCTCTGGATCTCGTAGCACATAGATGACGGGGTGTGTCTCACAGAGCTGCTCCAAGGCTGACTGAACTCCTCTTTCAACCCAAGAACAGACGATGATGGCATTGTACTTGTGCTTGCCTAGGACATCATGCAGAATGCTGACCTGACGGCTTTGGCAGGCGGCAGCGCCATAGAGTTTTTTGTAGCCTGGACTGGAGAAGCCAGTTGTGGTATGAAAGGTCTTCTCCAGATCGATAACCTTACGCTTCATGGCGGTGGAGGCCATGATTGCCAGTGTCGACTTGCCAGCTCCCCGGATACCCACGATGACGAGGGACGCATCGCCATCAAAGGACACACTCTTATGGCGTGTTTTTTCTGGTTTACACGTTAATCCGAAGGTTCAGACCTAACTGGAGTGTAAACCGGAAGGGTTGGCTAGGAAGAAACTCACCTGGCTTGGCCGGCTCCGGGAGGTTCGTCAGGGCTGAGCGAATGGGTGGCAGACAGTTTGGTTCCCGGCTGTCAACACAGAAATCTCGGGATGCCGGCCGAGATGGTGGCCGGGATTCAAGTCCCGGGCCGTTTGGCGCGGCCATCACGGCGTAGGAGCGTTTCATGCCGGTACCTGCCAAGCGCGAGATAGGCTGGGAATGAACAGTGGGATGTCAAGATGCGCCAAATGCTGGTAGTGAACCTGAGTGCCCTTGTCTCGTGGGCGCAGACCCTGGAGGGTGTGATACCAACTGGTTGACGGGAATTGCGTTGAGCCAGTGTACCCAGGGATTGGATCAAAGCTCAATCGGAAATTTAAAACTATGAGCCATCGACATCCCGAATCGCGTCAGGAGTCGGCGTATAGCAGTGTATGTAGGTTAGAACTTCACAAGTCAGCCTGGGCCCTGAGAGGATCCACCAAGAGTTCATGTTACTTCCCCAGGAAGATCTCTGGAAGAAGGTGGTTCAGGGCTTCTCCAGTGTCAGATCGCCGGGGCTGTCCGAACATAGAGCCGTCTGGGCGGAGCTGAGATCTTAATGTGTGGAGTTGAAGGCCAAGGTGGGTGCGGAGATGAAGTTTGTGGGAAGTCGAGGTCAAAGGCCTCGGTGTCCCAGAGGCTTGGCGGGGTTTAGGAACGCTAAAGGCGGATAAATATTTACTCCCCCAGCCTAACCTTCCCATCACTAGCCCGCAGAAGCGATGTTCTCTTCAATCATCCCATCTGTTCCCACAGACGCCGACAGGCACGGCCTTTGTGGAACGGCAGCAAGGAGACAGCAACCCGTGAACGGGCTAGCGGCGCTGCTGCATCGGTACGCTAACTGTTAAAAGCCAATCGACACTGCGCATCCTGCGCACATCGTGGGGTAAGCCCTTGGATGGTCCCCAATGCGGGGTCGATCCAGGCTGCTGGGCCTGAGCACGACAACGAGACAGGAAGCCTACCCGCAGACCATCTCGGTTCTGAACGGAGAACGGCAATGATCCCGGGCTCGTGATATCCAACTTGGTGTCTCAATTGTCTTGTTCAGCCTCAACAAGAGCCGGCGCGGTTTGGAGCCGACTGAACTCACACATTGTGACGGCCAAGTTCCAGTTGGCGGACATGAATCTTTTTCCATCACTTTGGCACCGGTGTGTCGTTGTCCGCGTCGACCCTTCGACGCCCACGCCCCCTTACCATGCCCCCGAAACGGAGGACGGCCGAGGCTGATATCCTGTCCTCCAGTCCGAACAACAACACAGTCCCCTCCAAGACACCTGCAACCCAACCACCAGCCATCCAGCCACCGCCCCTTATCAAACGCCAGAGAGTCTCAAGAGCCTGTGACCAGTGTCGTGCCGCTAGGGAAAAGTGCGATGGCGTACAGCCTGAGTGTTTCCCATGCATATCACAGAGACGCTCGTGCACCTACGAGATCAGCCCTAAGAAACGGGGTGTCCAAACCGGCTATATACGCACACTCGAGCTTGCCCTCGGTTGGGTTTTTGATGAGATTCCCGGGACCGAGGAGGCTTTAAATCGCCTCATTGCCCACTCCGGGGGGCAGGGTCAGACGATTTTTACAGGAAAGGACCCGTCTGGGGCCGAAAGGCTCCAGAAGAGGTGGAGGACAAGTCGAGTCCATCAAAGCATCGACTACCTTTTATCGGGAGGGACCTTGCCCGTCCCCGATGAAAATGATCAAGGCCAATCGATCGATACACCTGATTCCGACGGAAATAACACTCGAAAGTACTCTGTTTCTTGCCTAGCCGAGAGCGGTGCCGACCTTATCGGGCTGGAATTGTCGTCACCTCGATCTGCGAACAGCGGATATTGCCAACAGCTTGACAGGCAGTCCAATGGTGAACAGCGAAATACCCCTTTACCCTGTTTATCACGATCCCGTCAATCTGGACTCGCACGCTTAAAGCTGCCCTCAAACCACTGGCGCCTACTTGACATATACTTCTCATACACCCATTCGTGGCTTCCCATCCTTGAGAAGCAGGCTATCTTTCAGACCTCATATCTCTACCCTGAAGAAGGACAACAAATATCACCCTCAGATCCATCTTCTGCAGTTCATGCCGAGTTATGGGCAGCCCTGGCCTTAGCTTCCTTACAAAGTTCTCTCGTCACCCACTCCTCTACTTCAGACAGCACCAGTCCCTCTCCTGTTGAGATTTACCAGACTGCTCGCAACCTGCTTCCATCCGAGAACGGACCTTTCAGGATCCACCATGCGAGAGCCATTGTGTTGCTCTGTTTATTCAACATGGAGCAAGAAAAGCTCACTTCAGCCTGGATGATGGTTGGCTCGGCCATTCGAATTCTACTCAGTCTTGGGCCTTCACAGTCATCTGGTCAGGGAAAGGAGAAAGAAAGGATAACCTTAGCATTGATGTCTTGCTTTATTCTCGACACTGTTCTGTCTGTGAGACTTGGCCAGCCATCACATCTTAGAGCAGATGATGTCGCAAACTATCTCCCTGCTCCCGAAGATAGCCTTGATCAATGGGAGCCCTGGACACCATGTGATGGATTTGGACCTCCTTCCCAGGCTAGCTTGCGCTCTTCCCGGAATCCTGCCTTTTGTATGAGCACATTTAATCATCTATGTGGCATACTAAGGGTTGTATCCAGTGTGATGTTGGAAAAGCGGCTTAGGTTGTCGCTTAGAGGCAGCTCTGGGGACCTTCTTGACAAGCTGAAGCAAGCTATGAGCTCTAGTGCACAGCTGGGAAATTTCGCTCTTGCCCCAAAGTGTGGGACATCCACTGTTCCGACACCATACATCGTTCGAGCCATTTACCTCTGGGCAAATGCCTTGATCGGCCCATCACCTCAGTCCTCTATTGCCCTTTTGGATGAGACCTTGGGTCAGTATAGAGCAGCGTTTGGACAGTTTACACTTCCGTCGATCATTTCGAGCTGTCTTGCATCAATCCCAAGTCAAGAGGATGAATCCCAAGGATGGAGAGACCAGACAGGGCAGCGACACAGCTATGTCGCCGCGGTGTGGAGTGAGGCAAGGCAGGCTTCAGGGGCTGAATCTCGAGCAGGCTCTTTCGCTCTGCCCACGCACCATCGTCTGGGTATAGCATCTAGTGCTCAAGATTCCTCCTCTCCTCAGCCAGACCTGGCTTATCCAAGCCATGTCATGGTTCCCATCAACAATACTCAAAATATCACGCATCAAAATCTACCAGCCCCTATCGGCAATGGGTGTAACTCCTACGATGAAAGTCGCTTGCCAGTGACCTACCAACAGCCCTTCACCAACCCTCCAACTGCCTTACCTACTCAAAACAGCAGTCACATTAATCTGCATATGGGCAGTATCAGTAGCATCGCATCCATGTCATCAATTCCTCCACTACAGCAAACCCATCATTTCAACCCCTCTATATCCTCAACCAGCGGGGCAAAACAGCCCTCACACTCCTCACACCCATCCCTATTCCCTGCACATCCCAATTCGCAGGCTCAGGCCTCACACGCCATGACTGTCTCAACGGGACACCCAGCAGCACCGATAACAGCAGGTGTAGGGGCAGCAGCGGGAGGTGAGTTGGGCGTCAGCCCAGACTATGAAGCGCTGCTGGACGATCTCGCATCGATCGAGTGCACAGATGCAGTGGACGTCGATCCCCAGTTTATGACCAACCTGGGGTTTGTCGCACCGCCAGGAATGGATATAGCGGAGGTGTTGGCGAGGGATTTTGGCGGCTGAAAGAGACTCAGCAGGCTCAAACCTGAGGGTGGCCCTTTTGGATAATTATGCACATGTATAAACGCATCATGATCACTGAGAAAATCATGTTCGTTAAATTACAAATACCTCTTTTATTTTGACCTCGTGTGCCTCACAAGCTAATTTTATCGCGGTGGTCATGCCGAAGTGGAGGACGAGTGTCGTTATCACTCACCCTCCCAACCCCATGATTTGACCCTCACGAAATGGAATATCTCTTTGAGGATTATGCATTACACCGGAACATAGGATGAATTTCACAGTTAACCTTCAACAGCTAGAAGGCAAGATGGCCGAGCGGTCCAAGGCGCCACGTTAAGGTCTTACCCTTAATCCCAACCTTCGAAAGAGGTTCCGTGGTCCGAAAGGGCGTGGGTTCGAATCCCACTCTTGTCATAACTTTTTCATCTTCTAGGTTTTTGCACTTAACTGTTCTGCACCTTGACAGTGACCATCTCGCTGGTTGATTTTGCTTTCTGTTTTACAGAATTTTGGTTCCTCGGCATGGTTATTCAAGTGCCTGTCCCTTGAGAGTTCTGGTAAACAAATTTCAAGCAGATCATAGTCGGCTCTTATAAACCTCACCTGTGACTGGAACTGGATCCGAGCTAAGGACTATGAACTGCATCACACAAGTAATGGAGTAGCATATACTTTGATGGCAAGTCAAAATGTCCAATATATACGGAGAAGCAATTAAGTAGCCAATGATGTCCAAACCTTCATCAATAAACCCTGAATGAGTTTCCTACTCCTTAACCAGCGCCGTCTTAGCAGCTTCCTCACCCGCAATTCGTCCAAAAACAACACACTCAAGCAAGCTTGACCCGCCCAACCTGTTATCGCCGTGAATACCGCCGGTAATCTCACCGGCACCCCACAGGCCCGGGATCGGCTTCTCCGGCGTCTCTCCAATGTCCGACGCCAGGATCTGCGCACGCTCATTGAACACGGCGCCGCCCATGGTGAAGTGCACGATGGGCGTTACACGGCCGATGCACACCTCTTCGTCGCCCGTTATCTCGCCAGAGATACCCAAATTCCAATGTCCGAAGTTGAGCCGCCCAAACTCGTCCTTAGCTTCGCCGCGCACGACAGCGGCATACTCCTTAACCGTCTGCCGCGTGACATCATCCAGCTCGGATACCTTCTTCTTTTGCAGAAGCCCCTTCCACATGTAGAACGCGACATGGTTTTCCGCCCTGGCACACGCGCCGGGGTCGAGCAGGATCTGGATATCCCACTGGCGCAGACCTCCTTCGTCGTCGGCCGACTGGGGCAGGTTCATGATGACACTACTGACCTTTTCGCGCGTGTCGAGCTCATTGACGAACCGCTGGCCATTAAAAAGCAGGATGCCACCCTCGCCGCGCAGCATTTCGGCTGCGAGGAACTTCAGGCGTGCGTTGGGGTCCTTAGGGTCCACGAAGCCTGTCGGGTGGATCTGCACGCTTTCCATGTCAACCAGCTTCGCGCCGGCAGCGGAGAGGATGGGGTGCGAGCCGGGGCGCGGGTCGTTGGTCGAAGGAAGACCGGCCAAATCGGGACGGTACTTCTGAAGTAGGCCGTGCGTGTCGCCGCCGAAGCCGCCGGTTGTGAAGATGACAGGGCCGTGGAGGAAAACGCGTTGCGGGACGGGTGTGGCGTCGGCATCAGTTTCGCTCTCGGCGACCTTGTTGAGTGCACGGTACTCGACACCGGTGACGGCTCCCGTATTAGGGTCGGTCAGGAGCTTGGTCACCTCAGACTCGGTAAGTAGCTGGAACCGATCGCCCTTCTCCTTCAGCCTGTTCAGCAAGGTGGTAACGATGGCCGCACCAGGGGGGGTTTTGCCCGAACCGCGGTGTGTGCGGGGGATGCTGTGGCCACCAAGCATAGTGACAACGCTCAAGTCGACGCCGAGTTCGACAAGAAAATCGATGGCAGACGCAGAACGGTTTGTGAGAGTAGAGATGAGCTTCTCGCGGTGCTCTCTGATCGGCTGAGCCACCGACGTACTGAGCTTGGTGCCCGCGGACACGACGGTGTCAGAGAAGAAGGAAGTGTCAAGGCCGTACAACTCGACATTTTGGTACTTGGTAGGGGCGCCGTTGATACCGGATGAGGCCTTGATGCTATTGCCACCCGCCTTAGGGCCGCGCTCAAGCAGACGCACTGCAGGGGCGCCGGCCTCAAGGGCTGAGTAAGACGCGGCGAGACCAGCCAGACCAGCACCAACGACAATGACGGGAGGCTTCTCGGACGCCATTTTCGTCACGATGGGTGCCGCCTTTTGAAAAAGGGGGACTGTAGCTCTCAAACGCTGATACAAAACCGCAGTGATAGGGATGAAGATGCTGAGAAACACGAGAATGAGAGCGCGGCGTTTTGTCATGACAAATCGAGGTCGGAAGCCTCGACGCCAAAGCATGCGAATCTGCCTGATAATGATGGAAGGTGGAGAAGGCGAACATTCTGATTCTAAGGTGGGACGGCACTTTCGTTATGTATGGTTTGGCTGTCTCGATGCAAGTCGCCGTGGCGCGTGGCTGCCATCGCGGGGAGCGAGATCAGGTGATCTTGCGTCGTTCTCGAACGGTGCGTCTGAGCGCTCGCCTCTGATTTGACAGGCGGGGATTCTCTCCAAAGTGCCAGTTTGCCGTTTTCCGTGCAGAGTAACAGAATCGTCGATGAGAGCAGTTTGCGACAGCCGCTTGACTCCCCGCATCATCTATTCGGCTCTTGTCAACGGTCAACTATTTGCGCTGAAGAAGGATTATGACATCAACCATGAACTGGCTGCATCCCAAAGTTTGATAAGAGGGAGCAAAAAGACCGTCAGCCACAACCCCGCCCCCGCAATGAAACAACGAGGCAATGTCGCTACTTCGGATTTGGCATAAATCGCAACTCTCGATCTCAATGCATCACGACCCTCACCAAAGCTTAACCAGAGCGAGGATGCATGCACCTTATCGGGATTCGGCATCACCTGCCGCCGACCGGACGACCGATCATCATGACAAACTCCTCTATTGGTGGAGTATTGACTCTTGACTCGAAAGTGGTGCCGAAAGTGTGCTCGATGCCAAGCGCCAAGGGCTGAGAAAGTATGGAAGAACGTTACGCCTCTGCCCTGGCATCCCATCACGTGCGCCAAGGCCCCGTGTCAAGGGATGTTCAGCGAGGGATGAACCCCACACACTCTTATGGGGCTTGCATCTTTTTGCCAATAAAGCCAGAAATTTCTTGTTCCCCCGGATCGGGCCTGGCCATGGGGACCATCATTCCAGCTCCCAACAAGCCCCGATCCATCAACACGCCGTCCAAACTGGAGACGGCTGAACCTCGCAGAACCAATGAGCTGGATAGGGCCGCCATCCCTATCCACCTGTTCATCTGGGGTCTGCTAGCAAAGCCGTGACTAAGCGTCGCACCTCCGCGGGGATCATGCCCGCGGCAAATGCCATTGACATGGCAGAGCCGGTGAACGGATTAGTGAGAAGACTGGTAGAAGGCGCGAAGTGTGGAGAGATTCAAGGGAACAACACCGTCTGACGGACTTGGATTGTGGGAGTCTCAAGGCTTTTTGTTGACGATCCACTGCCCTGGCCAGAGGTTTGGCTCCAATCCGCCTAGTTTTTTTTGCACGTCGGTCAAATGACAAACAGGAATGACGGATGAGATCCAGAGTTACCATCATGCCACCCCACGTGTTGTTTGCTGCTGGTCCCAGAGCCCTCGGGCAAACAAGCCCTTGAGGGCTTCTGTCCTTATGATTGGGAGGCCAACGAGAAGATATCTGCCGCACAAATTCAAATCATCAAAAATACAAAAAGGTAGTGAACAAAAAGGGTGATCAAAATTGATGCCACAACGCAGTCGTAACCAAAGCACTAGCACAGCTTGCTTGCTTAAGCCGAACCCTTGCCATCCTCCTCCTCCGTGCGGGTAGCCGTCCGGGCGAGCCTCTCCTCGCGGCCCTTCTCCGACCAAGGGAAGTGGAAGACGGGAACGAGGAAGAACGAGTTGCTGTAGAAAAGACAATTGTGTCAGCCATTATGTTATCCCAAGTATTGCGCGTGTAACGATGCGGCTCTAAGTATAGGAAGTCTTGGGTGCAGTAGCACGCTTGGCTAATGCAACCATCCAGACCAACATCTGGATCGGCGCTAGCCAGCACAAGACCGTTTTCCCTCGCCGAGGGGAAAGAAATTTCCCTTGTAGGAAGGGCAGGGGAGGATCATCACGAAGACAATGAACATACCTGCTGTCGGCGATACCGGCGAAGGCATTGTACCACGCGAGGAAAGCTGCCACCATGCCAAAGCCACCACCGGCCTGGGTGAGCTTGTGAGCAGCGGTCTCAACGCCGTTGTTGGCGGCGTAATGACTGCAGGCGAGCATGAGGAAGCAGAGGTCGAGAGAAAAAAAGAGCAGGAAGAACATGACGGTCGAGCGCAGCGTGCACAGAAGCAGGATGGTCGTGAAGATGAACCAGCCTGTCAGGAAGAAGCCGAGCGCAGAGTCTGTCATGCGAGGGTCAATCGCCTTAGCAGCGTCGGTCTGATACGGTCCGCCGGCGCCAACAATGTTCCAGTTGGGAGTGAGCATGATGCCGTACGCGATCCAGAAACCACCGTAAGACGAGAGGGCAGTGGCACCGAAAGTGTTGCCAACGGCCATTTCCCTGGAGAGAATGTAAGCTACTGCATTGTGTTGGTTGCCTTTAGTGACACCTACCACATGCCAGCTAGAAGCTGGACGAGACCACCATAGCCGAATGCCAGAGGGACGGCGATGTTGGGAATGTTGACATGCCGCGCGTTTAGGTTGACGCACGACAACACAAAGGTGGTCAGGGCAAAAGCCGACAGCCCCAGAGGCGCCGGGTTGGCAAACTTGCGGTGCTCGATCGGCCGCCAGAGACCAGGCTGGAACTCACCACCGAAGGCGGGAAGCCTAGGCTCGTCACCCTTATGGAGGTTCTTCATGGGATTCCAATGAGGGTCGGGCCGGCGGTGGTGGTGATGCTCATGACCGTGGTGGTCATGACGGTCGATGCCGTTGACCCCAGTGACATGGACGTACTCCTTCTCGCTTGCTGGGTTCACCTGGCCCGTCATTGTGCCGTCTAAGATAAATGGAAAAAAAAAAAATGAAAAATGATATTCAGCACTGGGGTCAATTAGGGTGCCACGGCTGCAAGTACGCCAATTGAACAGACGACTTTTGCAACAGACGATGGGCTCAATGAGTCCTTGTAGAAAGGAGTTGTGACGGGATGACGAGGAGATGGGAGACCCTTCGACGAAGCAAACGAGGATGGGTGAAGGCTTCATATAGAAGGCTGGCCCCGAATGCCTGCCCTCAACGGGCCTGGCTGTCGGTGCGCCGGTTGCGCTGGGGCGCTCTTCTGGGCAGTGGAGGGGCAACTAGCAAGATTGTGACAACCCATCTCCCGTCTCTGGCCTCTGGGGATCGTCAGGGCAAGATAGCGAACATGGCAAGGACGAGCGGTCACGCTCCCCGGTGGAACTGCTGCAACCTCGAAGACCGGCCGGGGGCTTGTTTCTGTCATCCACCCGCCGGTGTGGGTGGGCACCGGGCAGTGTTGTGTGGGCAGTGATCCCCTGCCTGTTTGGTCCTTCCCAGAGTTCCAGGCCGTGGCTCTTGGGCTGCTCTTCCAGATCTCATTCATAATCATCCCGGCCTCCGGCTATCGCACGGCGCAACGGGATGGTTAGTGGTGTTGAAGAATCCGTGTATCATTAAGCGGCGCACCGTTTTGTTGAGCCAACTGGATAGCTACCTGTGTGCAAGCTGCATGGGATCCTGAGGGGAAGCCCAGTCTGTGCGATGATGTGCTTGCAAAACGAGGGATTCCTTGAGGAATCTAGATTGAAGTGGACCTTGTATGGACCTTAGTCTCTGTGCCACTCCGCGACGGAGTTGGGAGACAGGCCGGAGCATGGCCGTGGGAGTTCGGATGGAGGGGGGCTGTCTCCAGGGGGCTTGAGCCCGTCAAATGCCACAGATCCACGTTTGCGGAGTAGGTGATGGAGCGCGCTAACAAAAGGTTGTCTAATGATGCTGGCTTCTTTTGGTGCTTGTGAAGGGATATTTCCGCTGCTCTCATCCTTCATGTCTGGAGAGCAAGCTATCTTCACGCTGCTCTCCTTGTCAGAGAGAGTGGCAAGGGGTGGCAAGGATTGACAACCTGTTCTGCTGGAGATTGGATACAACAATTTCGAGATGAACCGCACGTGTCCTCTGAGGCACAGAGATACCATTCATCCCCACCAATCACCGGACTCCCTCTCTGAACCTACGGTCTCGCTCAAGACAGGTTCAGCTTCGAATCCACACATGGACGTTGGCGGCTCCAGCAACACACAACCCTTTTGTGCGGGGACTCCGCAACCCCAGAAACGAGTAAACGTTAGTCTGGGGTTGGACATGTTGTTGTGGATAATTCAATTCAGGCGTTCAGACAAGACATGAGTTGTTTTGAGGAGGATTGTCGAAAAGTTATTGTTCTGGGATGTCGGGGGTGACTTGACGATGTCCCCTGGCGCCGGCGCAATGGAAATGTTTAACGACTTACGTCCAGTGAGTCGGGATTCTTGCCTTTCAGAAGGGCTTCCCCCTAGTTATCTGGTATTAACTGTCATTATGTGTTTCCAGGGGCTGTTCTTCGGCTCGCAAAAGGATTTCGTCACCCTCCAGGCCTTGGCCGTACGCGGCAGAGAGTGTCCCGAGGGAAGAGGCTTTCAGGCGGCCTCGGTCGACCCCCACGGAGTGGAGAGTCCACGACGGGTGCGGCTCTGCCTAACCTCCCAAGCTTGCCGTTCTGGGAATGTTAGCGCCGGCCATCGGGCGGATCTGTGGCCTGTGACGTCGAACCAGAGTTGACTGGGCTGCATCTCGTGATATGCCAAGATGTGCGGCGCGCGGCATCGAAAGTTCCGTGGCGCTAAACAAGCTTGGTGCCAAGGCGGTACTTGAGCTCGGCAACCTCCTGTTTGGCCCTATCTTATCACACCTACGACGCCATAGGAGCGGTCGCTTGCTGAAGGATCAAACTTTCGGCTGCCTTTCTGGGCTAGCAGCCGACAGCCGGGACAGACCGGGCCCGACAAGGGAGGATTACCTACCGACATAGCCGTCTTGGTCCCATCTTCAATGCCGGAGACTCCACGAATCCCGGGCTTATGGGAGTTCAGGAGGTGGGCCAGGTGGTGGGAGACGTGTGGGAGGTGAGGGGGAGAGGGGCATGAAGGTGATGATCTTGACTTTTGAACAAAAGTTTTCGCACAAGATGAGGGGAATGAGGGGTAAGTCCGTGGTGACACACATGCACGCTCAAAATAAAACCAATATCATAGAAGTTGGAGGCTGTCCTGGGGATAGGCGATGGGGTAGGTGGAGAGTACATGTGATTGGCGTCCCCATGTTCATCTGTCGGTGATGTTTCCATTGTGGATTATGTTGATGATCTCTGGGGCCCCGGGTTGTTTGGCGGTCAAGACTCCACGAACTCGTCAATAGATTCAAGTTTCCCCAGATGGAGGAGATAACGCATGACTCGAGTGTTTCCTGGCTGTCAAAGTCAGCAAGGAGCAAGCCGTTAGAGAAGGCGCAAGAAGTCTGCCGTAAGCTCTAATGTTGACCGCACTCTATCTCTTGAGGGGCACAGTATGCCTAGCGTATCCAAGTTGCGGTCGCGTCACGCCACAGGCGTTTGACAGTTCTGGATTCGAACTGAAGACCCTGCATCTCTATAGAGGTATCCTGATCGACTTTCACCCTTTCTCCTTTGAGCAATTCTTGACTCCTGAATCAGGTTGTTGAGAGCTAAGCAAGGAAGGTCGTATCGCCATTAGTCCGTGTTATTAGTCTCATGTTTGTCGAATACCATTGAAGCTAGGTACTGTTGAGTCAGTTCGTTATAGTTCATGCGAGGACATGCTCCCCAACAAAAACAAAATTTATTTTGCTCTGAACTGCATGCACAGCAGCCAGACAACACCAAATGGTGATGGCGTAGCCAGGGGTCTTGATAAGAAGCAACTCCGCTTCTCTGAGGAATGTTGCGCCAGGGGGATCACTTTAAGATTATCACCCAACCACTTGACCAAGCGTGTCTAGCAGTCGTCGGATATTGAACGCAGTCCTCTGCCGACTTGAATGCCTTGGTTTGAAGTCAATTCCGTCATGATGACAGTACATTGGGGTTACCTAATCCTCCGCTGCCTAACTTGCTAGAGTCCGTTAGATCAGGCGATGTCTTTCCCGGGTGTCTCCGTTTATCGTCAACACTCGTTTCTCTCCATCTAGAAATCTTCAAGCGACTGCCCCAAAAGCAGGTTCTGCCTTAGTAACTTTGCCGCTTCAGGTTTGCTGCGAATTCCTAAACCACCCGAGAAGTCAGATAACGTCCTATATAGTCCTTGCATGGACCAGGTCTAAGCTTTTCCAAGATGAAGATGAGGATGATAATGATTGTAATCACAAAGTTTGTCGGACAGTGCTCTTACCGATATCCGGCCTCCCTCTCTTGCATTAATCCATCTTGCCAATTGGCACTGGACAAAGTGTCCAGATTGAGGCTTGAATTCAGCAAGCATTCACAATTTCCATGTACGTTAAGTTCTCTTCTTACTTGCTAGTGGTACGTCAGCAATCGATCTTGAATTGTTTCAGGAGGTATTGCTACAGTCCAGTCTAAGCGGCACAGACTGTTCCCCCCGGGTAGAGAAGCTACTGGAGAGGGTGAGTAATCCAGTTCGATGCTTCTTGTTGATGTGGCGATAGGAAGAAGTGACAAATGTTCTCAACGCACCCTTACCTGGTTAACGTTGATAGAACAATTGTCTTTTGGATTACGGATTGACGTTTATCAGACTGATCACATAGTAAAGCATAGATCTGTTGTTTACGAATATAGGACAAACATGCCTTGGATTTCAACGGAGTCGGCTGGCCTTGTGTCAAAGGTCGCTTGGAACTTATAAAAACCCGGAAGTTGGAAGTGCTTGAAGGTTCCTTGCATGTCAAATTCATGCAGTAGTTCTGAGGCGTACCTGGGTTTGTAGTTGTCTTCATGTTAACTATCATTTTTCTCCTGAGGGGTTGCCAGTGGTAACATCCTTCCTGCCAGAGCCGTGAGCTCCTCCAGACCAGCAGTACACCGCCACAAACTTACATTCTAATTCTACGAAACTGACAAATCACCCAACATTATCAGGGGAGCAAACTAAGGTTCGTGACGTATGATTGAGGCCGCAAGATGGAAGAGACAACTAAAACAACGGAATGAACTTAAAACTATTGGAGGCAAGGACAAGCTAACACGAGCAATAAGACATGAAAACAAAGTGCCCATTATCTGGGAGCGAGGACTTGGGTTTATTACGCTCGACGGGCTAGGAATTACTGCGGACACCAGCCCACGTCCCCTGTATAAGACCGGAAGCTCTCAGAACGACCGTTAACATCGAACGAGAGAGCAGATAGATGTGGGATCAGCCAGCCCGAGTGCCATCTCCTACTCAGGAGAAAACTCGTAATTGCCCAGCCCCGACACGATCATGAATTTCCACAAGACGCACGGAACCCATAAATTTTGCTCGAGCACCGACAAGGCGTCGTAGACAAATCGTGAAATTTTTGATTCAGGCCGATCGTGCTAATATTCCGACAGCCTCAATCTATGCCATTGCCGGAGCCCATGCAAAGTCAAAACCCACAGACGCCCCAAAGCACCGATCCCGCCAGACTGAGCATCACCCTCATCCAGCACCACCCACTTAGTGAGCATACCGCTTGCCGTCCCTAAGGGTGTCGGCGTACTCCTCCAGCGGGCTCCTGATGAGCTTAGTCTCCTTCCAAAGGTTGGGAGTCAGGAAGCCATAGGTGTTGGCAACAGCAGCGAAGGTAGCTTTAAGAGTATTCTCGAGGGTCTTGGTGCTGCCGGACGACGAGGTGTAGGCGTCTTCAATACCGGCGAGCTGGAGCAGGCGCTTCACAGCAGGAGAAGCGACCAAGGAGGTACCGCGAGGAGCGGGGATGAGCTGGGAGAAACCAATTAGCACCCTTGTGTGACACCAACTCCATAGCCCATGTCTCTTCATTTCTCCTGGAAAACTTACGCGGACGGTGACGGAACCGCACTTGCCGCTCTGCTTGACGGGCAGAGAGTGCGGGCGACCGAGGTTAGCACCCCAGTAACCGCGGCGCACAGGGATAACGCTGAGCTTAGCGATGATGATGGCGGCACGGATAGCAGTAGCGACTTCCTTGGAGGTCTTAATGCCGAGACCAACGTGGCCGTCGGAGTCGCCAATGAGGACGATGGCCTTGAAGCGAGTGCGCTGACCGGCACGGGTCTGCTTCTGGACGGGCTTGATCTGTAGTTTTCGAAAGAAAAACGAGCATCAGCGATCCGTCCAAACCTCCCTAAAAGCCCCAATCGAGCAGAAAACCGTCGTTTCGTTGCTGCGCACCTTCATAACCTCATCCTTGAGCTTGGGCAGGAAGTAGTCGACAATCTGGTACTCCTTGATCGGGAGCGAGTGGAGGTAAATCTCCTCCATGCTCTTGATCTTACCGGCCTTGACGAGACGGCCAAGCTTGGTGACGGGCTGCCACTCCTTCTCGTCGCCCTTGCCGCCGCCGCGGCGACCACGACGGGGACCACCACGGCCACGGCCACGGTCAGCACCACCCCGAGAAGCAAAGCCGCCACCGCGGGCACCAGTTCCCCGATCAGCCATTTTCGCGATTTGTCTGTTGTCGAAAAGACGGGGTCGTTGTTGTCGTGTGGGATCGGTCAAGCACTTGGGCGTGGTCGACGTTTTTCTCCGGCTGCGGGGAGCTTTTTGCCTGGGGGAAATTCTCGTGCGCCAAGCAGCCAACCCTAAGAAGATGTGTGGGGCCTCACAATTCAAGCCTGCAGTGGCTGGAGTAGAATAAAGTATATTATTGGATGAATTCACTGATAAGTTGATAAGGACAATTGTGCGCCGACCCACTTTTCCACTGGGTGAACGGTGGACCGGCAAAGAGGCTCAAGCTTTTAACAAATGCCATTGTGAGCGCTCACTGAACAAGTGCGGTACTGTCTTGAAAACGGCAGAAGCATAGGGAAAATCACCAATTTTCTCATGGCGACATGTCACAGTCATCTAGGAAAACCATTTCTGAGCCCAAATTGGCTTGTATTTGTTTTCAGCCAGATGATGCCACCACTTGATTCCACGACCGGAACGCCAGTTCGCTATGCAGCCTAGGAATCGAGAAAACCAGATGAACAACGCAAAATGGAAGATGACCTCGATATCCCAAAGCCAGCCGGCCGAGTCAAGCGCCGATGAAAATGCACATTCCGAACGCCTTGCACTGGTGTCGTCCCACAACACCTTTAACCATGTCAAGCTCTCCCCAAGGCAGTTTAAGAAGACTTGTTCACATTCATCTACATATCCCAAGTTTTGTTAGTCGTGCCGTCCTCTGCTACGACAAACCTGTCCTGGATAGAGCGAAGGTTCGTACCTTGCGCTTGCCGCCGGTGACGGCGGTGTGGACGAAGCGGCGGTTGTATTTCTCGCGCTGGCGGGCGCGGCCGCAAGGCTTCTTGGGCTTTTCCTGCTTCTCAACCTGTTTCACCGTGAAGATACTCGCCGTCAGAATCAATGTTTCCAACATTTGGTTCATTCTACGTTTCTTGACCAGAGCTACGAAGGTCCTACCTTTGGAGTTTGCGACTTGACCTTGCCTGAGAGCATACGTTAGTCTTGGCATCCTGCACGAGAAAAGAGGAGACGTACCTGCGCGGGCAAGAGAGCCGTGTACTTTGCCCATTCTGTGTGTCTACGATGTGGTTTAGAGTGTTTCGAACCTCACTTGACGATAAGGACAGCGTGAAGTGAGCACCAGAGTCGCAAGCCCAAGATGCGAGGTGGGGAAAAATGTTGTCCTTGAGTTGCTGGCTTCGCGAGGCTTCGCCGGTGACTCTTATGATCCGTGTGGCTTCCGGATTACGTAAGAATGCCCAGCACTTACACATGCATTTAAGCGTGCACGAGCTTGTGCATGAGACAGGGTTAGGGTTATGGCCGGGCATGTGCTCATTGAGTAGCCGATGACAGCGTGATACAAAATCATGTCGGAGATTAAACCAGTCCTCTAAGTATTCAATCGTCGCTGGGGTATCAATTTGTACTAAACAAGCTTTGGCTTCCCAACCCCCTTTGAAGCACCGATTCCCCCATTTTATACCAAGCATTACCGTGCCATCCCATGGCGGCCCAACCATCGCAGTTTTCCGTTGGTCATGGTCTCTCCTCTTCTGTCGGCTTCGTCTCCTCGTTGGTCCTGTCCATCGTCACCAGTACCACGTCGCCCCCCTAGACGGCCGCTGCGGGCTGGGCCTTAGCGCCCCGCAGATAGTCGACCGTGTCGACGAAAGTGATGAAAGAGAAGAGGAGCCACAGGAAGAAGCCGAAGGCGCAGGCCGCCTCAACAGTGTTGCAGTAGTTGTTGCCATAGCATCTCGGGGCACCCCAGAACGCAGCCAGAGCGATCGAGCCGGCGAACCAGAATATGGTTGTTATCCACTTAAGAGCTAGGCCCGCTTGGCGGTGATAGTAGCGCGAGACGTACATCGGGACCAGACCGATATAAGCGAGGACGAGCAGTGTCCATACTGAGTTAAAGAGCATGAACTCCATGGAGCTAGGTGCTCCCCATGGGGAGACGACTGGCGCGGGGTTAGTCCAGGCTGGTCGTCTACTGCACTGTGCTAATCTGGTAACATGGAGAGGTACTCACTGTATGCAGTCAAGCCCAGCTCGATAACGCAAAAGAGTGCCGATACGGCGAGGACGTATGGTACATAGCGGTTGAGGGACGTCATGATGTCTGGATGTGCTTTCAGGAGTGTTGACGACGCTGCAGGTACGAAAGGAAGCTAGTTTGCTGCGATAGAGATCTACACAAAAAGCGACGCGGGAATGGAGCAAGAAGGTGTTTCCCAGCTTTTATACCAGCCACTGGAATGCGTCGTTGGCGACCTCCGGTGACAGGCGAAGCCCGATTTGGTTGGGAGGGGCAGCGCTGGCAGGGATGACGTGTTGCTTGCAACGACGATCCCGGCCCTTGAGAACCCAAACCCAAGCTCATCGCCACACTTTTTCTGAACAGTGCTTGGCAAAAGTGGGACGTTGCAGGTAGATTCGTGGACAAGAAAAAGGGTCTAAAGCTTTTCAAGCTAGCTTCCCACAGCACGGCGGTTCGGAAGCAGAAATCAACAAAGCTACATAGGTATTGTCAAGCGAGCACCCAAGACCCTGCAATCGAGCTTGATTGCTTCGGACCACTGATCGGGGTTTTAGGCGTTTTTAGGGTTAGGTATGACGTCATCAGGGTTTTTTGTAGCGGAGGTTCTCGTGGGCCTGCAAGCCATGTGGGTCCTGGAACAGGCGCCACAAGGGCTGGGGGCGCCAGCGCAGCTCGTTCTATTCGACAACAACCGCTTGCTCCAGCTGATTTGGCGCTTGCTTGGTCAATCGGAGTGTTGCCGTTGCCTGGAAGGGTACGGGCGTCGCACCGAGACCCATTTAAGCGCCAGATCTGTGCTTCGGATGCCTTTCTGTGATTCAGGGTTATGATTCACCATCCAACTGGAAGGGAAATCGAGGTGCTTGCAAAGATTGGTAGCTGTGATGCGGCTCGGGGTTGAACAGACAGACAGGTAGGCGTATGAGACCATCTTTCACCGCTTTGACAATACTGGGATGACGGGAGCCTCGTGTCGCCGACTCACCATTAGGCGCGTTATGAATGTTAGGGCCTGTGAAAGATCGCTAAGAGTCTCCGTTTGGACAGTAGGCATGGATCGGGGCTTAACAGAAGTCATCTTGCAGGGACGCTCTCGAGGTGGTTGGTGAGCCACAGTAGAGGAGCAGGGGTCTCGAACATCAACAAAGCCCCGCATGAAGCCGCCAAGCCAACTCCTCAGCCATGCTCATTCAACAGCTCGACGCCTCAACCTCCTCATTAACAACCAAACCGATGGGAAAGTTGTCAGTCCCAGTGGGATATCCAGAATCCCCATCTCGCCGGAAGAGACGTGACTGGACTATTGTCGGACTCGCCATCTGTGGGCTGGCCTTCCTGACAACACTTCATCATTCGCCAAAGCTCGGATGGCTTCATGGCTTGCATCCCGATTCACCCAGTAGACAAACCTCACCTTACGGTACATTTCCAATCCCAGGTGACCCATTTCACTTCCTACCCTGCACTAAAAACACCGTACCGCCGTCTCTCAACGATAATTTCCCCGAGCAGACCTGGGCTGCTCGGTTCGACCCCAACCCAGACCATTGGAGCTGGACTCCTCCCAAGAAACCCGACAACAACAGCTCTTCCCCTTCCCACGGCCATGATGACCCCTACGCAGACCGCGGCATCTACCTTTGCGGCTACCTCGACGTTCCCCTAGACTATACCAACTCTTCCGATCGGCGCATCGTTCGTCTAGCTATCACCAAGCTCCAAGTCTCTGGCCTTGCCCGTCTAGACGACCCTCCCACAACCAGCAAAGGCAAGAAAAGCTCCCGCACCATTATCATCAATCCCGGTGGACCCGGCGGCAGTGGCACAGGCTATGCCTGGCGCGCAGCAGCACGCATCAGCGCCCGGCTGAGCGACGGCGCGTTTGATGTGCTTGGCTGGGACCCAAGAGGCGTGAATGTATCGCTGCCGGCCGTGGAGTGTTTCCCGTATGATGCGAGTCGGGATCACTGGGCGCTGTTGAAGTCGCAGCATCGGGCTGTAACGGGTAACCCGAGGGGGCAGCTTGAGCTATCGGATGCGATGAACGCGGGTGTGATGCAGGCGTGCTGGGAGAGGCAGGGTGATTTGGCGAGGTTTTTGGGGACGGGAATGGTTGCGCGGGATTTGGAGCAGATTAGGAATGCGCTGGGGGAGGAGGAGTTGACGGGGTATTTAGTCAGTTATGGGACGGGGATTGGGCAGACTTATGCAGCGATGTTCCCGGATAATGTTGGAAGATTGATTTTAGATGGGACAGAGTACGTAAGGGATCATAGGATGAGGGGAGGGTTTGGTTGGACGGCGCTGGATAATGCTACGGATGCGTGGAGGGATGGGTTCCTTGGGGAGTGTTTGAAGGCTGGGCCGGAGCATTGCGTGCTGGCAAAGGGGAAAGGCGAGCGTCCTGTCACACTACAAGAGCTGGAGAGTCGCATGGAGAAGTTGATGACTTCCCTTGCTGCTCGTCCTCTTCCAGCGTATCTCCCCTCTAGAGGCGCGACGCTAGTGACATACTCAGCTCTCGTCAATAACATCTACGGAGCGATGTACAACCCCAAGAGTTGGCCAACCCTCGCCCAGGCCCTCTACGATCTCGAAGCAGGCAATTCAACCCTGGCCGCTACCCTCCTCGAAAGGTCCTTCTGGTATTATGACCCCACCACTCCCTGCTCTCTCGAGCCCGTTCGCCCCTCCGACGCCGAGCTCGGCACCCTCGTCATATGTGCAGACTCCTACGACGCCAAGGAACCTGATGACTTTGATTGGTGGTCCTCGCTATGGATGAATATGACCACAAAAAACTGGATCGCTGGCAATTCCCGCTTCTACAATGTCTTGCCTTGTCGACATTTCCTCCCATACTGGCCTCAACCGGTTGGCGTCTACCGCGGGGATCTGAACCATACCCTTCGACATCCTGTAATGCTCATTGCTGAAACCTATGACCCTGCCACGCCGCTTCGCAACGGGCGGAGATTGTTGAAGGAGATGGGCCGGAATGCGAGGCTGATTGTCCACCATGGGTATGGACATGCCTCGGCGGCGGATCCGTCGAGCTGTACGGATAAGCTGGCTAAGGCATATATCATGACTGGGGAGGTGCCGGAAGAACAGGAAACGGAGTGTTGGGCTGATGGAAAACCGTATCGATATGAAGAGGGGAAGATTGGTGTCAAAGCGGTTGGGACGATTGAGGAGAGGATGAAGGAGTGGAGAGAGCATTTGGAGGAGTTGAGGGCTTTGGATCCGTTGTTGATGCATGCGTTGTAGGGGCGAGCGTTCAAGCTCATTTTCTGGCATGAGCCGTAGGCGCCGGCATATGTGCTTGATTTCGAGATGCTGGGTGCCAGCAACCTTTCATCCCGAGTCGGCTTCTACACTACGAGGGTATTTCTTCAGGTAAGATTTGACTGATGGCAAGATATATCTCCAATCGTAGACAGACGGTGTTTTCTTCTCCAGCTTCTGATCTTGATGCTAAGTGAGTGTCGGGGGCCGTCATATCAGCATTTAACGGCGGCGGTTTGCTTTACAATGGAGTTACCATATAAGATCATGGCCAAATATTCTAAGCTTTACGGCATTTTTTAGAACTCTTCAACTTGAACACATTGCATCATTTGACTGATTAGTTCCCATTGTCCCAAGGGCACTTACAAAAGTAGTCACGTGACACCGCGCGGATGACGCGCTTCGCGGGCAGGCGAGGGCGACTTTGTCCTAAGCGCGATCCACTCGTCAAATCTAGGCTGCCATCGGACCCTTAGGACCCTTTTCGCCGCGGCACGCCAAAACCCCTCGCTGCCTTCGGGTCATTTCGTTTAGCATCCGATCAAGATGTGGATTCTCGAGAGTGAGCTGTTTGATGGTGAGTTGTGCGCGACGGCCTTGATTATGGGACTGAACGTGTATGGGACATAAACTAAAGCTTCAACAGGCAAAAGGCTCTGGCTGCGGCCTGGTAAGACGTACCTTTTTGGACGTACTGTCGCTGAGGGTATGTTTAATTAGTTTCGGGTTGTATGCGCGACGAAGCTGACACATGATTATGTGTCTAGCCGGCCAGCTTACCATCTCCGACAAGACCGTCTCGCGGAAGCACCTCACCATCCACATCGACAATGTTCCGGAAGGCGGTGGCGTATGTATTCAGAGAGTTTGATTTAGTTAAGCGCAAGGCTAACCTGCGCAGCGAAACCTCCGGTCGCGGTCGAATGTCATAGTCGAGGACCTCGAATCGAAGAAGGGCACGCTGGTGAACGGCGTCCAGATCCGGGGGCAGAAGACGACGCTTACCGAGGATGTTAACGAAATCAAGCTTGGGTTGTGCCCCAAGACACTGAAGTACGATATGTTTGAGTTAAGCATATATATACAACGGCTTGCTGACAGCCACAGGATCCGGTGGCACCCCATCGTTCTCAGCTTCTCCTTCACGTCTAAAGAACTCCGCGCCGACCCCTGGACCAACCTACGCGACAGCCTCGAGCAGCTCGATATCAAGTACTCAGCTGAGTACGAGCCTACAACCACACACGTTGTTTCCAAAAAGCGAAACACATCTAAGGGCTTACAAGCCCTGATCAACGGGCGATACATCGTCACAGACAGCTTCATCAACGCAATCGTCCAAGCAACAGAAATCCCCGAAGGCGAGGAGGGCGCGAGCAGCGCACTAGAACAGGACTTTGAGGCCAATTGGCCCAACCCGCTTGATCATTTGCCTCCGAGGGGAGAGGAACCAGGGAATCATACGACAGAGACATACGCTCCAGACGCGCGAAGGCAGGAGGTGTTTGATGGGTATACATTCATTTTCTACGAGAAAAAGCAGTACGATAACCTATTCCCTGCCATTTCTGCTGGTAAGGGCAAGGCTTTACTTAAAGAGGTTGTCCCTAATCGGACGAGGGTTGATGAATTCGTGCGGTACGTCAAAAGCGTTGCGGGGGAAAAGGGATTGGGGTCGTTTGAGGATGGGAGCGAGGGGAAGGGGGTTGTGGTTGTGCGGTATACCCCGAAAGGGGAGGACTCTGCGTGGTATGCGGAGTTCTTCACGAAGTTCGCGCAGCAGCTGGACCATAGACCGATTGATCAAAAGGAGTTTTTGGAGGCGATTCTGGCTTGTGATGCGTCGATGTTGAGGAGGCCTTTGGAGGCGATGAGCCAGCCTGTTTCGGTGTCGGCGTCTGTGGAGCCTCAGAGTAGCGAGAAGGTTAGGCCTGCTGTCGAAGACCGCAAGGAGGTCGAGCAGAGCGCCCCGAAGCAGCTGCAACCTTCGGCAGAGGTCCCTGCGACGGAAGAATCTGCCCCAGCACCGCACAGACGTGAGAGACGAACTGGTCGCAGCCGGTTTAAGGGGTTCGATTTTGATGATGACGATATCATCATAGAGACACCGCAAGCACAGTCTTCAACGCAGGTACCAGCGCTCCCCCAGGTCCCGTCTGCGTCACAGGACAGTTTGTTTGTCTCCCAGAGGGAGCCAAGTCTTGCCCCTTCGGAGCCTATGCTGGAAGAAGAGGCACCTTGCAATACCCGTACCACTCGTCAGACGCATCGCAAGCGTGTGTTATCGCCGCTCCCGGAGCACGATAATTCTGCTCTGCTGGACGAGATCGCGCCAATAACAGCAGCAGTCAAGCGCCGGCGCATCGAAGCCGGGCAAGATCCTGTCCCCCCTCTCCCTGAACCTGAACCCGAGCGAGAAGATGAAGATGTTGAAATGGTCGAGGAATCGCCCCCTCGCAAGGGCAAGAAGGGCGCTGCAACCACAGCCAAGGGTAAAGGAAAGAAGATTAAACAAGAGGATGAAGAAAATGTCCTCGAATTAGCCCGGCGCCGCCGCGAAGAAGCCGAAGCCGCAGCAGCCGCCGAACGCCAGCGTCTCGCCCAACTAGGAGACGACGACATCGACTATGCGGCCATCCGCCGGCTGCATATCATCGAAGAGATTGAAGTTCGTCAACCGGAGCCTCATGGGCCTAACCGTACCCGGGAGCAGGATATTGCGGATGGGAGGTGGGATCCGAGATGGAATGGAAGGAAGAATTTCAAGAGGTTTAGGAGGCAGGGCGAGACTGGGGTTAGGATGCCGGTACAGAGTGTGATTGTGCCGTTGGAGGAGGTCAGGACGAAGGAGTACGGGATTGGGGATGATTATTGGCTCGAGGATGAGGAGGGGAGAGTGCCGAGGCGACCAAAGGAGACGCAGACGCAGGAGCGTTCTACGATCGGGAGTGTTAGGGATGGGAGTGGGTTTGCTGCTGCTGCCGCGAGTGGGAAGGGAAAAGAGAAGGATAAGGAGAACGAGAAGGAGGTTGGGAGGCCAGGTAGTTCAGCAGCAGCAGCAAAGCAGCGTTCAAAACCTGCTCCTCGCCGGACAGTCCTCACCCTCGACAGCAGCGACGAAGATGAAGACGAACCCTCACCCCACGCACCCGGTATCGACACCATCTCCGACTCCGAGCCCGAAGTCGTTTCCTCCTTCCCCTCTGTCATCCCCGCATCCGAGCCGTCCCGCAGCCGTGCCGCAAAAGCAGCCGAGAGAGCCAATGCCTTACGTTCAAGCGCACACAGCTCTCAATCCCAGACCCAGCAACACCGCGAATCCCAACTCTCGACCGGCTCTTCCAAGATCCAGCTTACCCTCGCCCCTGGCTCATCCTCCCTGTCCTTCTCCAGATCTGGTACGGCGGCGGGAAGGAATGAAAATGGGAAGAGGCCTTTTGGGTCATTTGTCAGTGGGGAGTCAACTGCCTCTGGGAGGGGGATGTCTGTGGAGAGTGGGAGTGTTAGGGGGGAGAGTGCGAGTAAGAGGCAGAAGCAAGGGTCGTCGGGAGGAGGAAGTTTCTTGGCGACGAGGAGGAAGGATGATGGGAGTGAGGAGGAGAGCGAGGATGATGAGCTGAAGTTTAGGTTTGGGAGGAGGAGGTAAGCTCATGGCCCATTTGCTCTACCTCTAAGTTGGGAGCTGTTAGAGAGGAGCTTTTCTGTGGCTGTACATATGAAGGACAGGTTATAGTGTTTAATCAAAAGGCAGGCTTGTTGCTGGGTGTTTGGGATGCCATCTTCATTTGTATTCGGATCCTGAAAATCCGTATGTGCACCTCTGGTGGGTATACTGCTTTGCGTGGTTTATGTACGAAATCCATACCCGCAAACTCCGTTCACATGCTGCGAACATCAAATTTTCGTAAGCAGCTAACTTATGCAACCGTCTATGCTCCGATTTCCGAATCGACTTTCTCATGCCTGTTGATATCGATGTAGACCTGATTATCCAGATGTCGGATACTCTCCCTTCACGCCCTCCACACAACCTCTCCCCTTCCCCCCTTACCCCTCCTTTAATCCATCTCCTCCATAGGATTCGGATTCCCCCCCTCAATCCCCCCTCCCACAACATTCCCTTCCTCCTCTTCCGTCACATAAATCCCCACCAAACACGCAGCCAACATCCCCTCCCAATTCACCCACGGATGCACCTCATTAAACAACCGCGTCCCGTCCCGCCCAGCACACCTCAACAACTCTGGTTCGCCCCCTGGATGGAAGGGCAAGTAAGGTGTGATGTTGTAAACCCTGCCCCCCAGCACCGTCCACGCGTCTTTGCCCTTACGTCCTGTCTTTTGCTTCAGCATCGACGGCGTCACTCGGATGTAGGGCGTCCCCGGAGGTAAGCCCCTCAACAAGCCGGATTGGGCTGCGGCAGAGGAGGTGAGACGCGCCCAGTCTAGGGGGGAATGGCCTGGTTGGAGGGTTACTGCGCGAGAAGAGGACTTGGTCTTAGAGGACTGAGGGGAGAGGGAGGCAGAGGGCACAGTAGGGGGAGGGGCCAGGGTCGAGCAGCCTGGCTGACGGGACGGTTGGGGAGGGGGAGCGCGGTTGGGGAGGGGAAGAGTCGGTCGGGGGATAGAGGGTCGCGGACGTGGGGGAGGGGGCATTAGCGTTGAGGGGGAGGGGCTTGTTGTGGATAAGGATGAGGTTGAGGTTGAGGGAGTGGGCTGAGAGGATGGTGATCGGCCGGAGGGGCTGGGACTGATCCCGGGGCGGGAAGACTCGTCTGGAGTGGAGAGAACAAACGTCGGCATCGAGTTCAAGCTGCCGTCCCCCAAACGGACGGGGCCTGCCTTGGGGGTCGACTGGCCGTCATCGTCCGTGCTGGATGAGGAGGGACGGCCATCTCGATCTGTGGCGTCCGGGGTGATCACGCGCAGCTGCGGGTGGTGATGTGCATTTTGCTGAGCTGCGTCGCGTCTGCGACTGACATGGGCTGTGTCTCTAGCCTCATCGACGATAGCAGCTGCAGCACATTTTTCCTGACTACCTTCCCGTGCCTCCCGCGACGGCGATGGCGGTGACGACAGCTCCCGGAGTTGAGGAGATGGCGGTTGGCCCTGCAATAGGCCGGCGAAAAAAGCGGGGAGCCAGCCGGGCTTGCGCATGGCGACCCAGATGACGGATGCGAGGATGAGCGACAGGCCGAGTAACGCCATTGTCGGGCGCAATCGGGAGGGGCAGCAGGGCAAGGTCAGCGATGGCGCGCTGAGGATCGCATAGATCGTATGTTAGCGGCGAGCGGAGCGGCGCATGGGACCTTTTGGGACCGTGGGTGTGTTCTCTGTGCCGTGGGTTCCTTGGGTTTTTTACTTGGGTTGCGGCCAGTGGATCGGCGGGGGATGGCCCGATGGAGGGGCACTCAATCTGTGTACGATTTGAAGTGCCACCGCGTTGCGATGACTCGACTCGATGAGATGGCGCTGGATCGATAGAGGCCGGAATTGTGTTTCTGCGATATGTGCAGTGTGCGAGACGTGATGCTGTATACACTGTTGTACAAGTTCTCACTACGTATTTTCTGAGTACAGTCGAGCAGCGTGGCAGCTCGGAGCCCCTCGGAACGTGGAATGAGGGTGGGCTGCGTGGTGTGTTAGCGAGGCAAATGACGATTTCCCATTAATTGCATCTTTTTTTGGCGCCCAGTCCAGCGTTTCGTAGCGTTGCTGCCCTTCATTTTCGCCCTCGTGGCCGCCCAGAAAAAAAGCGTTGCAGTAAGTGGCAGCAGCCAGCAAAGGAGCAAGGAATTTTAGTCACACCCAGCAGGGGTCGGCAGGAGCAGGCAGGGGCCGCTGCCCGGCAGAGCGGCAGCAGGCCAGTTGTCCCCAGTTGTCGGGCCAGGCAGAGGACAAGATGGGCCCAGCGATCAAAAGAGTGGGTGGGGCCCGCGCCAGATCTGGGCCGCCTGGGCAGCTGCCGGGCGCAGGCGGGTTCTTGCCGCTGGGACGAACTGGGGACCAAACGGGGAGAGAAGAGTCGATGTCTGATGAGATGAACACACCAGCAACACTCGGCCAGTCCAGGCGGTGAGCAACAATTCGGCGATGCTAATGGGGATGGCACGGAGCGGCCACGGAATGGCGACGGAGAAGCAACGCGCAAGATAATGAAGGATGACCGATTTGTAGCGATCCGTTGCACTGGGATGTCGCTGAATGCGTGACGGCCGCCCTCGGTCGGGCTTCAAATCCACGGCCGCCCCTTTGTGCAGATCTGCCGTCGCATTTCGCATTCTCTCTTTTTTTCTCCCCTCGCACTCATTGTGAACGCTTCATGTATTCTTCGTGTGTTTCCACGCCCAATTTTGAAGACCTCCAGCAATTGGTCTCGGACCCATCGCCTCGCAAAATCTCGAGCTCGCAGCGAGATTAGACCCCATCTGCTGCGTGCTGCCTGCCCTCCCAGTGTCTGTCATTACGCACATTTACACGCATTATTGTACGGTACCGTATTGCTGCCAGGTGCCGTGCCCTGTGTTTCACTGAGATTTCTCCCATCCAGCGAATCACAGCGCCTGCTTGCAGTCAGGGTTGGGCCTGATAGTCCACTTCCCCAAAGCGTACAGCGTGCCCAGAGTACCTAGTACCCAGCGTACCGCTCTCCGCTCTCCGCAATGCCAATGCCACCGCCCTCGCAACACCACCAATACACCTCCTCGCCCACCGCCTTGGGACTTTCTCTTACTCACAGACGCACGCTCTCCACTGTTTCTGCCCGTCCTCCAAGCCCGACGAGCTCAGTACTGTCTGAACCCGCAAGACCCAGGCTGTCTGCGGGAATTTTGACGACGACAGCGACGAGTACGCTGTCGAGTGCCGCCGGTCGCAGGAAAACCGCCCGCATTGCCGCCACTATCACCACCAACCCGGCCGTGTGTCCGGACGTCGCCTTCTCTACCGCATCACCGCCAGTGTCGCCGCTGCCGCTGCCCCGGTATCCGCTAAAGCTTGCTGCCGCTTGTCAAAATGCCCCCGTTGTGAAAAGCCCTCTGAATCCGAACGCCAACGCCAGCGCCGACCCAAGCCCAGCTCTCTATCCTTTGGCCGCTCCCAGAATGCCGTCCTACGACCCCCAGCGCCCTCCCGTGCTTGCCAGCACTCGCCAGTCGTCGATCGCCCGGAATGCAAACAAGCCGCCGCTAACTCCCAAGCTTGCCTCCTCGCGCTCCCAGACACCACTACACCACTCCCCAAGCGTGATTGGCAGCCGCCGTGATCCCCCGACCCTCACCCCCCGAGCCTCCTCGAGACAGATCCGCGTCGATAGCAACCATTCTACTCCTACGATCACTCCCAGACTCCCGAAGGTCTCAGACGACTACTGGGAGACTCGCTCTACCGCGGGAACACCCGAAGATACTCCCAAGGGCCCCGTTGTGAATGTCACCTCTCCTTCCGATGCCGGTACTCCCGGCCGGTCAGATAAGGACTTAGACTCCAAGTTCTTTTATGCCTCTGACGCCCATGCACAAAAGAAGGCGCAGCAACAACACTATCAACAACCACAACCACAACCACAACAACAACAACAACAACAACAACAACAACAACACCGGGCACAGCCGACTCCTACAGCCAGTAACTTCTTCTATGCAAACGGCAATAGCGTCGCAAGCCCCCAAGGCCCTCTCTCTCCCCCCCTGGCCTCTCCAGCTGCCCCAGACAGCTTGAACAGCAAGTTCGTCTATGCCAATGGAACTCCTGAGCTCCAGCCAGCTCCCAAGATTTCTCCTGCTAGGCACAAGAGATCCGGCTCCGTTGTATCAACAGCATCTAGGGCACCGACTGGCGCAGCAAGGCCAACATCACCTGCCAAACCGACACAATGTTCACAGCTACCTTCCACTCGCACAAGCACTCCTAGCTTGGTTTCGCCAAAGTCACCTACCGTGAACCTTGCCAGCCAGGCAGGGCCAAGAAGAGTAAGCGGTGAGCTGCCGCTTCGGGCACCGAAACAGGATCGTCCCAAGAGCGCAACTCCCGCCGAGCTCTCTGTCTCTGGGAGAAGAATATCTTCTCACAGCTCGCTGCCATCATCAGGCAGCGCTTCACCCACAAACAACCGCCCGGTGAGCCTGCCGGGTCCAGGGTTTGCCTCTCTGGCCCAAGTCGCCGAAGACTTTGCTGCGTCCGACGACAGCCACGGGCCCTCCCTGGCCAACCCGAACAGGACATCTCAGGACAATGAGGTCGACGATATCGTTGCGAATGCCCGACGGGAGCGCAAGGTTCAGGATCTGGAGATTACCAACGCCAGTCTGGCAGCCATTAACCGCAGTCTTGAACGCCAGCTGCGCAAGCAGACTGCGGAGCTGCGGCGCTACCAGCGCTTGTCTCGTGCTGGACGTCTGAGCTTCATGCCGTCTGACACCCCTGTTGAAGGTGGTGTGCTGGCCAAGGCTGGGAAGAGTCTGGATGATCTCGACGAGGATGATGACGACGACTTCTTGTCAGCTGAGGAGCCCTCGCCGTCGGATATTTCGGATGAAGAGGAGGAGGAGGAGGACGACGATGATCTGTCGGACAACCTGTCTGGCGTAGAGGAAGCGCCAGCTGCGACGATGACAGCGCCATCACAACCTACGGAAAGCCGAGGAATGCCAGAAAAGCCTGTTGTTGACGGCCAAACTGATTCCAACAGCAACATAAACATCTCTAACTCCGAAAACCCCAACACCGAGCTCAACATCAAAGAAATCGAAAAGAAACACCGTCGCATTCAGCGCGCCAAACGCGACGAGCGCCGTCTCCAGCTCGATCTTACTCGTCACCAGCAACTCCTCATCACCTCTCAGAAGATCAACCAGTCCATCCGGCGTTGTCTCAACTGGACTGAGGAACTCATCAAAGAAGGCCAGCGTGCGCTGGCATATAAGGTGAACGTGAGCGATGTTAGCTTAGGCGGGAGGGTTCTTGCGCCAGAGGAGGTTGAACGGAGGGAGAGGGGGATTGAGGGCGATGAGGATGACGGGGATGCAGATGGGGGTGTGTTTTATGGTGTTGGTGGGAGGACGGAGACTGAGGAGGAGAGTGAGATGGAGAGCGAAGAAGAGACTGACGAGGAAGAGGAGAGGCCGAGGAGTAAGGCCGCGCAGGATCGGGATAGCGGGATCGATTTCCCTGCGGACGATGGGATTGTTGGAGTTGAGGGAAAGAGGATCAGCTTGCCTAATTGAAGGCGGGAGCTGACGAGATGCCCATAATGGGCCAAAGGGGGTGGGGGAAGTAATTATCCTTTTTCAAGTCTATCCTTTCACACTTTCATCATCACCCAGAAAAAAAAAGAAAAACAAACATAATCGCATCTCTCTGTCTGGGCCGGGTGCTATCGGGATTAGGTGGGCTGGATGGGTGCGGGATGGATGAATGGTTGGGTTTACACACATTTTATTGGGGTTTGCTGCTTTTTTTTTTCCTTTTTGCTTTGGCATGGCGTGAGAGGGGTTTTTCATCATTCCTGTTAGCATACCGCATATCATACCATACCGTACCACTACTCCGTTTTATACCACTTATTTCTGTTAAGGAACAAAGGAGGGCTATCCGTTCCGGTCCCGAACTTTTTTCTGACCTGCCTATTCCCTATTATCATCGTATGCCTGGACGGGTTGCTGTTTCTTCTTGTTAGGGTCTCTCCGGATATTAGAATAGTACAAATACAGAGGCTCTGGGTTATCGTGGTAGGGCAGGCATCACAACACAACACGTCGAATGACGTTGAGAGTGTATGAGATGATGCCTCCAGTGGTTGAAGGGAAGAGAAGAGGTAGTCAGGTGTATAATAAATAAGAGTTAGATACCCAGAGCAGAGTGTTGAACTTTTTTTGTAAGGACACACAGAATGGGAATTCAGCTGCAATGCCTCTTGAACAACTTCTGTTGTTGCACTATAAATCTGCTGCTTATGGTGACGATAGATATTCCTCAAACAAAGATAGCAGTATGTAAACTGGGGCAATCAATTACCTTGCGGGAGTTATCCAGACAGTATGTCAATCTTTCTACTGACAATTCAGTTCCCATGGACGCCATGGGCCGTGACCTCTCAAGTGGATAGGGACGCTAAGACATTAGGGATTGACGCCATAATGGCCTGCTCTAAGAGCGCCGCTGAGCGGGCGTTTCTTCCATATATAACTATACAACGAACTCACTGACTGCCGTGCTTGACGCTAGAGGAGAATAATAAGCAAAGGTTGGGGGGTTATTATGTTAGCGAGCCGTTACTTTGACCATCTGCAAGTGGCACGTGGATTGCTGGGATCTCTTTCAGTTCCACTGTGGCTATCGGGCGAAGTTGTCTTCTATCTCATAGTTGTAATGGTAGCAAGTCTCCTGTCCTCAAAGCACACATCTTGCAAATGGCAACTCAGAGAGAGCACATCGCCATGCTGAGATGAAGCAAAGCAGGTGAGATCACTGTATGCAAGGTATCTTTGTTCTCGCGCGTTGTCACTGCTTGGAGGACCACGCACCACTAATTAGGGGATTTAGAGCGATGTTCCAACACGACATAATATACAACAGAGATAATGGGCGGTAGCTACAGGTATTAACGATGAAGACCACCAGACCCAATCTGAGAATTCCCTCCCGATATGCACCAAGAAGATAAAGAACCTCTCAGACGCCAAATCGGATCAAAACCGAAGTGCCTCTCTATTCGTCCGGGCCAAGTCCCATTCCATCTGCAGCATTTTTCCCCCTGGGGAAGGTTAACGTCAGGAGATGTTAATCTTCCTCTCCAGGCAAAAAAAACCTCCATCGTAGGTTTCTCAGCTGATTAAGGTGGACAAGCATCAACCCTCGACAGGAGCAATCAACGAAAACTAGATAATTTGAAATAGAAATTAAACGTCAGTGAAACCCAGTTAAATATCCCCGACCTATCCCGACCTATCCCACTTCCCCCCCCCCCCCCGCGAAAAAAACACCACACAACAAAGCAAAGCCAGCCCGGGTATACCCTTCCTTCCCTTACACTCCCTAATTAACTCCCATTCAGTCCCATTACGATCTATCCGGAACACCTCAGACAGCTTCTCTTCAAATCCCCTGAGCAAACCCCAACTTCCCCATCGAATCGTGCCGCCATCCCAGAAGCTGAATGGTTATGCAACCATTCGTTCAAAATCGTACGGCAGTCGTTCTGACCTTTCCCACCTAATTTAATTCCCCATCATCGCCTCGCTCAACAATGCATAATTACTCAACTTCATCGACACCGCCCTGATCTTTGGTATCCCCTGCCCCTGCGGCACCCCATCCGGCCCAATAATCACCGGCCTGCCATCCTTCATAGTCAGGTACTGCATGGTCGCCATGCCACCCGGCCCGGGCGTAGCTAAGTGCGGTACCAAGCCAGACGTGCTCGCGCCCATCACGCTGGACGCACTGCTGGCGGTACCGCCGCCGCTGTGGCCGTGGCCGTGGCCGTGCACGGAAAGGAAGTTGTGGCTGACGATGGGACAGCCGTAAAAAGATTCGGAAAGTTCATCAAAGCGGGCTCCGGGGCGCGCACGTGCGAGCTCAGACAGGATGGCGTCGCTCCACACGCCAGTGACCCGGCCGGAGGGCTTGAGGTGGAAGTAGGGATTTAGTTGGGGGATCGGAGAGTCTAGGACATTGGTCAGCAACCGTCAAGTCACGTAAAAAAGTTGAGGAAAAGGGGAAGGAGAAGGGCAAGGGGGAAGGGGGGAGGACAAACCTAGGTCGACGTGGCGAATCCGCAACGTCTCCAGACTCGGGATCCTCCCCAATACCCTAATCCCCGCAATGACAAGCTCCTCAAAGGCATGAATAAACTTCATTTCTGTGATACCCGAACCTGTATCGTGTAGGTTCTCATCGCGTTTGCGACAGCAGTTCTTGACGGTAAGATCGATCGATCTGAGCTTTCTCTCCCTGGACTGCCCTTTCCACAGCTTCTCATCATCTTCGTTGCCCAGCAGGCGCAACAATTCCAGAAAGAACCCTTTACAAACCCTACCGGTATAAACAAAGTTTTCTAGACTAGGGGATGAGGCAGCTACGGCCATGCGATGGCAGAAATGCACGCGGTGAGCAACCTTCTGAAAGAAAGGGGGAATCGCAGGTTCGCGCCGATAATCCCCCTCAATGCACAGAGTGAGTGCAGTCAGTCCTGGATCCAGCCGTCTCACGTGGGGGAGGACCTCGGCCATAGTCAAATAACTCTTCGACTTCGGCTTACTATATGACCCATGCCACTCGAGCAGGTTCGGCAGCGCCGACATGATGGTTCGAAAATCCTCCACGCTGCGAATCAAATTCCATTGGCCCCGGCATATCAACGTCCTGATTCCCGGAATCTGGGGCATAACCCGTGGCGGGACATCTGGCGTGGCGGGATCGCGGACCCAGTACCGAACTTTCGGTGCCTTCTTCCGCTCGCCGCCCTCCAGTGTCAATATGCATGCTCCTGGCAACACGTCCTTCACGAATTGAAACGCTTCCTCCAGCGAGCAGTTATCGACCGGCAAGCAATAATGCGCAGCCGTGAGCCCCTCCGGTGTGACATGCGGCAACGAGTTGACATTCGACAGATGCAGCGGCCCAAAGCGAGCATGGAACACGGGAAACCACAGCTCCACGTGCTTGACATAATCCCTGAGATGGGGATGCTCCTCGAAAAACACTGTAGCCTGTTCCAGCGATGCAATCGATGCTTTAAGTTTGATATGCCGGAAGAGCCGCTCCTGGATCAGGTCACGCCAGGCACGGCTGACGAGAGCAAGCTCGGAGAGTTCACGACGGCGGGGATGGCGCAGGGCAGTTCCCCAACGAGTGATGGAAGACCGCGAAGTGGCCGAGACCCGGAAGCCGAACAGGTGGTCGAGGATGCACTCGTGGATTTCCGCGGGGAGGTTGGCAATCGAATATCTGACGGGGGCAGCAGCTTCGGCAGCAGGGGGTTCAGATGTAGGGATGGCTTCGAGCTCGGGACTTCCTGAAGTTCCGTACGTTGTGGGCCCATAGGGACAGCTGCTACAGTCCAGGTCGGTGCTGCGCGGGCCGAGCTGAGGGAATGGCGTGCTGCTTGGACGTGTGGGGGGAGTGAAGTCCTGGCGTCTGGCTTGATCCAGTGGTGGACTGGACGTGCCAGGGGACACGGGGTTCGAGGTCGCCGTCATGATGGAGGCGAGCTCGGCCGCCGGGTCCTTGCCATTTTGTTGCTGCTCGCCCTGTGCTTGTTGTTGGGGCTCTCCTGCATTCTCCTCTCTCTCGGCACTGGTGCCGTTATCGGGAAGGCGATCACAGACGCTGGCATCGCTGCAGCTACAGGTAGGGGTTGTCTGGAAGTCGAGCTCCGTTTCCATAACGAGGTTGTCTGCTCGAAGAGCACTGGCGCAGCAGAGGCCTGGCGGCAGGTGTTCTTGTAAGACCATAAGGCAAAATCAGCCAGGCCGCCTAGGGACCTATGCTGTGGCAGACGGGAAAGCTGCTTGGCTGGTTGCAGTTGCAGGGCAGTACAAGGGAACAACGAGATTGGAAACGAGAGAGCGGTGCAACGCTCGCGATCCTGTAACGGAGAGGAGGAAGGAACCGTGGCTGGTTTGCGCCTGAGGAATCTTCTATTTGGCGGCGAAGATCCTGAGGCGAAATCAAATGTCAAAGACAATTACGGGCAGTCGGTATTTATATGCCGGCAAGCAGGAGGAAGCTCGGACGGGAGAAATCGTGAAAGAGGGAATTAGATCGCCGCTCGAGCAGCAGCGCAGCGGTTAAAGTGGTTCGCTGGTGGGTCGAGGACAGGAAGTTTTGCGAAGCACAGAGGGTGAGGTACGCCTGTGCTCAGTTTACGCAGCGTGCAGCGTGTGCATGTGGGACTCCGTAATCGTGATTCCGATAGCGATGATTTTGATTTTGACGTTGCGTTATTACTGCGATGCTGCGTTGCGGACCGCCTTCGAACCGCCCTGGTCAAGGATAGATAAGAAGAGGTTAAGTGTCACGCTGCAAAGGCGCAATGGCTGTTGGGCTGGGAAAAAAGTGAAGTGTTCCGCAGATGGCGGGCGTTGCTGTGGTTAGCTGCAAGTCGCGTGCTTGTGCTTGGTCCGTTTGGTCTCTAGCTTTAGCTGGATGCAAAATGTTTCTTTGCCCGTTCAATGCCAGCGTCAGAGCCAGAACGAGTGCCAATGGACGACGTGCTCGTGACCGCGCGGGTTAGGGATGGGGCAGAGTTGGAAAAAAGGGTCCTCCGTAACGAGCGAATAAGTGAAGGTGCGAGACCCTCAGTGTCACTGGTCACTGTTGGTTGGAGAGGAAAGATCGAGGGTGGAAAATAATAATGATAACAGAAAAACCTGGTACAATTCCCAACCAGCGGCGAACACAAGAGCCGGGCTGGGCCTGAGCCAAGCGGCACGCAAGAAGAGATTGGCCGCTGCTCATCAGCGACCGCTCGCTCATCGCCCACTCATCTCATTCCTATCGATAGCGATAGCGAGCCAGCGAACCTGGGCAACCAAACAGCGAAGGTGGCCCATTTGATGAAGTGATCTACACTGCCACAGTCATTAAAAGCAGCAAGCACATAAAGTGGCCATCGACTGACATTGCAATCTTGCGCGAGTCTCCTATCCAGCACTTCACCTCCAGCTTCCTGAGCACACCTGGGCCCTTATTTACTCAAGCCAACTAATCTGCCGCAACCGGCCTTCCTCAACGACAAATGGGGCAATGGATGGTCACGTGCTGTTATCCCATGGCCGAGCAAACAGAAAAATCTACCTGCCAACACGCTTACCATTCTTTGCCAGTGTCCGCCGTCGTTTCGCCGTCGGCGGAGCCGGCCGTTGAATGATGATGATCATGGATATTCTGGATGGACTCCGCAGTACTCCATTTTTCTCGCAACGCCGACCATTGCATCCCCACTCCTCCGCCGGTGGCTTGTGGGGTTGCTGACGGGCCGTTGGTGAACGGTGATCCGTCGGTCCCTGGGGCCGCCGATACCGGCTCGGTCCCTGTCTGTGTGATCAGGGCTCGGCACGGCGCCACAGCGGTGAGTAGAGCTGGCCGGGCCCGTGGCACGGGAGTCTAGCGGGTCTAGGTTTGATGGTATCTTCCAGTCTATCTTATTCCGATCCGAAGTCTAATTCGAAGGTGGGCTTCAGGCAGGACCTTATCGAAGGACCTCCCTGTCATGCCGAGTGCGGCTCCCAGGCAGGAGCATAGCAATGCGGACGGATGAAAACCCGGAGACTTAATATCTGTCATCATGCCCACTGTCTGTGCCCCGGTGCATGCTGATCTGGAGTTGAGCAGAGCCTCACAATCATCGACGTCCTGCCATGTTTATGTCATGCGCATGCGCATCACCTCCTTAACGACACCGCCGTCTTCCTCTTTGGGAACCACGGATGACCTAGCGCGAAAGGCATCGCAATGATGAATTCTAGACCCCGACCAATTCATTCCGCGGTCGATGCTGTTGCAGAACACCCAACAATGTGTTTCCAGGGTCGCGAGAAGACTCTATTTTCATCTTTTCAACTGGTAACCTACTAGACTCTCGGATCTGAGATATGTTTCAAACGCTTTTCAGGCCCAGAGACACCAGACAGAGCTTGGCATCGCTTTTTCACGCCAAACGCTCTTGTTGGTGGAGGAACTAGTTAACTGCACACAGAATGACGACGCCACTGGCAAATCTCCGACAGCGCGGTTGCATTCCTGGGGGATGCGTCGAAACGCTCGCTCTCGGCACCTCATCGCATTACACCATCTGTGAGCCGGTGGAGATTTGTGGAAGGCAGACGCTGCTGTTTCAGAGTTTCAGAGCGCGCTTGCAGTAACCTTGTTGGGCTGTGCTGGGATGTTGAAACCGCACAGGGCGCGACAAAACCCTCATCGGCGTCTTGAATTCTCCCGCCTGCTGGCTTCCATTTTTGGAGTATTGAATGTTTGCGGTCAAGTAATCTAGCGCCATCAATGCTAAACGTACTCCTTGGCTCGCGGTGATGGATGAAGTCACCACATATCCGGTCAAAGTTTTGGAAGTTGGCATCGTTGTAGCAGTGCACTCGTCTCGAGTAGCTTCTTTGCTATGATCCAAAAGTCATTAACCAGACTGTTCTGGTGTATGTAACTTACGAAACTTGGCGTAAGATGTGGCCCACTTAGCGTACTGCAATCGGTAACTTACAAGTAATGTGGGGTTCGGAAGAAGCTTCCGTCAGCGGTGGACCCGTCTGCTGGCACCAGCTGTCTGTGACGTCTCAGGCCCTGGAGGAGTTCGACTCCAGCGTTTTCGATCGCCTGATTTCAGTTCTTGCAAATCCCCCAATGTTGCACCAATCCCACACTCCAGGCCAAATTGCCTACCAATGCTGAATCCTCTGATCCATGGCTTGCTCCTGTCATAACAATAGCGAAAGTTGCGGTGTTTGAGCGATGTTTCTTCAAAGAAACAATGTTCCTTTCAGCACACAGTGCGCTTGTGGTTGGGATAAAAGAAGCCTCCCGTTTTGAGCCTCACGTCTTCGTCCCGCGCGGCGGCACTCGATTGGTCGAGGCCGTCTCAGCTGCTTGATTGCAGGGGCCCGCCGGGCGATAGGCTCATCGCTCGTCTCACCAACTCGCACGGCCCAACCAAGCCACGATTCGTGGGAGAACGGGCATGCCAATCTTACAGTTTGTCTACGCACTCGGTCGTCCATCGCGGGGGATCTGTGGGATAGACGAGAAGATCGGGGATAGGCGAGCGGCGCGGCTGCAAACAATACCACGTCGGCGTCGAGAATCGAGATGGAAGACTGGCAGTTTGTCAGCGACTTGCAGGTCGAGCCGATCTGCCGTCGATTGCCATAATACGGCGTCTTAACACCATAACAAATATCGCATCGCATGTAATCACAGTTGTGACGGTTGTCAAAGGCAGCAAGTGTACATATCGGAAGGCGGGCTTCTCCTCGCATGTATTAGCGCTGCCATGGGCTACTGAGGCCGCTCCGGCCCTGGGGATACTGGCCAGTATGGATGGCAATTACAGGCGGTCCATCTGATGTTGTCGATGCGGCCGATGCGGAGTGTTAGACCTTGTTTTTCGGCCCAACTCGACGCTCTATCTCCATCCGAGAATGCCCTATTCGGCACTTCAAAACTCGGCAACCGGTCGCTTGGGATGGCCATGTTAGGTGGAGAACAATTACGATGACGATGCTAGGATATCGAGGAGCGGGAGGAGCAGAGGCTGCGCGTTTGAGATTCAGTGATTGTTAAGGGGCCTCTCGGTGGGCATGCGACTTGGGTCGAAAGTCAAAACTGTGCTCCGACTGGACGAACAGCGCTGCCCCACCCGGCAGGACTACTCAGGGGATCTCCCACCGTTTGACTTGGCATGAAGAATAGCGGCGGCCGGCCAGGGGTGCGCCCCAATGATGTCCCGCGGCATCAAGGATTGGCCCCTGTCTTCTTTGCTGTTGTTCGCCGGAGCACCATTGCAACTATCCCCACAAGAAAGCAACGCTCGGCAGCAGCAACAAGTTGCAGGACGGATAGCCATGGCACTACTGTGTATGAGGTACAATGGTACATGTACCTACCCTGGCTGCCGTAAGGGGCCATCCCTCCTTCAACGAGCCACACCGTCCTTCATGCGAAGCATTTTCAGTTAAATAGAGCAGCCGGTCTGCTTGCCCTCCCTCTTTCGCATTGAGTCCTGGCCGTGTTGCTATTCTCCTGCCGTTGCTTGTTTCTTTATCCTTTTTGTCCTGCCGTATCTTTCTCTTCCAAAGGGCCAAGGCACCCGGTGATCGCCTTCGACCCTCCTTTTTGTATTCCTATTGTACCTCTTCGACTTCTATTCTGACCCTCCCTCACGCTCTCTCACTGCGTGCTGCCCGGGTATAGGTAGCCTAACTCTCTCGCTCTCTTGATCGAATCGACCCAAGTTCGGTTCTTCATACTCGTCTTTTTCATAGCCATCTCGGTCGGCCGAGCCCAGACGAGAGTAGTCCTTTTTGTTTCGTCTTCTCCTTCACATACTTCGCCAGCGTCGCTCTTTCAGCAAACTTTCGCAACGACTCAATTGAGTTGAAACCCGCCGCAGCCATGGCCGGCCGACTGCTCACAGCATTAACTTTTGCCCTATCAGTCCTCGGCGTGACGGCGGCTCCCGCCCCGGAGCCGGCCCGTATCAAGTCGTCGACGACGGGCAAGACGTACCTGGGTATCCCTATTTCGAACCCCGACGTGCGCAACCCCGTGCCGAACCGCTACATCGTTGTCTACAACAACACCTTCTCCGATGAGGAAGTCGAAGCCCACGAGACCATGGTCATTAAAACTATCGCCAAGCGCAACCTGGGCAAGCGTAGCCCACACACTGGCAAATTCCTGTCGACTGCCGTCAAGACCTTCAAGGTCAATGGCTGGCGCGCCATGTCTCTGGAGGCCGATGATGTGCTGATCAATGAGATCTTTGAGAGCAAGGAGGTCAGCTACATCGAGCAGGATGAGTATATCAGCCTCAATGCTCGGTCCTTCCAGGGCAATGCGCCCACGGGTCTGGCTCGCATCAGCCATGCCACGGCTGGCAATCGTGGCTACATCTTCGACGACAGCGGTGGCGAGGGCATCACCGCGTATGTCGTTGACACTGGAATCAGGCTCACACATTCTGAGTTTGAGGGCCGCGCTGTCTTTGGGGCTAACTTCGTCGACAATTCGGTACGTATCCCTCCCTATACGTGACGCTCGAACGCTTACTAATTTCTCCAGCCTGACGACGAGAACGGCCACGGCAGCCACGTCGCTGGCACTATTGGCGGCAAGACCTTCGGTGTTGCCAAGAAGGTCAAGCTGGTCTCCGTCAAGGTACTCGATGCCGACGGTTCCGGTACCAACTCTGGTGTGCTTGAGGGCATGCAGTTTGGTATGTCGGATCTCACACAACCCCCCCCCTTCTCTTGCTTTTAGCAAGACACTAATAACAATCCAGTTGTCCGCAACGTCACTGCCCTCGGTATCGGTGGCAAGGCCGTCATGAACATGTCTCTCGGTGGTTCCCGCTCTCGTGCTATCAACAGCGCCATCAACCAGCTTGAGGCCGCCGGCGTCGTCCCCGTTGTCGCCGCCGGTAACGAGAACCAAGACACCGCCAATACCTCACCCGGCTCCGCTGAGGCCGCCATCACCGTCGGCGCTATCGACCCCCGCAACGATCAGCGCGCCTCCTTCAGCAACTTCGGCTCGCTCGTCGACATCTACGCCCCTGGTGTCCGCATCCTGAGCGTCGGCATCCGCAACGACAACGACGAGGCCGTTCTCTCGGGCACTTCCATGGCTGCGCCCCATGTCGCTGGTCTTGCGGCCTACCTCATGCGTCTGGAGGGCATCACGGGCGTGCAGGCGGTCTCCAACCGCATCAAGGAGCTCGCGAGACGCACGGGCGCCCGCGTGCGCAACAACGTGCCCGGCACGACCGACCTGATCGCCAACAATGGTTTCTTCTCCTATCCTTAGGAAGGGTCGGTAACAACGCCATCAGAGGGTGAGCTCGGGTCTGTTACGTCGACGACGCCAACTCCCACACAAGTGGAGACGGAAGTTCCGGGGGTGATTGTGAAGCCTACGCCTACGACGACAGCCGTGGCTACTGCTACCCCGACGCAGAGGACGGGTCGCGGCCGGGGAAGGTTTAGGAATAGGCCTTTCCGCGCGGGCAGCACATGGCTGGAGAAGTGGTTCCGTGAGCAGCAGAAGCAGCAGAGGAATGGTGCTGCAGTTCCTACTTCTACGCCTACGAGTTGAAAAGGTTTTAACCTAGGTATGCATGGATGGCAGGCAGGCAGGCAGGCGGTTTGGAAAGCAAGCAATCAAGCAGGCAAGGCAAGCATAGCTCAAATGTTTTTACACGTCATAACACATAACTGGTTGGTATATTCGAAGGGAAGCTTTTTGACTTTTTCTGGTTCGTTTGTTGGCAGCAGGTTCTGTATATAACACCATCGCAAGGCACATACTACCAACAAGCAAAGCCATACTGCTCAAAAGCATCTTAGGACCGTTAATATGGGGGCCAAATGGGAAGTTTTAGTGTGGCCTGTTTGCTTGGGGTATGCAATTGCCTTGGTACCGGTACATACAATTAAGAAAAAAAAAACCCGCCCTGATGGTGGGTGGAATGTTGGATGAACAATTTTGATGCAATCAGACAGGGGTGAATAGGTGATGTTTGCGGCAAATCTTGCCATTTGGCCCTCGCTCGACTCACCGACTTTTGTTCCTGCTCCTTGGGCCTGCATTCAGCTTAGGTTGAAGGGCGAGGTTCTTGATCTGGATCAACAAGTGTGAGCGCATGAAACCGTTTGTCTGAGAGTTTTACGCCCCCTCACGGCCACACAACCGTTGTGATGATGTTTATGGATTATCTCAGTCGAATATCATCTCCGAAGGTTTGATTCAAAATGATGAGGACGACATTTCAAACTCCCAATATTCCTCGAGCAGTTCGTCAAGAGCTTACTGCTTCAATCTATCAACAATCTCGATGCTCACGTCGCCAGGGGCTGATGTCAACCCTTCTTGGCGTCGTGCCCCTCACCCCACACGACTAAGAGTTGTGTTTCAGAATTTTAAGCCGCCCCCCCCCTCCCCTTCTTCTATCCCTCCCTTCCCGCAGTTTCAGACAAAAGGAAGCATGTTCCCCATTCGGGAACCAATCCCGCGCCGGAACAGACAAGCAGACGATGCAAGACTTACCACACCGTCCACACCGTTTACACGTGGGTCAGTAGGACGGTGCGGGTGGTGGGGGGTGGTACCCGTCTTGCTATCTTAAGTTCCAGACTCTTGAGTTAAAGCTAACTGACTTACTGGTAGGTGTGAGGTTTAGCGAGTTTGACTTCACGAACGTGTTTTGATGGAAAAGGCAAAATCAACAAATTAAGTAAATAAATAACTTTAGACATGGGCATTTTTCAAGTCGGCCCATCTTGTTCGATGCAAAACACTATCCTCGATTGAGACGTCTCATTCCACATACCAGACCGGACAAAGCAGCCCTCAAAGCTTCTGGAAATAGCATCCCTCAAAGGCGCGAAACCGATGCGACATCGACCAACTCGGCAAAGGAGGTCCATACAAGCTCCCAAGGTCCTTTTTGAACACCAAAGCTCAAACAAGCAAGCACTTACCAATTCGCCAACCTTAACCTCCACTCCACTTTGCCCACCTCAGATCTTGCGTTTTTACCCTCGAATCAGAGCCAAGCTTGAATAGCAAGCTTTTCCAGTGATGATTGGGTTATCGAGATCTAAGGTTCGCGGTTCGGACTTACGAGCTGCGTCTCCTAAACTATAGACTGGGTGAACTAGAAGAGGAACTCTCATTCCCGTCCATATTACGACATGGCATCCCGTCACAACTTCTACGTCTTCCTTTTGGCTATTGACGGTATCATCTTCCACCCGGACTCAATTCTTGAGCAGAATATTTTAATACGGGGAGAAATGTCCGCAATCCATCCCCGACAAGTCCCCCATGATACGAGGGGAACTCAGTCGACGATGTGCCCGGATACCAGGCTTCTTGCACAAAAGAGATCAATATCAGCACATCTTCGGCACAACCACAGCCATCAAAGCCCAATTTCCATCTACAAGTAGGTGGGAAAAGGGCACGACTGAATTGCAATTTGACATCCGTGCTTGTTTTGAGATGAAAGTCTCAGAGACGAGACCGAAGAAGGGGTTGCAGCTGGATAGAGGGAAGTTCAACCGTGCACTTCACTACACATGTGAAAATCAGTAAAAAAGCAAAGGGGACCGGGCAACCATAAACCAACGCGTGTATTCGCTGTCAGCAATTAGGTAGGTATGCACATCATGTGCAAGCAGGCATCTAGGTAGTTGTAGGTTTCGTCGTCTCTCGTGGGAAAAGAAAATCGCATGTCAGGACATATTTTTGACGTTTCGTTCCGGAGAACCGCTCTCGTGTTCATACGTTTAGATCGTATACAAAAATTTCTCCCAACGGAGTTTGTGAGCGTCCCATATCTTCATCAACGGCAATAGTGTCATCATTAGGAAGGTATATCGGACAGGGAACCAAGGAACAAATGAAACCAAGAAAAAAGTAAAAATAGGGAAGAGAAGCCGCGTCGCAGCCCTGACCGCGAGAGTGCAAGTAGCGTTTTCACAGTTCGGCGTGCTCGACGGTGGCTGTCGTGATAGGCTTGACACTCCCGCCAAGCGCCTGGTCGAGGTTTTTGAAGAAGTCGTCGAGTTGTGCGCCCAGTAGATAAGCAATGCCAACCTGTGCGGATTACGTCAGCAAGAATCCACATTCTGGGACGGAAAAAAGTGGCTGCGAATGTCTGAGCGTAACAAAAAAGGAGGTCTAGGAGAGAGAGAGCAGCAAAAAAAGGCACTAATCATACCGATAAAACAGTCATGACACCAATAGCGCCAAAGACGGACAGAGCCAGGTAGAAAGTCTCCCAGGCGTCCATGCCGTTGATCTTTTCGGCGGCGATCTTGTTGGGGTCTTGGCTAGGGAAGAGAGTCTCGATGAATTGCTCGATCTGGGGTGTATTAGTTTCTTACTGAGCTCAGCTACCAAACGGAAAAAGGACACTTGCCTTCCCGCACTGCGCGCTGATGGCCAAGAAATGCGGATCCCGAGGGTCGTTCTTTTTGTGTATTCTCCTGGCATAGCGACGGAAGACCTCGCATACAACGCGCAGATTCTGTGTCGACTCGATCATCAAGCGGCAAGCGTCGCCCTTGGTGATCTTGACATTCCGCTCGAAAATGGCCGGGTTGCGGAAGACCAGCTCGAGTGTAGCAATAGCCATGCTTTGGGGGATCGCGACAAAGTTGAACACACTCTGGTCGCGGATGTGGGCCATGTAGAAGAGGCACTCCTCGGCGTGCTTAAGAGCATTCAGAACCATCTCAGAGCTGCAGTGCAACGCCTTCTCACGATTCTTGGGGTCGAACAGGTCGTCCCACTTGTCAACATACTTGCTCCAAATCTCTTTCGGCCAGAACCGGCGCTTGTCGAGCCAGTCCTCGTGAACATCGCGGATGATGTTGGTCTTCTGCAGGAACTGACCCATGCTCTCGGTCAACTCGGGGCGGTCCATCAGCTTGGGAGTGGCCAACCCGCTCTTGACGAACAGCCTTGTCAAGCCCTCGCCCACCAGACCAGCCACGTAGTGGCAGTACAGCTCATAATCGGGGACCGTCGAGACGCCGTTGATATTGTGCTCGGCGTTGAGTGCGTAGTCGGCCATACCGTCGCCCATCTTCTTGGTGATGTCCTTGATAATCTCGTAGTACTCTGGTTTGATCTTCTTCAGCTCCGTAATGACGACGTCGAAGTGCACCAGGAGTTCCCGGTCCTTTTCGTTCGGGCCATTCTCGTGGAACGTCCAGCCATCCTGCTCAATGATGTCGTGGAAGCTGCGCAGCAGCGGCTCCTTTTTCTTAACGTCGATGGTCATGTCATCCTCAATGGTGTCCAGGCCGCGCAATACCAGATAGAATAGGCATACTGGCATCAGCAGCTCAGGGTTGAGTTCTTGGATGACGGCAGCGAATGACCGCGACGTCTTGTTCAGGTAGTAGAAACATTGCTTCTGGGTTTCACTCTCCTTGGAAGGGTCGCGAGCATGGACAGGCTGGTGCCAGACCTTCCTGCAGACGTATTAGCATCGCGAAAGATTTTTGGAAAGTGAAGGCGAGGAGACGAACCATTGGATGATATTCCTCAGCTCATTGGGGTGGAGGAGGAAGTAGACGAGCTGCTTAGCGGCCACCATTTTCGGGTGCTGGTCTCTCCCTGCTGTTAAGGGAGACCTCGGCGTAGAAACTGACTTTCAGAGAGGGTATAAGGGCAATTGGTGAAGCACGGGCGCACCGATCGAGGGAGCTGGGATCGCCTTCGAGGGGTATGGTCTGGTTGGTCGTTGGGTCGCGGCCACGCGTTGAAACGGGTGGGGAGCACTGTTCTCGAGAATCTGGGCGCGGCTGGTTGACTCAACACTCAACACCCGCTCGAGATCGAGGCAATTGGCGCAACTAGCTGGCGGCTTGAAGTCTCCAGACGACGAGCGACGGTCAGACGGTGGATGATGAGGCTGCGGAGAAGGGGGTAGGTGTCGAGAGGTTGGAGTTGATCGGGCCCAGAAGAAGGGTCCCCGGCTCCACTGCTAAATTGTCGTTCTCCAGAAATCTGGGCGGAAAAATGAAGTTGATCGCTAATCCTAGCCGCAAATGGGAGCCCATCCAAGCTGAGTTTGCCCCACTTTACCCCTGGTTTTTTGTCCAAAAATGACCTCTTATTGGCCAGTTTGGAGAGTTTGTGGCGGTCCTCCCGCCGCACGGCTGGCTTGTGGCTCCTCTTGCGCCTTCACCACCGTGGCCGCTGCAGAACGCGACAAGTTGTCAACACTTTTTGTCACTGACATGGCGGTCAACGTCAAGAAGTCCATGACCAGCATGTAAATCGTAGGGTTGTACAGGAAGTGTTGTTGGGACGCAATGTCCTCCTACGCTACACATATTGAGCCGCACTCTTCGCTCAACAACCCAATGGTGATGTGCTTTGATATCTGTCATACCAAGAATGAAATTGTGGACTTTGTGAAGCCCAAATCACGTTTTTGTTTTGTGTGTGCCCCCGCAGACTCGAAGCCGGGACGGAGGTCCGTCAACCTCCCGATCTGGACCACGGAGCTGGACAGCGCCGTTACATCCCGACGATGCCAGAGCGGGCAAGTCGATAGGTCAGCATGTTAGGCAGATAACCCGCTTCACCGGCTGCAGGAAGCATCGATTGGTGAACTTGTTGTTCTGGGTTGAAACTTGACGCAAGGTGGTAAGGTCACCGGGGAGACAAACGCAACGACCTGGACAAGAAGTTGTAGGTCGGATGTGCCGGCCATGTGACTACGCCATCATGTTAACTTATCCGCCAAACATACCCGAGTTTTTCTGTCACAGCATCTTTCTTAAATCCGAGCTTTCACCCGGACTTCCTACCTGACATTCAGTCAATTCGTGGGCATTATGGCAGGCGACGCAGACGGCACCAAGAAGAACCGCTTCCTGATTTGGGGCGGCAATGGCTGGATTGCTGGACATCTTAAAACCCTGCTGGAACAGCAGGGAAAGGAGGTTTACGCGACGACTGTCCGCATGGAAAACCGCGAAGAGGTGCTGGCGGAGCTCAAGCGCATCCAGCCAACCCACGTCCTGAACGCGGCTGGATGCACGGGGCGGCCGAATGTCGACTGGTGCGAGGACAACAAGGAGGCCACCATGCGGTCGAATGTCATTGGCACACTGAACCTGGCCGACTGCTGCTGGCTGCTCAACATCCACTGCACAGTCTTTGCCACAGGATGCATTTATCAGTACGATGAGGCGCATCCTTGGGATGGGCCTGGCTTTAAGGAAACCGACCCGCCCAACTTTGCAGGGAGCTTCTACTCGATGACCAAGGCGCACGTGGAGGAGGTACGCTGCAACTGACGCCTCTCAGAGTGAGTGGAAGCTAACAGCATACAGATACTTAAACAATACAGCAACTGCTTGATCCTGCGGCTCCGCATGCCCGTCTCGGACGACTTGCACCCGCGCAACTTCGTGACCAAAATCACCAAGTACGAGTATGTGGTCGACATCCCAAACAGCAACACAATCTTGACAGACCTGCTGCCGGCGTCGGTTTTGCTCGCTGAGCATGGCGAGACGGGCGTGTACAACTTCACCAACCCCGGAGCCATCTCGCACAACGAGGTGCTCACGCTATTCCGTGAGATCGTGCGGCCGTCGTTTACCTGGAAAAATTTCAGTCTGGAGGAGCAGGCCAAGGTGCTTAAGGCTGGACGTAGCAACTGCAAGCTGGACACGACGAAGCTGGAGACGAAGCTGAAGGAGTACGGGTATGAAGTGCCGGAGGTACATGAGGCTTATCGGAGGTGCTTTGAGCGCATGAAAGCTGCGGGGATCGAGTAAGCTCGTCGGCGGAGGTTGGTGGGCAAGAAGATGGGAAGTAAGGTTCAAAATTGCTGTCTTGATCTTTCGTTAGCTTCTAGAACCTAATATCATACTCCGAGCTTCAGCAGGATCGTAGAAAAAATAAAGATTGGAGAAAGCAGATGGGTATTGTCGGCCTCTATTCACGGCTCTCACATGCAAAAAAGTGTGGAATTCTGTGTGAGGTGGCTGCGGGATGATGCAACCCCGCCGGTCTTGAGAGGGCCCAGCTCCCCAGACCGCGCCGCAGCGCCCCTCGCTGGCAGTGGGCTGCCGGCGTCCGGCTAATCCCGTGCCTGCAGCCTTGCTGGGATGGGGCTGTTTTTGCTTGGGCTTTTTGGTTTTTGGCATCCACTTGGGCCTTGAGCCATCCATGCAGCCTTGCCCTCGAGTAAGTCTAGGACGGGCGGTCGGAAATCGCGAAAGACAACGACGAACCACCTTAGCGAGGACTCGTCTGCCGTTTGCGCAATAAAACAATTAATTAATACTAACAACGCCCTACGATTGTCAGGCAAACTCGACATCGCCCCAGCATCCGGACCTTGCCTGAACCCATTCACACCGACGAATTGCCTTTTTCGATCGACACCATCGATCAAGGCACTGCCTCAGCCACGTGCGCGTCTTATCGCTGTCAGGAAATTTTCCTTTGCCCGGGTAGTCATCATACAACAACGCGGTACCCCGTTACTCATACGTGCATCTCACCTTCGGTCAGTCAGTCGGTTTCATTTATCGCCCAAGGCATCGACCGCTTTTACTGTGCGCGAGAGGCCGTGAAGCAGAGCCTGACCCAACCGACTTTTTCAACCAGACACCGACTTCTCTCCCTATCTTCCGTTTGCAACCCGTACTCCCTCGCGGTCGAGAGCAGCCTTCACCATGGTAGCTGATACGACCTACTACGATATCCTCGGCGTCCCGCCGACAGCCACAGATCTCGAGATCAAGAAGGCGTACCGCAAGCTCGCCATCAAGCACCATCCTGGTTAGTCGCATTACTCTCGTATGCTTCTCAGTCAGTTTGCAATCCGTAGCACTGACCGACTTGTTACCCCGCGCCAGACAAGAACCCCAATGATCCCGACGCCCACCGGCGGTTTCAAGAAATCGGTGAAGCCTACCAGGTGCTGTCTAACGAGGAGCTGCGCAAGCAATACGACAAATATGGTAAAGAATCTGCCCGCCCGTCCGAGGGTTTCGTCGACCCCGCCGAGTTCTTCTCCATGATCTTTGGCGGAGAGGCGTTCATGGACTGGATCGGCGAGATTAGCCTCATGAAAGACCTCACGGCGACTCTCAACATCACTATGGATGGTGCTGAGGAAAACGAGGAGGCTGCTGCAGCCGCCGCAGCTGCGGCCGCAACAACAGGCGAGGCTGATGCATCGGGCGAGAAAAAGCCTGCAGCGCCCAAGGTCGTGATTGAGGATGAGACCGGCGAGAAGGTTGCTAGCGACGGTCCGACACCCCAGGGCTCCGGCGCAGCAACCCCCGGCGGCAGCTGGTCGACCCAGATTCCCATTCGCCCGGCTCTCATGGATAAGTCCTCGGAGGAGCCCGCAGCGCACGCCGCTCAGGAGGATGTTAGCAAGCGCAAAGAAAAGGACAAGAAGTCGAAGGGTGCTCTGAGCAAGGAGCAGCGAGAGAAGCTGGAGCAGTACGAGAAGGAGCGCGCTGAGGCCAGGCAGAAGCGCGTCAAGATGTTGACTGAAAAGTTGATCGATCGACTCTCGATCCTTACTGAGGCGGAGCCGGTCACTAAGGAGGTCAAGGAGGCTTTCAAGGAAAAGATCAAGCTGGAGGTTGAGGAGCTCAAGATGAACTCGTTCGGCGTGGACATCCTGCATGCGATCGGCCAGGTTTACGTCACGAAGGGCACTACCCTGCTGCGCAGCCAGAAGTTCTTCGGTGTTGGTGGCTTCTTTGCGCGCATGAAGGAGAAGGGCACTGTAGTCAAGGATACCTGGAACACGATCAGCAGCGCCATTGACGCCCAGGCTACCATGGAGGAGATGGCTCGCCTGGAGGCCCAGGGCGGCGAGGACTGGACCGAGGAGAAGAGGGTTGAGTACGAGCAGCGCGTCACTGGCAAGATCCTGACTGCTGCCTGGCGCGGCTCCAAGTTTGAAATCCAGAGCGTCCTGCGCGAGGTCTGCGATGCCGTCCTTTACGATAAGAAGGTGCCGCTAGCCAAGCGCCTGCAGCGTGCCGAAGCGCTGGTTATTGTTGGGCAGATTTGCTCAGAGGTGAGTCTGTTCCTCATGCTTTTCCGTTGCCCATCAAGTAGCTAACACATCCCAGGCCAAGCGCACTCCCGAAGAAGAGGGCGGCGAGTACATGGTGTTCGAGCAGCTCGTAGCCGAGGCTGCCATGAAGAAGGAGAAGGAGTCCAAGAAGAAGGGCAAAGACAAGGAGAAGGACAAGCGCAAGAGCACCGACCAGAACAGCAACCATTCCGGCGCCAAGTTCGGCGATAAGGCCTGGACTGCGGCCGCTGAGGCTGTGGCTAACGATGCGCCTAATGTCCCCAAGTCCGGGGCATGAATTGTGTCTGAGAATACGGGGCATGAATTGCGTCTGAGCCGTGGTGCTTGGATGGGTTGGGAGTAGGGGCGTAGGTGTGTTGAAATATCTTTTCGACGTGAGCGTCTGTGGGCGGATGTGGGCAGTGAGACAGGCAGTTGCATACATACCCCCTGGTAATCTCTTCTCTTATCTTTTCTTCATTGGTGTGCACGACACAGTCAACACCCTTCTCTCGAGACCCGTTGTTGATTGATGTAGAGGGTTCTGTATACTTATGGTATGGGTTGGCTGGATTGATGTTCGGGTTTATAATTGATTCCCCCCGAGAGGAAAAGGGACGAAAGTTTAAATCATCTGGACGCCTTGCATCACCTATCTGGTCAGTCTAATTGGGTATGTCGCCTGTGGTATGCTTGGAGATTCCTCTTGTTCAGCTAGTCCGCGGTCAGTAGATTGAGAGGTCTCTTGGGATTAACGAGCCTAAGTTGTAGAAGGCAGGTCCTCTGGCATCCTATTAAGTACCATGCTCTCGCCTATAGTCTCTCTGCAAAAGAGAAGTGGTATATTGGTCTTAGCCGCCTTTTTGCTGACCTAAGATTAACATAGACTACAGAGCATAGCGTAGAAAGCAGAACCAATCTATTAACATCTACAAACTCTCAAACCTAAATATTTTTCACCTTCCCCCATCGCCAACAATAATTCCCAGGATCCAACAATTCACGCCGAAGAAGCCAAGTGACGCTAGCCACAACCCAGGTAAAAACGAGCTCTTCCCCAGAAACTCCAGCTCATATCCTTGTTGCAGCCAAACTGCTTGCGCGGCCACCCACAACACTGCGGCGGTGATCCCCAGCTTCGGGTTTTTCAAAAAGGTCGAACGAGGTAGGTACAGTGGCAACAGGACCATGTACCACAAAAAGTACTGTGAGGTGCAGACCTTGTTGAAGGTAACGAAGGCGAAGGTCTGGGCGAGCATGGCGGTCGGCAGGTGGGATTTGGCCAGGGTAAGGGGAATGAAGATGCAGGAGAGGGTTATTTGAGGGATGAAGGCCAAGGATTCTGGTTTAAGGCTTGCGGAGGAAGGTGGGAGGGAAGATGACAGGTAGAGTTGCGTGTTGTAGGGGCTGAAGTTGTGACGGTGGTCGAGACGAGTTAGATGGTGGAGGTAGGTATGCTGGAGGAAGGGGAAGCCGTAGCTAGGTGTTGTTAGAATCGCGGATCGGGGTTGCGGGGATGTGAAGGGGAGACTTACAGTGTGTACATGACGGCGTTGAGAGCGAGAAAGGTCGCGAGACTGACCACACCTAGCAAGACTCTCTCCGGAGTAACGAACCCAATGGCCTTCCCAACCCATGATGTCTTCTTAGTGGTTTCCCCCATTCTCTCCCGATCCATCCACCACACTACCGCAAAAGCGTAGATGAACGGATAAATCTTGAAATGCACTCCCAACCCTAACAACACACCTGCCACCACAACCCTTTTCTCTACCACAGTCGTCACTAGCGCCATCACCAACACCCCCAACAACCCCTCCGAGCTACCCCTCGTACTAATTGTCGCAACCATCGGATTCAACAGCCACACAGCAGCATACTTCCTTGCCTTAACCCCATCCATCCCGCCCTCACGCATCAACACCCTCTCGAGCAACCACCCCGCTGCCAAATCCGCAGCCGCAAATAGAATTTTCCCAAAGCTAAACATTGCCACATCCACAACCTTCCCAAACCCCATGTTGTTATACGCCGTCGGTAGCAAAAGCCATGCCAAGAGGGGCGTGTAGCGGTAGGTTTCGCGCTCGTAGGGACCTAGAGCAGAGGGCCCGTGGGCCACGAAACGGGCTGCGTCGGTGAAGACCAGATAGTCGATGTCTGTGTATTTGAGGGGGGAGTGCGCATCCTGGTAGAGGCCGTAGAGGAGGAGGATGAGGCGCAGGAGGAGAGAGGAGAGGTAGAGGGGATAGCGGGGGGTCAGGAACCTGGTAAGGAGAGAGAGGGTCGTAGGTTTTGATGGTGTTTTGGAGGCCATTTTGTGTCCTAAAATTGAGGCTGTAGTGAAGTTTGAGAGTTATGGGGTTGGTTGATGATGTTTGAAGTCAACCTCGTGTCGATGAGGTTGGTTGTTGCGCTGTGTCCTAAGGTGAGTGCGGTTAACTCATGAGCACAGTTTCAGCATGGTCTAAATCTGACAACAGACTAGGGTTTTGCACAACTCAACGTGCAAAATTCTCAGGAAATCCTTAGTTCATCAATTGATCTGGATATCCTTGTGGTTTTCACGGACATCTGATGATTGCATGTTGATGATGTGGATGTTGAGGTGTTGTTTTTAGTGAAACCCCTGACCAACGACCAAGGCTTCAAGGTCTCGAACCCCCTGTTAGGACCCATGTTGTCTCCACAGCATTCGATCCTCGACGTTCATTCGTCCGTTTTCATTTTGCAGACTTCATTTTATCCAACATCTCAATTGAGCTTCACCATTTAAAGTGTACAATACTCAGTTCCAGTTTTGTATAATTCTCTGAATTTTCAACATGTCTGGGGTCAAGCGCGACTGGAGTGGTAAACTAAAGAGGGACGGGCCCAAGCCGGCTCACCCTGCGCCGGCAAGAAATGCATTCACGCCCATGTTCGAACGGCTTCGTGATGAACTCGATGAGCACCATGATCGCCGCGAGCGCATCGTCAAGCTGTCTCGTGATATTACAGCCCTGAGCAAGAAAATGTGAGCTACTTATAAGATGATACCTTTCATCTGAATCAGCGCTGACTGAGATTAGCATTTTCTCCCTGCAACGGTACGCCCTTCGAATATTTTCAGTTAATTCAAAAGAGCATGGCTGACTCTTTCCCAGGGTACGCAAAATCGAGCCCCAGCTCCCCAAAAACATCCAGGACGAGGTCGATGCCCGCCTAGCAGAAATTGCCAAATTGCTGGCAGCTCTCGCCCCTGAGATCCAAGGTCTCAACCGCTACCGCTACTCCCGGTCTTTGATGTGCCTTGAAGAGCTTGTCGAGGCCCTCACCTTTGCCCACTACCTCAAGACCCAAACTCTCATCCGCTACGAGGACCTATGTGCCACAGTCGAGGATCTCACCCGGCAGGGCATCGCTGCTGTGGCCACGTCCTCAGAGGACCAGGTCATGACGGACGCGGCAGACGGCCCCAAACAGGCCGACGCAACAAAACCCGACCCACCGGCGACCGTCTCCCTGACCCAGGATGACTACCTCTACGGCATTTTCGATCTTACAGGAGAGATGATGCGGTTTGCTACCACGACTCTGGCGCTTACGGGTGTGCTGGCCGGGTCAGAGTCAAGCACTAGTGGTGACGAGCCGCGCACCATCCTTCAAGATATGCACGACTTGGGCAGCTTCTTCGAGATGTTACCTGTAGGCGGGGGCAGTCGGTTTCAGTGGGAGAAGAAGCTGGAGGTGACCAGACAGTCTGTGCAGAAAGTTGAGCGGTTGGGGTATGACTGGATCATACGGGGCAGTGAGAAGCCTAAGGGCTGGGTGCCAGATCTGAGTGCTCTTGATCAGGGTCCTCCCGAAGAAGACGAGTGATTGTGGTGCGGTAAGTTTGTTGCAGCTGTGGCAGAGATGAGGCAATCACGACAAAGCATTCGGCACAAGTGGTTCACTGGTTTTTTTATATTGTCTACATGCCATGAAAGTGTCAATTGGGCATGTCTACGATAGTTGTCCGGTTTATTGTTAAAAGGCCAGGTTGAGAGAACAGTGTCTGTTTATAAAGGCACTGAGTCATGGGCCCAAAACGGATGTCTATCATCAGAGCGAACTCACCCAAGCCCAGGAGGGAAGCTCTGTTACAAAACGGAAGCTGAGAACCATTGCCCCTCGCATGAAAATCATAAATTGGCCCATCTCAGCCCCGCGAGGCAGATGGAGGGGGAGGGGCAAGGTGGGGCCTTATGCAACCAGTAGTCGCGAGCGATAAGCTTTCTTTCACATCGTGGGCCTTGAGGCAGGGCTGCTTGCCTCAGGCCACCTTGAGTGCGGGGCAACGGTACAGGATCAACCCCCCCGCTGCGACCAAACCGAGTCCCATAATAAAAACACCAAAAGATTTTCTTACCCCGCCAACTTCTCTTGTGCGACCTTCATTGAACCTCCGTCAACCCAGCTCCTTCGCCTGCCGTCCCTGTCCTTTGCTCTTCGTGACAAACTCACATCCAAAATGGGCTTCACCGATCTGACCACCGACGCCGGCCTTGCCGGTAAGTTTTCGTTCCCCTAGAACCCCTCGCGCAATCGTGAATTAGCGCTTGATGACTGACTTTGTTTCAAATCACAGCTCTTGAGAGCTGGGTTCTCACTCGCTCCTACATTGAGGGGTATGCTATTTCCAGCTGTCATCATTTCCTCCCGTTCCATCTTGCCCGATGATGATCACCCCATGGTCCGTGTTGCTGAGCAGCCTCAAGACCTGCAAATGATTAATACAATGCGCACTTCGGTGCAACTCTGACACCCCCGCCTGATGGTTTCGGTTTTATCGACTTCGCCTGTATTTTTTTGGAGCTTCAATCATGCTAGACAGAGCGCGCTGACAGAAGCCCCCTGATAGCCACTCTGCCTCTCAGGCCGATGTTGCCGTCTACAAAGCCCTCAGCGGCGCTCCTGATGCTGAGAAGTACCCCAACGCTGCTCGTTGGTACAAGCACATCGCCTCGTTTGAGGATGAGTTCGCCACCCTCCCCGGCGATGCCAGCAAGCCCATCAGCGCCTACGGCCCCGAGACCGTCGACGTGACTGTCCAGCCCAAGGAAAATGAGGAGGGCGGTGATGAGGACATCGACCTCTTCGGCAGCGACGAGGAGGAGGATGCTGAGGCTGAGCGTCTCAAGGCCGAGCGCCTGGCTGAGTACAACAGAAAGAAGGCTGCCAAGCCCAAGGTTATTGCCAAGTCGCTTGTCACTCTCGACGTCAAGCCTTGGGGTGCGTTTTCCCCATCCCCCTTTTTCAAAGGGTAGCATGGACTAACCTGACCCAGATGATGAGACTGATCTCGTTGCCATGGAGGCTGCTGTCCGTGGCATTGAGAAGGATGGCCTTGTCTGGGGTGCCAGTAAGCTCGTCCCCGTTGGCTTCGGTGTCAAGAAGCTCCAGATCAACCTCGTCGTTGAGGACGAGAAGGTCTCTCTCGATGAGCTTCAGGAGGAGATCCAGGGGTTCGAGGACTACGTCCAGTCTACCGATATCGCTGCCATGCAGAAGCTCTAAGCAAAGAGTTTCTTTTTGCTTGTTGTCTGCCTGTGTGTAAGCCGCATCGAATCGCAGCGTAGTTAGAAAAAAAATACGCCTGCGTCGGCGGATTGACGAATTCGATCTTGGTGTCCTGGCGAATTTGTATGCTTTGTTTGTGAATGTCGGGTAACGTTGGTCTAAGATCTTCGATGCAGGATTTATTTGGGAGCAGTGGCCGAGAATTCAAAGCGATGGTCTAGGATCAGGGAGCCCTCGAGTGGTACCTTGTCAACATCTGGACTCGACCTCGTTGGCCGCTGGACTCTTGTTGTCTCATCAACCTCAGTGGCTCCGCAGTCCAGAAGTAGCGCTACAAAATCCTCAACCATCGACATGCTACTCTCAGTCATGATTGATATTCATTACTCATTAAACTCTTCTAACTCTTGTGTCATGCTCAAATCTTGGTTCTGCTTCCAGCCCTCGCCCTCTGCTGCCTAATCGCAGTACTGCTAATCTTAGACTCGTAGTTTTCTGTCTTGGTAGGCGTCCCAGCCGCTGACGCCGACACATCCTCGGCCTCAAGCACATCGACCTCAAACACATCCAGGATTTTCCAGCCCTGTTCCTTTCGCTTATCATTCACAGCCTGACCACCTGATCGCGTCTCCCCTGACACCACCAGCGCCCCGATCTCCTCGACCGTAATGGTCGGCCCGAACGGGTCCTGAATCCGCACGCACTGGACCTCGATCGTCCCGTTGCGGAAGGTAGCCCGGAAGTCACCGTCCTGTTCCTGGAATCGGGCGTACCCCTCGTCCTTCCAGCCCCGGTCCGAGAGTTCGAGTAGTTGAGTGAGGAAAAGTAACACGTTGCGTGCGCGTGTCTCCCATGACTGGACGTACTCGGCGTACTTCTTGTTCTTGAGCATTTCGTCGCCCGTGATGCCGATGATGTACCGGGCCGGTTTGAGGGGGGTGTCATCTTTGTGAGGGATTTGAAGGAGTAGCGCACCAGCGGCCAGGAGTAGCTTGTGTCCTGGGTGGAGGTAGTCGAATGTCCCGCCGAGACAGACGACTGAGTAGGTGGGTGATTGGGCTTGTGCTGCGAGGGGAGAGGCAGGTCCGGTTTTCACATTGAAGGTTAGTCCACCCTCGACGGGGATGAGCTGTTCCTGAAGGAGGGTTTGTTTGCCCTCGGCGAAGCGCAGGTAGGTTTGGTAGACTTCGAAGCCAATCTCGGAGCGAACGTGAAAGATGAATTCCCAGGGGTGGTAGGCGTTGGCGAAGGTGGGCATGTCGATGATGATGGTGTTATTGGGCATAATTTCTGGACGGTAATCGGGGGTGAAGCTTCTGGTGCGGTCATGATCGATCAGGATGATGGTTGTGTCGACCGAGTTGGGACCGCCGTCCATTTCGATGGTGATGGAGTGCTGTGTGCAAATGGCTGAGATGAGGCCGTAGAGGCCGGAGATGAGCTTCTGGGCGCGAGGCCATGACAGAGTCTTGGATCGGAGAAATTGGCCGTTGAGAATGGGACAGACAACGGCGACGATGAGCTTGGAGGCACTAGTTGGGCGCTTCAATTTGGCAAGAGCTGCTGTGAGGGATGGGCGGTAGGCGGCATTGAGAGAAGCTGGTGTGATGGGGTCAGGAGGGTAGGGGAGAAGTAGCAGTGAGGGAAGGGTAGTTTTTTCCATTTTCTTCAGATTTGTACAGAAAACGAAGTTTAGTTAAGTGGAATGAGAGAACTAATTGTCAGTTGAGAAATATCAATTTGAATTGTGGTGTCGATATGATGTTGGTGTTGTACGATGTGCCGTCTCAAGCTTGGAGCCTCGGTTAAGCATGACCGAATCGAGGATAGGTGAAACCTGGGGCAATGTTGTCAATACACTGGCATTGTTGTTGCCAAGAGAAGTCAAACTGACAGCTGACCTCAAATGTTCCAATCCCAACTATGCCTAACTCTCCTTGGTTTAATGGTCGTCAACACTCATTGTTGTTTGAGAAATGGAGGGGCAACGATACCGCGGCTCCGCGCTTACAGTGCAGTAACGTGTGCATCCCTTTTACAACATGTAATGTAACAATGTAATATCACACAAACGCTGCCCCACCAGCAGCCGCGGGCACCTGGCGACGTGCAACTTCTGATGGCAGCCAAGCGCCGTGCGGCTTTCTGGGCGTTCTGGGCACAGCTTTCGCTGCGGCAAGGCCCCGGGCCTTGCATTGGGCAGCCAGACGAAAGCTCAGATTTTACTCGTGTGGTAGGGCGTTTTTCGGCTTCTGGCTGATTCTCCATGGCTGGATGCTTTCAAACCCAGATCTCCATCTGACAACGCAACACCAGCAGCCGATAACACAGCGGCACTGCTGTCGGGGCCTGCGCGCCCGCTCTCCCACGCTTCAACGTGCAGCTAGCACTTCCATTCTTCATTTTGTGCTGTATTATACATTCGCAGAAGCGCGTTGCCCCACCATCAACGCCGTGATCCTCCTGTAAACGACGAAAAGAACAGCGCCGGGAACCCTTGGCGCGCACCCCGCCCTGACCATCCAGGGCACCATCGCATCGCCCGCTCGCTCCTCATCCCCGGCCCCGCGTGTCGCCCGGCGCCAACAGAATATTGACGATAGAAATACCCGTCTGGCCGGCGAAATGAACCAGCCAAGTCAGTACCAGGCGTCTCGGAGAACAGGGACGTACTCATCGTCGCAAGGGGACCCAAACGTGAGCCAGCATCAACAACACCAGGGCCAGTCTCCCCGCGACTACGCCGCCACCGGCCCGCCTCCACACATTAAGCTCGACCCCGTCCAAAGCTACGGCCAACAACCCGGAGCCCTGCAAAACGTGCCAAACGTCCTGCAGCCCGGAGGCATGGCTGCGCGACAACAGGCTCAGCTGCCGTCGAATGCCCCGCCGCCCACAGTTTCCAGCATGCAATCGCAGTCCGACTACCACTCGACACATCAGTCTCCCTCCAAGTCCGCTTCGCTGGCCCTGACCCATTCTTCGTACTCACGCTCCAGTCCGTCGGGCTACGAGCCCGCTTCGAGCTCCAGTTATATGCCTTATTCCCCCACTGCCGCCGGAACTACCGCCAGCTCGTCGCAGTACATGTCGCCCACTGAGCCCAAATACAGCAGCTCGGCGGGCTCGCAGCGGCCGCTCGGGTTGGCAGATATTCGGCCTCGCGCTGATTCAAGCCTCTCCGACGGACTGCCCGGATCGTCGGACTCACCGCTGGCGAATATCAAGCCCCGCACCAGCCAATATGTCGCGCCTTGGGCCCTCTACGCCATCGACTGGTGCAAATGGGCTCCCCAAGGCAACAGTGCCGGCAAACTTGCTGTCGCAAGCTACCTTGAAGATGGGCATAACTTTGTGAGTTGGGTAACCCGCGATTTCACTGTGCAGTCGCTGACCGGCGCAGATTCAAATCCTCGATGCACATCTGGCGCCCACGCCGTCGGATGTTTATGTCCCCGGCGGATCTAAGTACACAATGGAGTTCAAGAAGATCGCTGAAGCTACCCATTCATACCCGGTGACCCGTCTGCTCTGGGAACCGCCCTCGGCACAGAAGCAATCTACCGACCTCCTCGCGACCTCAGGTGACCATCTGCGGCTCTGGTCGCTTCCATCCGATCCTCAACCACAAACCCCCGGCTCGTCCATAACATCTAGGAGTGGCCGCGATAGAAATGTAGTGAAGCTGACTCCTTTGGCGTTGCTGTCGAACTCCAAGACACCCGACCATACTGCCCCCCTGACGTCGCTCGACTGGAATACCGTCCAGCCCAGCCTGATTATTACCTCGAGTATCGACACAACATGCACGATCTGGGATATCCCGTCGTTGACAGCTAAGACTCAGCTTATTGCCCACGATAAGGAGGTCTACGACGTACGCTGGTGTGCTAATAGCCACGATGTCTTCCTCAGCTGCGGTCAGGATGGCAGCGTGCGCATGTTTGACCTGCGCAGCTTAGAGCACAGCACCATCATTTACGAGCCGACAGGCAAGGAGGATAGAGGTATGTCTTTTTTTTTTTTAAAAAAAACAACCTTTTCCTCTAGTTACTGACATGCTCCCTAGTCGATGCCAATGGAGGTCGCATGTCCCCTACAACAGCCCAACAAACCCTCACACACCCTCCTCCCCTTCTTCGTCTGGCCACCTCCCCTCACGACACTCACCTGCTCGCTACCTTCGCACAAGACAGTCCCGTGGTCCGCATCCTCGACGTTCGCCAGCCAGGCCAGGCCCTCCTGGAGCTTCGCGGGCACGGCGGCGCAGTTAACTGCGTGGAATGGTCCCCCTTGCGGCGCGGGACCCTTGCTACGGGCGCCGATGACTGCCAGGTTTTGATCTGGGATCTGCTCAATAGCAGCACAAGCATCAACGGAAGCCATGGACATCATCACCATCACCACCATCACCACTCGAGCCATCGCGGGCATCATAGGGACGATTATGTCCGTGGGCCGGTGGCAGTATGGCAGAGTGAGCATGAGGTGAATCATTTGGGCTGGGCGCCGAGGTTGGCGGGTACGGATTATGGAGAATGGCTTGGCGTAAGCTCTGGGAGGGCGATCACCGCGGTAAGGGCTGCTTAGAATGCTGGGGGTGATGTAGAAAGGCAGAAGAGGAAGGGGGAAATATTACGGAGCGTGGTGTGTCTACCCAGGGGTAGATAAAGCTCCAGGAGTATAACTGGTGCAGCAGTATCATAGTTAGGGGAAGTTTTGGGTTAGTGTAAGTGGTGCCATGGGGGGTGAAAAGAGGGAGAGGTTTCAACTCATCCATCATTATTCTATATGGATTGGGAAGGCGTTTAGGAGAAAGGTATGCATGCAACCAAGTAAGCAGGCAGATGATGAATGAGCCAAGTCATGACTGGGTCGTGGAGACGAATACCTGCTTGTCAACAACTAGGACACTTGATTTGGTGTCCAGCTGTGTATTCTCTCGCATAGTTTATCTCTTGTACAACACGAAGTTGTCTTCGATGGTAAGTAATAGGGTTGAGCTTTGCCACAAGCAGACATCAATCCTCTGTGGCGCAATTGGCTAGCGCGTCTGACTGTTAATCAGGAGGTTGGAAGTTCGAGCCTTCCCGGAGGAGCTGATCTTTCATTTTTGAGTGATTTTTTGCATCATCTTGTTTAAATTTTTGGAACTGGATTTTATGTACGCACAACTCACCAAGAATCGATGTGTTAGGCATCATATAGCATTTGTTTTGTTCGCAGGGAGTTCTTTGTTTTTAGTAATTCGTACCATTGTCTGGAACATCAACTCCTCCCAGCATAAATCGCCAACCACGTGATGCCAAGAACTCAAGCCTGCCCCCCTGCTTGAGCCCCAAAGGTCTCAATTCCTGCAGACACTGCTCCGACGACGGGTTGCGACGGGGCTGGATCCGATGACAACGACGACGGGCGACAACGACCGACGGCACCACCGCAGAATTTGATCCATTACGATTCGATCGATTGACAACCATCAACCAACCGATTGACCCTTCTCCCCTGCTGAAAGCCACTGTCCTCCCTCCTCCAACCTCACCATCGATCAATCCCTCGCACACCGCGCGCACCTCCAAAAGAAATGTCCTCGCTCTTGTCGCACGCAACGGCCATGCGGTCCCTCGCCTCGTCGATGCGCCTGCTCTCCTTCTCCTCCTCTGCCGCCGTCCGCCCCGCCGGTGTCGTCGCGCAGACGCGTAGTTTCTCCCAGGCGATACTCTCTTCTACTTCCTCCTCCTTCTCGAGCAGGCCGATGCTTCCTGCTGCTGCGAGGACGTCAGTACAGCAGGGACTGGTGCCGAGCGTGCTGTCGCTTGTGCAGACAAGAGGCATGAAGGTGCGCAGTGCGATTAAGAAGAGGTGTGAGCATTGCAAGGTAGGATCAGAATCCGAAAGGGGAGAGAGAGGGGATTGTTGAGGTTAACATGATAACACAGGTCGTCCGGCGCAAGGCCAATAAGAGGCACAATGGCTATCTTTACGTCATTTGTTCGGCCAACCCGAGGCATAAGCAACGCCAGGGCTGGAGGAAACCTTTCCCTTGAGGAAGTTAAAGTTGAAGACGAGGGATTTGGTTGGTTGGATTGCTTGCTTGCAACAGTCATAGCTGTTGCAAGTCGTTGTACAGTATCTGATGGCCTCGGGTGATAGCACACCCTGGGTTTGTACGATAAATGCTACGATGAGGATTTATGTATAGGAGAGGATGGCTGGTTGAGAGGCATAGCATAGACTGAGACACATGGGAGGTTTGGAACTCTCCCGTCTTTACAATACGATACCAAGGCTTTGCCCCAGAGGAAGGTCTAACTATTGAGGTGATGGTGATATATATCTATTAGGTGGTGCAGCTCATGACTGCTGCTGAATGTACCTCTCCATCGTCTCGAACTCTGTCTTGGCCGTCGACAAGAGATACCGGATGTGATCCTTGGATCAAGCAGCAACATGTTAGTCTTGAGTTTCGTTCTGATCTAACTCACACCTGAGGTTGGAATTGGCTGCTTCCAACGGGAGAGGAGACCACAAACAAGATCGGTTACGTCACGATGCCGCTCAAACTCGCCGCGGGCGTAGCGATGTGTCTCTGCACGAGTTGCCGGGTCGGGTATGCGTCGTATGCTGCGGAGGATGGTTCGGTAGAAGGAGAGAACCCTCGCACGCTGGATGAACTGGAATCCGTGGAATGGTAGGTTAAGATGGCCTCCGTTGCTATGTGGATTGTTTAGGAGGTGTGCAAGTGAGGGTACGTACATGATCGAGGGTCAGGGTCGGGCCGAGCCGGGAAGGGTTATAAGACGGAGCGTGGTTTGGCTGGGTTGTGGAGGGTGATTTTGTGGTGTATGTGCGGAGCAAGAGCCGCCTTGATGAGAGAAGAGGGCGCATTAGTACGAGATAAGATGTGGTATTGGAAAGATACAGGGGCAAGGTGAAAGAGAGATTATTGTGAGGGACTTATCAAGTCCATTGCTCTCCCTGTCGAGATGCGCTTGTCAATTTGAATGCTGAAACCCTTTGGGGAGAGTTTACTGGTTATGGATAAATTTCGGCTGGCAAGTAGTCTCGTTTGCCGTTTGTCGGTGTCACGGGCTCTGTGGTAAGCGACACTTCTGCTAGCGCAGTACTTTGAGAAAACAACAAATTTGGCTTTCACTAGATATTCAGACCCTGTTTACATGGGAAACATGGCCAACCATAATATAATAGCATAAAAAATCTCCTTCAGAAGTATTTTCTCCATTTCATTCTGTCTGAGAGTCATGGAGGAGATGTGGGAGCCGGCTTGTTGTTCGGCTAAACAGGTTTTGCCATAACAACTTAGCGCTCACCTCTCCCCACCAACACTCTGTTCGCTCAGAATCAGATAATCAAAAAGTCTTGAGAAATACCTTTATCTTCTTTCTGCTGCTTGAAATATTGTAGGCCATGTTTCCCAGAGTAAATGTTCAAGATAAAGACAATTCTGACTTAGGGAAGGAAATCGAGTCAGCGGCAACTTATAGGTCATCGACTTCTAATGCTTTCAATGTTCGGGGACCTGACGATGCGGGTTTATCAACTTCCGCCATGGACCACAATCCGACTAATGACTTACACGGTATCTGACAAAGGATATACCTTGCCATCAGAAACAATGCTGATTTGTTAAATTACTTTGCAAGTAGCTGTGGAATCCCTCGCCAACCATGCTGAATCTTTTGGCTGCGATCTCGACTGATCAGGTTCCGTTGACAGATACCATTTAGGTTATACAAGACTCATTTCGCAGCTCTCTTTCCCTTAGGACAGCCCTTAGCAAATACCCCAGCTTACCAAGTCCCCATTGTGATTGAAGACGATCAGGATAACCTTTTTTAAACTTCAGGTGACGAACTCCCAGCAGACGCAGGCATCCACGTTTTCCCATGACATGCACAAAAGCCATGCAGTAAACGCAACGCTGCCTATTGGGCCAGGCTGACACCACAATGCCGTGACGGACCACTCGCCCAGCCCTCATCACGCGGCGTAGCATCTCACAGCCGTTTGTTCTTCCCCCTTCTCGGTCTCTTGAACCAGACGACCACATTGAAAGCAATCGCAGGAGATCGAGTAGACGTGGTTGGTCGAAATGAAAGCACTGCCTCAGAACCCACAGCAGTTGCATGCATGCTGACATCGCTCCCCGGCATAGCGAATTGAAGAGCTATATACTATCCGCTCAACGGGCAGTTAGTTCCTGGGAAGGTTTTCTTGATCCTGCTATACTGAGCAAACCAATTCATTACTGCTTTATTTTTCAGGGCACGGCCTGAGACATTCATCGAAGGCCTGGTGACTTACACTAGCCCGCATTGCAGTTGCGTATATAAATATATATATTTCCCCCTCGCTCAGTCGCCTGTCGACTGCCCTCACACTTGAACGTCAAACTACCTCAGACGACTGGTGCATCCGTTCTCAAACACGCCGTCCGAATTAATAAAGGGAGAGAGGAGGGACGGGTTGACACTCCTAGTCCCTGACAGCTCTACCGATTCTGGCAGCTCGAGTGACACAGCTAGCAAAGGTCAAGCCAAAGTCAAGTAAGTAACAGCCCTTGTATGAGACCATTGAGCCATAAGACTGATTCATAGTAGTATCGTTTTTGTCCACGGTATACGAGGGCACCCACAACGGACGTGGGAAGGAGTTAAGGAAAACGGCGAAAAGGTCTTCTGGCCACAAGATTTCCTTGCCGAGGACCTGAAGGACAGGGCCCGAGTTTAAACATGCGGTTATGATGCAAAAGTAATCAGTCTATATCAAGCAAACAACAAGAGTACTATCTCTCAGCACGCCAACAACCTTGCTCGGTGGCTCGATCGGGACCTTTGTTCCAAAAACGACGTAAGGGCACTTCGCTAATGAACAGTTTATCTTCGGTCTAACAGGGCATGTATATCCTAGGACCCAATCATCTTTGTCGCGCATAGCCTAGGCGGAGTTCTGGTCAAATACGTATATCCCCTCATTATCACTCATCTTAACTTGGACTGACCAGTCTCTAGGCGGTTGGCCGAGTAAAACAGCCAATAGCCTATTGTGACCGGGCGAAGGCAATTATCTTCCTTGGAACTCCTCATCGTGGAAGTAAGGTCGCTTGTTGGGCTGGAATTACGGCAAACTTAGCTAGTCTTCTCTTTCTGGATTCGACCAAGTACATCCTTAAGGGATTGGAAAAGTGCAGCGAGGTTCTCGGCCAGATCCACGAGGACTTTATCGAAACCGTCAATCAGAAAGAGATCCAGATTTACACCTTCCAGGAAGGGAGAGGTATCTCGAGCATCAAGGGACTACATAACAAGGTATACAGGCTTTCATCTTTTGCTGCGAGCCCCTTGACTTCTAACTTTAATCTCCGGCAGATCGTGGACGACTTCTCCTCGAGACTTCATCTTCCTAGTAGTCTTGAGACCGTCGCAACAATCGACGCAAACCACCAAGACATTGTTAGATGCTCTGATAGGAACGATCCACAGGACAGGTCTATCTTTGGTGCCATTGATCAACTTCTTAACCAACTTATGAACGACACTACGATGGCTAGCCATAGACCTATGTCAAGGGGACCTGTGGCCTCTGAAGAGGAGTTTAACCCCCGGAAGAAGGTCTCTGAAGCTGGCAACAGGCAACTAGTGCCCTCTAAAGAAAACCCTAGAGCAGCCCAACCGCCCCAGGCTAGTCAAGCTGCTGGTGCAGCCTCTGAGCCACCGGCTGGGGCTGCGGAAACGTTTGTCCCTGGAACCAATGCTGGAACGCAGGCAATTGGATCCTTTCAGGTGAAATTTGGGAATATTGACGCTCAAGGCGGCACTGTGTTGATCCTGGGTAATGGAACATATGTGTCAAACGTGGCGGGTGCTCATGTGCAAGGTATACAGGGCGTGAAGGGTGCGAAACCGGGTTAGTATATAGGATCTAAGCGACCTGCTTCTTGGTTAAATGGATGAATACTCAATATGAAGCTGGCTAACTCACTCTTTTTCCCTTGAAGAGACCACTCCGGAACGCCGACTTGGACCCCACTACATCATTCGCGAACCTAAAAACACGGAATTCGTTGGTCGTGAGCCAATTCTCACACAACTCATGGAGATGCTCTATGATACCCAACAAGCCTACCGGGCTGTTATTGTTGGCACGCCCGGTGTTGGCAAGACTCAAGTTGCCTTGCAGCTCTCCTATTCGATCAAGGACAGTGAGGATCCAATTTTGTCAGACATTTCTGTCTTCTGGTTTCCGCCGCCAGTTGGCAGGTTTTTGTGCAAAGCTACAGGGAAATTGCTGGCAAGCTTGACCTGAATCCTACGACTCCTACAAGGAGTTAAGCCAGCCATTCCAGCTTTCTGACGGAGGAGACACACCTCTGCATGCATCGGCCCTTGATGAGCATGACAGCCATAATCGGGGTCTTTTGGAAGCTGTAAGACGTTATCTTATGTCAGAAAAATCAGGGAAATGGCTCTTGGTGGTGGATATTGCCGATGATGCTCAGGCTGTCTTTGGGTCCACAGAGATCCCAACCAGCTCGTCTCAATACCGGGGGATCTGGCAGTATCTCCCTTGGGAAGATAAGGGCCGTATGGTCTTGTTCACGACCAGGTTTTGGGAAGTTGCATGGGCAGCCGCAAACAGTGGCAGAAACGTCCTCAAGCTTGGGGTAATGAGCAAAGAAGAAGCGACCCAGCTGTTGAGGTCGCTGATCCATAAAGATGAAGGTGACTCTGACGACTTCCAAACCAATGGAGCAGAACTCGTGAGGGAACTTGAGTATCTCCCAGCAGCCATCAAGGTTGCCGCAGGCTATATTGTCACAAACTACATTACGGTCGGCACTTACTTGGAGCACCTTCGACACGTAGGCTCTTACAACTCTCCTTTGCTCCAAGGTGCTGTTGTTATGACATGGGCGATGTCAATCAATCGAATAGGTCAATCAGAACACGATTCTGATCAAGCTGCTATCGAGCTATTGGCATTTTATATCCCTTATTGAGCCCAAAGACATTCCTGGAAGACTATTTCCTTCACTTGGAGGGCAACAACACCAACAATCCGCTATCTGGACATTATGTCGCTATGGATTTCTTTCAAACCGTGAGAAAAGCAACATTTTTGATACACAAAAGCAAGTTCAGATGGCAACACAAATGTGGCTGGAAGGTCGTAATGAGCTGGAATCGCAGAGAGAACAAGCAATTCGGCATCTTTGCTAGGTCTTGCCGAAGCCTTATTGGGAGAACTATTGGACGTGGAGACCACTTCTCCCACATGCCATGCACATTCTGTGGGAGAGTAAGGGCAACTATGGAGTCGAAAGAGCCACTCTACTTGCCCGTGTTGGCGATGCCTTCAAGACGGACTCGAGGTGGTCAGAGGCGATCGAGTGCTACGAGGAACTCGGTCTGCACAAGCCTTTTGAGGTGAATCACGACAAGCCCACGTTTGAACTCTGCAACAATTTAGCATGGGCATATCGACACTCAAATCGTCATAAAGAAGCTCTTGAACTGCTGACAACCATCGTCGATATGCAGAAAGAACTATGGCCCGAAGATCACCCTCTACTTCTCGCATCACAGGCACATTTAGGGGAAAGTATACTGCGAGACCGGAAAACCTGACCAGGACATCGAACTTCTTACATCGATTATTGAACGGCAAAGGAAGATACATCGACAAGAAGACCAGCGTTTTATCTTATCTCTAGATTTCCTTGCCTTGTCCTATCACGCAAATGGCCAAATGGAGAAATCGCTAGGTGTCTGCCAGGAATTGGTTGACATTAGGAAGAGAACACTCCCGGAAAGTGATCTGCGGCTCTTGCAGGCACAGATCTACCTAGCAGCGGCATATCGAGAGACTGGTAACGTGCAAGCTGCCATTGATCTTCTAGTCCACATGAGGAAAGTTGCTGAGAAAACATATCCTCCTTCACATACCATGAATATGAAGATAAAGTTTAATCTTGCCTACAATTATTGGAAAAAGAATCAGTTGAAGTAGGCGATCGATCTTTTTAAGGTCGTAATTGATAACTATGAGAAAACACATCCACGATATGCCTTGAAGAAGAATTACCGTGCAAAGGCCTACGATCAAAGCAGACAAACAAAAGAGTCCATCAAAATCTGGACATCTGTTATCGAAGGCCTAAGCAAGCTATACCCGGCCCATAACGATGCTCTTCTGACCTCAAGACAATGTCTTGCTTGGGCCTATCACGAAGATGGCCAAGAGGACAAAGCAATGGACATGTTCCAATCGATTATAGACATCCAAAAGCAGAGATATCCCTCTCATCGCCCTGAAGTCCTGTGGCCAAGGTATCACCTGGCATGGCTGTATCGTTCACGTGGTCAATGCCTAAAGGCTATCGACATCTACGAAGACATCATCAACATCGCCAGAAAACACAACTAGCCGGAACTCAGTGACTTCCTCTTTGAGACGAGATGCAACCTTGCAAAAGCTTACTATGAAGCGGGCGAGATTGGGAAAGCGATTGATCTCCTTGTAGACACAATCCATACCTGGACTCCAAAATATCAACCGGACGGTCGCAGATAAAGAAGTTGAATGAGTACTTGGCTGAGTGGCTTGAAAAGCAAAATGCCTAGAATTTTGAGGTGGTCAAGCAACATATCTGCATTTCTCAACAACAAGTTGCATGCACATGCCGCAACAACAGCCAGCTCTACAAAGCCATCAAGCCTCTACAACACTTTGTTCATTGCCAAACAAAAGGCCCTGTCTCCAAAGTACACCCGCGTCTTCCTGCTCCAATGAGAGCTCGCATCTGTGTGTCTCCGCAATGGTCAAACCTAACAGGTCGTCACCCTTGTCCAGTCAGCGTCGGAGGTTCAACAGCCTATCCTCCCAGAAGAACACCTGGACATCCTCGTTGCTTAACTTGTTCTGATAAAGGCATGCTCCAAAGAGGAGCGCGTTTCAGAAGCAATGAAACTCATGGGACATGTCTTCAAAAGACGAGCAAGATGCTCCTTGAGGACAACCCCCCCTTTGCTCTCATAAATGTCCTGGCTGAGTGGCGTGAGGAACGAAGGACCCGTGAACTGCTTGGAATAACGACAACGCAGTTACGTCTTGGGTTGAGCCGACGCCAACCAGCGCACAGTGCACGCCCGCCCGGCGACGCTTAATACGGCTATGATGGGTCTACAGCTGTGGAGTGGCATGGGAGGGAGAACCAGATTAACATGTTTACTGTTACACTGGGGATGGGGAGTTAATGCACGCTTGTGATGTCCAAAGGGGTAAGGGAAACTGTTTGCGTTGAGGATCAACCCGCCGCATCAGGATTCAGGTTCAAGTCAGGAAGCTCCTGGTATCGCCAATAAGTTGATGAGCACGCTGATACAGCCTTCTCGAGGGGTGGAAGTGTCTGGTTGGCTAAGGGAACAGCCGCAACAGTCTGTGTAGTCGGGTGGCATTTTGTGTTTGGGTATGTAAGCAGACACTGTCGTGAACGGGCAACTGCCTCAATGATTAGATGCTCAAGGCCCAATGAGTGTTGTTACTGTTGGGTTAGAAAAGCCTTCAGGAGGGTAAGTGTCTGCTTGATGTTGGACTCCGTCAAAACAATGGTGTCTCTTGCGACAGATTTTTGAATCGTAAGACAAAGTGATCCGATAGAGAAGCAGATGTGGAGGTTAATCACAGGGAGAAGAGGCACAACTTCAGTGGACAGTGGAAGGAGAGAAGGTGTGGTTAGATAAAATATTGTTCTCTTGACCCAAAAACTGCGCCTTTTAAGCTTAGTTCTTGGAACCAAAAACAGCATGCTCGTACAGAGTAGAGACTGTTAAACAGTACGGTAACACACCCCTTGTTCTTTGGGCTTATGCGCTTGGCTCGTGTGCTTAGTATTCCAAAGAGAGGGAAGGTCTGCAGATACAGGTACAGGTAGGTATACAAGCCGGACTCTAGGATGTTATCAATCACATATATTTAACTATAGTACAGTGCTAGTAATTCTTAACTATTTTGATATAGTAAGCTCTGCTTTTCAAAATTTCTGCCGTCTCTTTCTGCTGTAAATGAGCTCCTGCGTCGTTGTCTCAGTGCCACTAACTCTCTAATGAATACTGCAGGTCTAAAGCCCCGCTACAAAGTCTGCTTAGGAGAAACCAGGCAGCCACCCTTATGCAACAGTTTGGCAAGTACGTAACTTGTTCGAGACCCGCATAGGAGCATCGGCGCGCGGTCCTGATCCTTCCAATCATATATTCAACTCACGCGATCCGCTTAATTACAAACCATCGGCTCAAGTAGGCGGAAAGCTACGTACTTGCTTGTCAGCAGTTGGGCATCCTCAGCTGGTCGATCGGCTTTCTTGCCGCGCCCACTGTCACACAGACACGGCAGTCCAAGTAAAATGGGTATCCTGACTGCCAAACACAAGGGACGTCGGAGATAGAATGATTGTGAGCGGCACGAACCCGTGGTTGACCCCAGGAGATATCTGGAAGACGTATGACCGAAAAGAATGAACCGGATGGTTGAGAAGATTTCATAAAGGAAGCTAGTCGGACACGATGGACTTCTCTTGCTTTTCCTCTCCCCAACACAAGGACACTGAGGACCAAGAAAAATTATTACAAGTATCAATTGACTTCGTTGTGCACCCCACATCGTCAATGGCCATCATCTAACCCATTTGACCCATTGTCGACTTCTGACTGCACCAGACCAAGTCACCCGTTACATCAATTGACTCGCAGAAGTTGAACCCTGACAATTGCAATCAACATGGAGTTGAGCTGTTACGTGAGATCGAGCATCATCAAATGGCAAATAAGTTTGCGGTGCGATATATCAAGGATGCTGATATCACAATTAGTGAATACCTCGAATTACCTCAAAGATTTCCACCAGGAATAATTTGACTCGATACCTAATTGGAGAGTTACAAATCCAGGGGCAAGACATGGCTGGTAAAGTTTGATAACTTCGCAAGTCTAAAGAGAAGAATGACAAGGAGGCTGTGGATCTTCTGGAATTTATCGCACTCACCGATTTAGAAGCCATTCCAAATTCGCTTCTACTTAACCCCTATTCTCTTCGAAAGCGTGCAGTGTAGACATCAGTGAGATACGACTTTCTTATATAACGCAAGAAAACTGGCAAAAGAGGGTCTGAGCCAGCTCTAGAACGCAATTCTCCAAATAATGTCAACGCCAATCATTCGTTATAAATGAAGACTGTTTCGCCTTCAGTCCTCCTGAACATTCACATTGACGACAACGAAGCTTGCAGAGACGGACCTGATGATGGGGAGATCTATGATATCATAGATTGGCTCACCGGGCCACGCGAGTATGGCTGCAGACACAGTCTTATGTGGCAAAGAAGAAGAAAGAAGCAATCAGACATTTGAGCGGCATCTTTTACGCGACCTTTGGTTCGGTCAACCCTAAGTCTCTGCTGGACGAAGCTCAGAGCCTACCTGCCACATGCCTTGGCGGCCTTCCAGCAGAGTGGGACTGAAATCGACAGGTTGGGAGCCAACGCGAACGCTTCCATGGCTAAAGCTATCATGACAACCCTCAGAGATGGCTTCTGTGTTTTGAGGAAGATAGATTTGTCACGAGGGGAAAATGGTGTTGCTGCATCAACGGGAAGGAAGATGTTCGTGTGACTGCAAACCCACCCTTCCCTCTTATCTGTGTCACAGCATCGCATGGATGCTATAAGCTATCTTGATAATCTTAGCAATAACGTCAACAATCAAGAATACACGCTCTCTCTTCTCAAACTTTTTTTTGATCGATTAGGTCAGGCTTATCTAATGACTTCCTGGGCCAAAGATCTGTTGTCACTGATCAAGGCGGTCGTCGATATGAAAACCATTGTGCCAAAAATGCAACCAGAGCACAACGCGGTGTTGAATTCACAGAGGACACTAGCACTTCTATACTACTTGCTTAAGAGTCCTGAACACGTCAGGGATTATTGAATTGGATTGAATTGCATTTTCGACCCGTCTCACCCTTGAGGGAGCCTGGTCATGCCCACAATGGCGGCGGGCAAGACGTGTTTATGGGCTGCTTAGACTGCACTGTATACACGTGAAAAAAAAAAAAAACAACCAGTGTGTTGCTGTGAGATGATATCATGAAGGAGAATGGGGAATGGGGTTAGATGCGGAGAAAGTGAACATCCAAACTAGATAGCTCTGGATCTGACCACGAGTCGCTAGAGGGGGTGAAGGCCTTGGGTTTGTTGTATCAAGCGAGGGGAGGAGACAGGGTGGCGTTGATGGGAATAGTTCGCTCCCTCTGTTCATCTCGGGCTGAGCCGTAAAGCTCGAGTTGTATTCTCCTGTTCTCAAACAGTCGGTGCGAGTGCCAAAAGGCTGTGGGGTCCAGACGCCGTGTCATAGGGTTACTGAAGGACGAAAGGTGGAATCTCAGGCAATGGCCTCTGAAGATCGTTGAACCACAAGGCAAGTTTGATAGCACTTGGAGGGTGGTTGAACCTGAGATGGTACTCCAGGAAGTCCCCGTGTCCAGATGCCTGCGCCACCCATCTAGCCAGACATTTTCAGTCGAAGAGAGCGAGGAAGGTTTAGCTGAGGGCCCATCCCACAGGCTGGACTGAGGCTTGTTCGACCGCCACCATGATGTTATGTCAGGGGGTGGAATCTTCCGTAGTCTGAGAGGACTTGGGGGTAGCCCTAGCCAAGCCCGAGGCCCGGGTCGCCGGGGCTCCCAGACAGAGCCTGGTTGGGCTTCGGCGGCTGATTGGTGTAGGCGAGACCAGCCTTTGTACGGAGGTCACTGGAGTCTCCTCCAGAGGGGGTGGTCGGGCGGTAAGATTTGAACCCGGGCTCGCTATCTCGCGCCAGGGGTTAGGGAGGGAAATTTGGAGGACTGCGGAGGAAGAGTACGAGGATGACCATGTGGAGATCCTGAGAGTGGGGTAATTGCTTGCTGGATTCTACCAAGACTATGGCAGAAAAACCAATAACACGCAATTCATCAAGTATAGTGAGGAGCTTTGGTAAGAGATCAATAGTGAACTCTGGTTCTTGAAGTGAAGAGCACAGGATGGATGGTTTTTGGACATAAAGGAGACATACACACATATATATTTCTCCCAATTTATTTCACCAAACGGCGACTGGTATCTTGTCAATGGAACTTAAAGGCTCAGCGTTACCTAGGTACCTAGCTACCTACGTATATACGCCCAAGAAAACAAACAAGTAATGAACAAGAATCGTCTTGACTTTCCAGACCCATCCATGATCATCTCAGTCATCAACACCGCAACCCATACCCCTCTCACCTTCTAGCTAGCAAGTACAGACCCCATTCTGCTCAGGACCCCGCAATCCCCAACCCAATCCTCCCAAACCCCCCCTGCCCTTGCACACCTCCCTGCACACCCTGCAACCCCTGCCCTCCCTGCGTCCCCGTCCGCTCCCTCAACCTCCTCCCCTCCATCAACCCCCTCAACCCTCTCTTCTGCAACCCAATTACACTACTCAACTCCCCGCTCCAGATCTGCTCCTTCTCTTTCGCCTCTTTCCCGTCTCGTGAGTGAGAAGGGTGCTCCGTATTGTCCTCCCATTCTGAGCCAGAGACCGAGGTTGCGGAGGTGGATGTTGCGGAGAGGGGGTCATTCGTGTCTGGTTGGGCCGAGATAGATGTCGTGATCTTGAGGCTTGTACCGGAGGAGTCGGTTGTGGGAGGAGGCTCGGTAGATGTTGGGACTGTGGGGCTGCCGCCCGCAGGCGGATCGCCAGATGTACTGTCGATGCCACCGGCGGCTGCTTGCGCGGCAGCAACGACGGCTTGTAACTGGCCGGGATGGTAGTTGGGGTTCAGGGTGCCGTCGATGCCCCTGCCTCCGCCGGCAGCCATGGCTGTGGCATTGAAGACGGCAGCTGCGTTGCGGCTGTCTAGGAGGCCGTGTAAGCGCTCCACGACGGCTTCCAACAACCCGTCGATGCGGTATGGACGAGCGATCTGTAGTAGGGAGCACAATATCTGGGGAGTGCACAACGGTGATGAGGGGGGCGGGAGTGACGACGTGTAAAGGAAGTGCAGCATCGCCTGCACAGTGAGGTAGGTATGCGGGAGGTAGAGACACCTGGGACGACTGTTGGGCGGCAACGTCCGGGGCGTTGGCGCGGTATTGATCGCCGCTGGGTCGATCTGGCCTGCCGCAGAAGCAGCAGCCGCATTCGCGCCAGAGATGATCGATCCAGCCGTGCTGGGTGCCTTAGAGCTGCTTCCCGTCGAGTAGAGCGTCGATCCTCCGAGCGACGGCGTAATCGTCGCATTCGACCCCCTAATGGCAGCACTCCCAGCGCCTACAGATACCGAATTAGACCTCAACGTCGCGGCATCACTCCCTTCCTGCGCCGCGGTCCCTTCCCTCAGCAGCTGCACAAAATACGGCCCCCATCTCCTTGCCACAATCCTCGAGTTAATTGGGATCCGTTCGCCCCCAATACACAAGATATCCATATCGGCCAACTCACGCATTGCCAGCGCCTTCTCGCCTAACTCCTCTGCGGCACGATTGTGATTTCTACCACCCGCCGTGGACCCCGCCTTTCTCGCCAACGGCAGTCCTGGACCGATATACGGACTACTGGCGCTGATGAACCCGCTCATGGGACTCGTCTTGCGGGGGTTGTCGTAGAACCCAAACGCCTCTAGCTCGACCATGCAGACATTCGTGAAGTTGATCCGGCGGTGGTTGTAGTCGTCTACCAAACTCCTCTTGCGATTACCCAATACAACAAACGTGTTTCTTCTGTTCCACAATACACCGCGGTTCCAGCTGCCCTGACTAAACACTGCATTCCCAGCGTCGATGCGACTCCATGTCATGGTGCGCAGGTCCAACGCCCAGAGGGCATATTCTTGCTTGGAGGATGTCAAATACGTCCCGCTGACTACAAAGTGAGTGTCGATCACCCCGCCGTTGGGAAACCTCAGACCCGGGGGACTGTACGTTCCGCTCATTGACCGTTCTGTGAGCGTTCCGTCCGGTCCACGGATCTGCAATTCCAGCTTGACATCCAAGAAGTTGTAGTTGCTGTAAATCAGCATACTGGAACCCCCTTCCCTGGCCTCGGCACTAATAGGCCCGTTATCCCTCTGCGGACCGTGGGCGTATGTCTTGCCCAGCTTGGCGGTAACGTACGGCGGAAGGGCAGCCACGACGCTGCGGTAGGCACCACAGCTCTTGCCGAGGGGCTGTGTGGAGACCCACTTCAGACTGCGCAGGTTGAATACGCTGATCTCCTCGATGTAGTGGTTCGAAGCGTCCTGGCCGCCGACGATAATCATTTCCGCGCCGCCGGTGCCGTCAATATACACCCCAAGCTGCCCAGTATTTGGGGCACCAGTCGAGGGGTTATGCTGTAGAGCAGAAAGCGGCGCCCGATGAGAGGCAAATACAGCCGACGAGGGCAGAATACATGCGCAGTGGGCATATCGTCCCTGGGGCGGATCTTCCGCATGGATGTAAGTCCACTTCCTAGTCGGGATGTCAAAAATATAAACGTCCGATACGACAACCGTATCAGACTGCTGCTCCGGCGGCAAACTCTGCTGTATCGCCGGGCCCGCGGACATGCCTCCGTAGCAAACCATCTTGGTATCTCCCAGAGCGCACATCGAGTGGAAGTACCTTGGTGGTGGAATATCCCCGGTGCACTCCAGCTTCGTCCAATGTCTCCGGATCAGATCCAACTCATACATATCCGAACTCAGAGACCCCGGAGAAGGCCGAGATCTAGACCCCAATAGCCTGCCGCCAAAGACATATAGCTTATCCCCCACAATCGTAGTTGTAGCACCCACCAACGGCGGCGGTTCTCTGCCCGTCGTGCGATGCACATTGCACATCAGACCTGCCAAGTGCGCAGACGGGGTTGACGGCCCCGCGGTACCAACTACATTAGCAGCAGGCTGACCCCTCGCTTGGCCCATATTCGGCGACGTATTACTCTTCTGATCCTGGCCGTCCTGTCTCGATGAGCTGGCTAGGCCAGCCTGGCTGTTCATATCGTGACCGTGGGCTGCCATCTGTGCCATCTGTCCTCTCGTGTACAATCCTCCACTGCTCATGTCGTGGGAATCCATTGCCTGCGCGCGGTTACTTTTACTGCTGTAATTGGAGTTGCTGTTATTCTCCTCTTTGGTAGTCGTGATACTCTCCTCAATACTCCCCAACCCGACTTGCTGGATAGCCGGCGCCAGGGGACTCAGCGGACTGGTAGGCGAGAGCTCCGGCGGCGGCGGCTCGGGAAGCGGCTTCGACAGGCTATGCTGGAGGCTCAGGCTGCGTGCATGATGCGCCTGATAGGCGGCGGTAGCACCTCTGGGGGGCACGGGAGCCGAGTTGGCGGCGCGCTTCGCGGTAGTAGGGATGAAAGGCTCGGAGGGCCGGCGAAGAGCAGCGTGGGCGGGTCGGGTCGTCGGCGCGATCTTTTTGATCTCGTGGAGGGCGGGGTTGAAGAAGTCGGCGGAGGTCCTCGTGGGCGAGTGGTCTTCTCGGCTGTCAGGCGGCTGCTGTTGCTGGTGGGGGTATGGCTCTGGCGCGTCGGCCTGCTGGCCTGGGGCACGGAAGGTTAGCTTGAAGTTAGACATGATGTTTCAGTGCCGTAGACAGGACTCAGAGGAAAGCGTCCAGAGCTAGCAGCTCAATTCCAGGTTCCAAGCAGCCAGCCCGACTTTGAACAGATTGTGGCGTTGGGAACGAAGGAAAGCACACAACAAAACAGCATGGCACAGCCAAACTGGCAAGCCTTGTGTGACCGAGTCGAACACACAAAACGAAAACTCGAGAAGATTTCTTCTGCAGCGACCCGACACCACGTCACAGGGCGGGCGTTGGTAGTAGAGAGGATATGCAACGCGACCCAAGGCGCCCGTAGACCCGTAGACCCGAAACGGGAACTGCAAGGTGATACCGGGGGCGTTAAGCCGAGCAAGAGAACGTGGAAGAGCCGGGGTTCCGGGGTCGCCGGCGGCTTAGGGTGCCAGAGTTGCAGAGTGCCCGTTCCAGTGCTGCGGTCCAAGCTCCAGGGTCGAGAGTTGTCGGCACTTGGCTCGCCAGCCAGGGACTTTCACGACCGCCTGACGGTAAGACTTGCAGAGGCAATCGTGACCGAACAGGGAAGTGTATGAGTGCGCAAAAATATGGGCAAGCGGGATCGTTGCTGGGGTCTGGGGTTGCTTGGGATGGCTTGAGAAGGCCAATGAGGCCCGCTCACACACAGAGAATGTGACGGCAACAAGGGAGCACGAAGGCTTCGGGGGCTGCCCCGAGATGAGCGCCGTTGCGCGCGGACCTCTCTGACAGCAGCTAACAACAACCAAAAAAAAATGAAAATCACCAGAGAATAAAAATCGACAGAAATGAAAAGGAGCACCAGCGTACCTGATAACAAGGAAGACAAGGCAGAAGCGTGCTGTAACGGCAACGGTGCAATTTCCGGGGCAGCCCTGGGACGATGGCGGTCAAACGAATCGTGCAGCGCCCACGCCCGCGCCCGTGACACAGCCGATGGAGATTGGGAGGCTTGATGAGTGAGTAGAGAAGAGCGTCTGGGTAAGATCGGCGACTGACAGAAGAACGCCTGCAGCACGCAGCAGCCGCACGGACGGTGTCTTGGGACGAACAGGCCGGAAGCGTGGGCGCGCGGCAATAGGGATGTGATGAGAAAAATGAAAGGAGAACTGCTGGAGTGAACGCGGGGTCGATGGCTGGCCTCAGTCAGTTACTCTCGCTCTGGTCGTAGCGCCGTGGTCCTTCAGATGGCGGCGTATCGGTCCAATGTATTGCAGCGTCGAGACTGGAGGAATGCAGTAAGTAACCTGTAACAGTGGAACCGACGATTGCGACCACAACAATGCTAATTTGCTGCCTATTCGATCTGATTTATCGTGCTGTCTAAGAAGAACAGCGAGGCTGGTGGACTTGCGATAGTATTGGTTCTCCCAGGGGCTATACTTGTGCCCAAATGGACCCTTTGATGATTTGAGGGCCTGTTATCCATGCCGGTGGTTCAGGCAAAGTTGGTCCGTTGCACAGGGCGTCTTAACTCCACCGAGAAGAGGGAAAGACGCCAATGCAGAAATGGGGGCAAGCATCCGAGGAAGTCCCTGACATTCATTGTGGGGTCGCTGTGCACAGACCACAAAATGGCCCGCGTGTATGACCTTGAGCAGCCACGGCAGCATGGTTTCTCCTCTTAGGAGCCGGGCTGCTCTCGATGTTTTCTAGAAACTGGGGAGAAGAAATGAGTATGGGATATATTAGAAGCAGAATTTAAGATGAGACTGGCGCGAGGAAATCGACATCTATTTGTATTGTCAAGAAGGGGATAAAATTTAGCCTCAACAAAGACAAGCAAACACCAACCAATTGGATTTCGAGAGATGACAAACTTTAGAAGTTCCCTCTGGCAAACGAGTCCCTCGGGCGCCGTTTCTAAATACAAGCACCGACGAATTCACAGATGGTGCAACGCACGCCAGACACAAATATCGAGTATCATATCTCATATCCCATTGCATGAATAAAGCTCATAACTCAAGTACCATTATCTGACCCGTATCCGACCCAAGCAGGAGTCAGGGCTCTTTTGCGCCCCCCCCCCGTTTTCTCTCAAATACATTTTTGTTGGTATATTTTCGTTTTTAACTACAAAACACAAGCCACCATAACCCCTTAGTCAACCTCAGGGAGGGTAGTGAAGCGCAGGTAGGGCTTGACGATCTCGACGTTGGGGAAGATCTTCTTGGCATCGTCGGTTTTGATGGAGGGGTGAACGATGACCTTGTCACCGGGAACCCAATTGATCGGGGTTGTGACCTTGTGCTTGTCGCCGGTCTGTAGGGAGTCGATGATGCGCAGGATCTCGGCGCTGTTGCGGCCGGTCGAGGCGGGGTAGGAAAGGATGGTGCGGATAACCTTCTTGGGGTCAATGAAAAAGACGGAACGGATGGTGAAGGCGATACCCTTTTCGTCGACGTTGGTCGTGTCCTGATAGTCGATCCTGCCAGCCGTTAGCTTTGACTCAACTTCCAAGGCAAGGGAAAAGAGACTCACATGTCATAGAGATAGGCGACCTTGCGCTCCTTGTCGGCGATGATGGGGAAATCGACGAGCGAGCCGGTGACATCCTTGATGTCCTTGATCCAGCCCTCGTGGCTGTCGAGGGTGTTGGCTGAGAGGCCGATCAGCTTGACGCCGCGCTTGGCGAACTCAGGGGCCAGGCGGGCCATCTCGCCGAGCTCGGTCGTGCAAACAGGAGTGTAGTCCTCGGGGTGCGAGAAGAGGATGACCCAGCTGTCACCGATGAACTCGTGGAAGTCGATAGGGCCCTTGGTGGTCTCGGCCTTGAAGTTGGGGGCGATAGAGCCCAGGCGGAGGCTGGCAGGCAGTTAGTACTGGATTCATGGGAGATACGAATGGCAACAAGCACGAAGCTCTCGACGATGAGATGATGACGACATACCGAGGCTGCTCAACTTCGGTGGCCATTGTGACTACGTGTGAAGTAAGGGGGTATCTCTGACAAAAGGGAATACAGAAAAGCCAGTCAGACAGTTTTTGGCAGTGCAGCAGGAAATCTGATGATGAAGATGAAGAGGAGGAAGAATCACAGGTAAGTCGAACCAAGAGGGGCAGAAGGGTCTTTTTAAGCTTTCAAATCCAGGCCCGGGCCAGGTCCACGGGTGTCGTTCCCCCGGGGACGGGGACGTGATGACCCCACCTAAGCCACTTGGACCTTCGTCACTCCCAGCTGTGAGGCGTGAGGAGTTGGTCGCCGAGCTGGATATGCGCATCTCTCTCCGTGGCAGTGGATGTCCAATGCGCCAGGTCTGGATTAATGAGGCGCCATTGGACTGCTTGGCCTTCATGGGCTCTCTTGGATGGAGGGGGGCTCCCACAGTATGCTACACTACGCAAGACATGCATATATTCTGTTAATGATCTTTGTGTCCATGGATCTGCTCACGAACTCTATACCACGGGCATCAAAGTCTCTAAGATCCAATAACCTAAATCTCTTGCTTTTCATAATTTCTCTATCATCAGTGTTGCTTCCGGCCTTCACTTTCAGCGCTCCTTCAACATCATCCCGAAGACAAGTCTCTCAAAAGATTCACTAACAAAATATCCAAAGCGGGGCACCTACCCCTCCATCCTCAGTCCAGTCAAGCCACTCCATGACGCGGGGCCACCCGCAGCAGCTCCTGCTCTGCCCCTCCCCCTCCCAAGAGTCGCCCAGCCGAATTCGGCTTGGTGTGCCAATTGCGCGATCGCGGGCTCCGCTGATTGGCTGTGGGTCCGCTGCCCGCCTGCTATTATGTCATTTTGCGCTTGCTGTCGCGAGCGACGCACCTCACTCTTGGACAAGAGACACTGTGGGGGTTGCATCCTCTCTCATCTTTTATTGGGACTAAGGTGAATGGATGGAGGTTGGGACAGGAAGAAGAAATAAAAGGTAGCGAGGAGGGCGGTGCAGATACCATCACGTCATATTTGCTCGACAGAGGTTAAAAGTTACTACCCCTCTCTTGAGATGGCCCCTTGTCAAGGCCAAAGGAATGCTCGGAACAGGAAGAACACCAGGGTGAACGCCAGGACGATGGATATCTGTTCATCAATCCATTCAGCAAAAGCGTAAATCACTTGAGATCCAGAGAATCAAGCCAAGTTCTGTCGCAATCAAGTTGGTGCAGAGGCAGCAGCGGGCAACAAGCAACGTGAACCCGGCCCCCCCCTGGTCTTGACTCTGACAAAAGTGTTGTGAGCGGGAACCTTGATGGGCTGTGGATGGACAGCTTGTTTTTTTCTGCTGTCCGGGCGAACAGCAGCAGGCCTGACATAGACGTGGCATGATCGCGGCGCCCGACAGCCGTTCGCCGCCGATATCCATATTGCTTATCCGTAATCCGGGGATCAGAGAGTCAGGTTCATGGCCACTGGAATTTTAATTAAGATGGAAAACTGCCTTTGATCGGAGAACATCTCATCAGGAGATGAGATGGAAGCCATGTGTAATCCGGGTGCACTCTTTTATTGGAATAAGGATGACAATGATGGAACGACGGGTAAAAGCCAAAGATAACTCCGTCCCGTATCCGTCTCCATCCTAACTCCGTACCTGAGCTGCGAACTCCGTCGCCAGCCGATGCTACACTTGTCTCCCACACAACCATGCATAGGGGCCTATCCTAAAGCCAGCTTGCGCAGAAACAGCCGATGCAGCGTCTATTGACCACAAGCAAACTGAAGCTCTCCGAGAGCTCCTGAGAATACCGAGTAAGTAAGCTGGGTACAGTGTAGGATGCTGAAGGAGTAATAGTATACACCGTCGCCGACCTCAATATACACATTAATTCGAGCGAAGAAATAACCCATTAGGGACAAAGTCAACATCTAATCCACGAACGAAAATGACCGGCTCTCCAAACCATCACAACCTTGCCCGTCCCCCTTCCAGAGCCCTCCAATCGCCCGTCTCAAACCTCACATACTGCTCCCCCTTCAACCAATACACTTCATCACCCCCGGTCACCTTCCCCGGCTCAACGCCTTCTTGCCTCAGCACCGTCTTCACCTGCTTATTCGTTCCCGTCGCCTGCATCGCATCCCCTTTCACGACCCGAATGAATATGGGCAACGCATACTTCGGCAGCCGTTCCCTCACATAACTAGCTAAACTCTTCAGCGTCTCCTCCGTCGGCGTGGGTTTCTCTTTGCCGGCGACAAGCGTCTCGGGTTTAAACACAATGGCCGCACATCCAGCACGACCCTCGTGACGGGGAAGTTTCACCCCGTAGACATTCGCCTCCAAGACAGCGGGGTGTTGCCCCAGGACTTGTGCTACCTCGGCGGTGCTCACGTTCTCACTCTTCCACCGGAATGTGTCGCCCAGCCGGTCGGAGAAGAAGACTCGGTTTTCGCCGTCCCAACGGACCATATCCCCTGTCCGGAACCAGGCATCGCCCTTTTTGAAAACGTTGCGCATGATCTTTTTCGAGGTCGAGGAGCTGTCTTTGAAGTACCCCTGAAAGCGGGCCTCGACGTTTTTAGGGGGTAGTTTGAAGAGCAGTTCGCCGGGCTGGTTGAGAAGTGCCCGGCGACAGAAGCCGGTTTTGGGGTCTCTCATTGGTTCTTCAGTGTCCGGATCGACTTGCACGACGGCAATCGTCCTTCCAATGATGATGTTATAAAGCGACCCGGCCCGTCCGATCGCCCCGACACTGAACTCATTCCTCGACAGATTCCACGTCGCAAAGTTCCCCTCTGTAGCGCCATAAAACTCCGCGATGGTTTCGATCCCAAACCGCTCTTTGAAGCGGTTCCAGACGTCCGGACGCAAGCCGTTGCCGAAGGCGATGCGCACTTTGTGCTTGGTGTCCAGGTTCTCACCGGTCTGAGGGTCGATCTTGGGGGGCGCTGACAGTAAGTAGCGACAGGTCTCGCCGACGTATTGGATGATGTCTGCGCCGTGCTTGCGCACGTCGTCCCAGAAGGTGCGCGTCGAGAATTTGCGCGCGATGGCGAAGGTACCGCCCGCGGCGAGGGTGTGCGCGAAGCCAAGGCACATAGCTGTTGTGTGGTAGAGGGGCATTGCCTGGATTGTCAATAAGGAGAGCACTTTTGAAAAGAGGGAAAAAAAGGGGGAGGAGGCTTACTGTGTAGAAAACATCATTCTTCGTCGTCCCAATCCACCGCGACGTAAACCCCGCCACAACAACGACCTTGTCCCAGCTGACAATAGCGGCCTTGGGCAAGCCGGTCGTACCACTCGTATAAATAAGCATAGCCATATCCTTCCCCGTCACATCCGACCGCACCTCATCCGGCGGCCGCACCGCATCACAATATAGCATCTGCCTCTCCAACTCCTCCGTCACAACCTCAAACTTTGTGTCCTTCAACTCGGCCCTCACTTCCTCCGTCACATTGCTCGCAACAACAGGATCTACCAGCACAAGCCTCGCACTCGCCTTTTTCACACAATGTACCAACGGCTGCCCCGTCAAATTATAGTTCAACAACGCAGGCACCGCGCCCAATGCCCAAAGCGCCACTGCAAGAAAAATCAGCGTATCCGTGTTCTGCCACATCAACCCCACCATCTCGCCCTTCTTGACCCCCCGATTCTCCCTCAACCACGTCGCGTACCGCAAAACAGTATCATATGCCTGCGCGTAGGTATATGTCTTGTCTTCGAAGCGCAGGAAGATGCGGTTGGCTGAGGGGGGAGAGAGGGCGAGGTCTTCGAGGCGGTAGAACATGTTCAGGCGTCCGCGGGCTGTATGCCAAGTTTTGAGGGCGAGCGTGGGGACGATGGAACGCAGGAGGTGCAGGTCGTAGTAGAGTTGGGTGCGGGCGTTTAGGTAGGCGGCTGCTGCTGCGGCCGCGGGGACCGTTATGGAGAGGGGGACTGGGGGAAGTTAGAAAAACTGTTGACTGAGGGAGGTGAGTTTTGGATGTTTTGAAGAGGACTTACGGGAAGTCATATCTGAAATGCTGTGAACTGGTATTGTGGTTTAGGACGGGTGAACTGTTCAGAGGTATTGTAGTTGTGGATGGCGAACTGTGAATCAGTGTGATGTGTGTTTGGATCAGAGCTATGATTTCCCGACTACACTCAGTTCATAGAGCGCCAGTAGCAATTGACCAAGCCAAATGCGCATGAAGCTCTCAAAATCCAGAGAAACAGAATGCGATTTAGTCAAAGATGCCCCCCGGGCAAGCGGCATTGATCAGAGCGCCGTTGCGAACTCAAAAGTTGCTCTCTGCTCAACCAGGATACCCACGGGAAAGGGAGCGTCAGTCGACAGGGGTAGTAATTTCCGGAGATCACGGGCGGCGGATGACGGCAAGTTGCCGAGTGTAGGGAACGGTAGCGAGACAGGTGCAGCGATAGTAACGGCGGGTTGGAACGTAGGTGTGTTGTGTAACAGGTGATCCTCAGGTCCAGGTAATGATTATCGTGAGGAGGAGTTGTGTTGCTGAACTTGCTGTTGTCAAAAGAACGGTGAGCCGGAAGCTTCGGCGAAATTGCTGAGAATTTTGTTCAATCTGAGGGATGATTGAAGTAAAAAAAAATCAGGATATTGAGATATGACAGTGTTGTCCAAGTGGAAGAAGCCCTGAGCAGCCCATTGACTTCAAAGATCCAAGCAGATTGTAATCAGGTGCTGTCCGCAGCGAGCTCTCGACTCTGATGCGACAGGCATCGAACCCTTACATCAGTCAGGCTTGGAACTCGCCGCAGCTATCACCAATGCCAGCACCTGCCAATTGAACAGATATTACACTTGCAGCACTCAGCTTTTGAGCCTAAGCTGCTTGAACAGCAGAAAACAATGCAAACCGCAGAATCCGATTGAAGACGCTTCCCCGTTACGCGAACGCCCCGGCGATCCCTGCCTCGGACTCTGTTAACATGCATGATCCCATCACTCATGTGAAGCCGAGAGCTGAGTGGGCCCTTATTGGTACGTACCTCACCTTATCGCCAGGGCCTGCTTATCTCCACGTACGCGTTAACCAGATATGGGCAGGCCTTGCGTCCCTGGCAACGTCACGGCGCGTGTCATCAAGCATCCCGTTGCCGGTTCAGCATCGACTTCTAAGGTGCAGAGGCTGGGAGCGGAGGGCTGCATCACCATGACGACCCCGCAGCCGCTCTGGAAGGAGCCGCCCCCGGAAAAGCCGGCCGACAAGCGCCGGCGCGGCTTTGTGATTCTGTCATTTTGGCTCATCGTTGTGTTGCTTGGCTTGCCAATATGGTGGCAGACGACGACTATCTACCGGGCTGACCTGCCGCTGCAGGAGATGCTGGACTGGGCTGAGGGACGGGTATGAGTTCCAGGATTTTTTTTTCATGGTATTGAAATTACATACTGACTCTGTTCTCGCCAGGCCTGCCGCCCTGTCTTCCCTCTCCGCATCGCCGTCCAAGCCCCTTCTCTTCACGACCACGAAGCGCAGACCCTCGTCCGCTTAACCCAGCACGCCCTTGACGACCTGAACGACTTCGCCGGACACCACCTGCGCCTGTCGCTGGCAAAACAGTCTGCACCGAGTGCCGACCTCGACGTTGTCCTGACTGTCCGTCTGCTTCCTGGCGACGCGACTACCGCTCATCTGGACCCGTACGAGCCTGTGCTGCACGTCACATACCCCCCGAATGCGATCCCTTCTGCCTCGGCGTCGTCTTCGACGTTGGCAACGTACATTGCGAGTACTCTGAGAGAGGCTTTCGCCGAGGAGCAGGCTACCATCTCGTACCTCCTATCCGCCAATGGCTCGTCCCCCTCCAGCGGCGAGCCACGCCCCTTGGGCCAAGGCCTGGCACCCGACGTGGCCGAGTCGCTTGCTAAGCGCAGCACTCGCGCCCTGAGATATGCGCCGACCTATCACCTTACATTTTCCCTGTTCACAAGCGGCTCGACCCCAAGCAGCTGGGACATTGAGAAGGCCATCGAGGACTACATGAAGCCAGTCCTCGACGTCCTCTCACCGATTCACAACTTCACCATTGACACCCAGATCCAACTGTATGCCACTCCCGGCGTGCAAAACCAGGTCCTTACCAAAGAAGACCTCTCTTCTTTCATCAATGCCGCTGAATGGCCCCTCTCCCCGTCCATCGGCGGCGCGCCTACCATCAACTTTGTCGTCTTCATCGGCAACCAGACCATCTACATCCCCTCGTCAAGTGGAAGCGAATCAGTCAGCTCTCACTCCTGGCTCATCCCACAATGGGGCGCCGTCTACCTTTTGCCCCTCACCTCCGGCACCGCGCACCTCCCTTCCCACGAGCTCAAACACCCCCTCCTAACCTTTACCTCCCACCTCTTAACCCTTACCGGCACGCCTCACTCCGGTTCTCTACCCCTCCGTCTTTCGTCTTTGTCAAGGATTCGCTCCGCCGACCTCCTCCTCCGCGCCTCCTCCACCCTCGGCTCCCTCGCCCGCCTAGTTGTTGCCCTCCCCTCCATCAGCATCCCCCCCTCCGTCGCCGACGGGGTTGCTACGACACTCTCCCATCTTCGTCATGCATGCTACACGCTGGGTATGCCCGAGGCGTTGTATCATGCTCGGGTAGCAGAGGCGGCTGCAGAAAGGGCATTCTTTGAGAAGAGCATGGTCGGGCAGCTGTATTTCCCGGATGAGCATAAGGTCGCGGTGTATTTGCCTTTGTTGGGGCCTGTGGCGGTGCCGCTTCTGATGGGGGCGTGGAATGAGATTTTAGGGTGGGTTAGGAGGAGGGGAGTAAAGGGGAAGGTTGAGTAGGAGACGAGAATAGTAGGTTATGAGGACATTTGGTTTGTAGGAGGTATTGTTTTACTCCGTGGATAGTCACTGTTAATGAAATCACAGAATTAATCGTACCTTCGGCATGGCTATTTTCAAGCTTGGAAAGTAAAGGAGTGAGAGTGCCAGTGAGGCCTTGTGGGTCTTGAAGGAGCTCACTACTGCTTGGGAACTTGTTTGACATCAAGCCTTCTGACCACAAATGCCAGTGTATGCGTTTCGTATACCATTCTCCACCCTATATACGCCATAGAATCGGTTCAGGCAACCCTTATTATCCGTTTGTTGCGTCTTTACTATCCGTGGAAGAATCAAATAATTAACAGCCGGAAGTCTACCCGGTAAGTTAATCATACCGCTGTTAAAGGGGAGCTGACAGCGCGAGCGGATTTAGCTCAGTTGGGAGAGCGTCAGACTGAAGTCAAACTTCGGGAATTCAATCTGAAGGTCGTGTGTTCGATCCACACAAGCCGCATTTCTTTTGCCATTTTTTTTTTTGCTTTTGAAGCCCTGATCAGCTGCCGAAGACTTGAGAGCAGCACTGCTTTTTTTTTAAGGAGCGGGTGGTTGTAATTATGAGATGCTGCAATGTGGGCTCAGGGTTTGCCCTTCAATGGTACTCCCCTTTCGCTTCCCTCTTGTCCTCATTCAACATCCAAGGCAAGGTGCGTTCTAACGTCCAGAACACAATCCTTTGGCCGGTCAAACCCGTCCTTTTAGACTGAATCCTCTAACCCTTGCTGGTAATCATTAGGCTTATTACGTAGTCATGTCAAGGGGAATCAATATCTCCCTCTTTCCCTGTCATCACCATCCCTCTCTTCCATAGCTTTGTGCTCATCGACCTTTTTCTGCCCTCCAACCTCACTCCCTTGTCCATTCTTCCCTCCCTCCCCCCTGACCCTCTTACTCAAGATGACATAATCTGGTTCATAGATACGCCCGCCTCTTAAACGTCGTGGCACGGGCGAGATCTCGTCCGTCGAAAAGCCTAACTTTTTGTAAAATGCTAGTCCGCGCTCATTTGCCGCAAAGCAGGTTAGCATGACTTTGGTTACGGGGGGCATGTTATGTGCGATGGTAGTGTGGAAGGACATGAGGAGTTTTCCTAGTCCCGAGCTACGGTCCACCTGTTAGCGACTAAGCCATGTTCATGAGCGAGCTGGGAGAGGAGGAGAGCGGAGGGTTAACGCACCCTTGCAACTCAGGACAAAGGTGAATCTCATAACAGTACACCACTGGCTCACCCTCTTCGTAAGTCGGCATCAGCGAGGTGAATGCCTTTACCTCCCTTTTTGCTTGCCACTCATTCTTTAAGTTTACATGTTGCTCTTTAACGAGGATGTACCTCATTTCCGGCGCACGCATTTCCTTCAGTTTTTTTGACGGGTGCCATTTCCAGGTAGAAGCTTCATAATCCTTCCGGCTGGTGAGTTCGATTAAGGAGAAGCATCCGTGCAAGTCATCTTCCGAGAGGTTTGCTGAGCTGTGCAGAGTGATGGTATAAACTTTGGAGGTGAGGGGGTGTGTCCAGGTTGTTGGGAAAGGGCTTGAGGAGCTGAAAAGGGGTTAGTCCACGGAGTTGGTAGGGTAGAGAGGCAAGGGAAGACGAGACCGACTTGGGCTGGATGTAGTCTCGGATGAAGTCATCGTCAGTTTTACGGTGAGCGGCGTCGATTGGGCTTGTGGGAGCCCGTTTTCGTTTGGGCGACATTTACTTTGGAATTTTTTTTTAGGGGGGGAGGGTGATATTTCACAGAGAGCAGCAGGTCTGACAAGCAAGGTGTCGAGGACGACACATCCACGCGTGAGAATACGCGTAACGTAGGAGGATGTAATTACAACGATTTCAACCTTACAGGACGTTTATGTCATCACGTGAATTCATTTTGCGGCAGTTGAGGAAGGTTCGGCATTCAGCACCTCAAACATTTCGCATCTTTGAAAGTTGGAATGGCCCAATCGGTTCCGAAACGGAGGGTACCTTGGTGCTTGCTGTTAAGTGGCACGACTCATTTCTAGTCCGCCATTAGAGATCGTGTGTGTGTGTGTGTGTGTGTGTGTATGTTACGACATAGTAGCAAATGTATTTTCAATTATTTATTTTTGATAATGAAGGACAAAAATTCATACCGAAGCTTTTCCATAACAATCCCGTGCGTCTGCTGATTGGATTCGCTGCAGCCTGGCTCATCCCGTCCAACTAGTTAGCTAGGTAGGTGTTCCAGGCCACCAAGCTCCATCAGAAGCTGCCTACTTATGCGCCTTAGTGACCTTCATCTGTCCACGCAATGCCCTTTCCTGACTATCCTTATAGCATCAGGTTTTAAAGCCTACACATGACATTGTGACACAGGACTATACATGCTAGACGTCGAACAGCAGTTATCACTTCGACATCACAAGCTTTGCGGCCTTTCTGAGGGCCTGGAGGGAAGCCTTGTTGTAATTTGTGGGTATTGGGCGGCAAGCCAAGCCAATAGGTTTATAAGGTCTGCAGTTCCAGCGCTGTGTGGATGCATCTATCGCGAATCAAATCATAATTCGAGGTCACACAACTGTGAAGCATCCTGAGCCTACTATTTAGCCTTACCCCGCACTATCATTATGTTAGGTTGGTTAGGCATATATCACTCTTTTGAACTATGTCCTGGTTATATCGTCCCCAAAGGCACCCTGTTCGCGTTAGAGCTAAGATCATTTGTTATCTTGTTCATGTTAGATCTCTATGCTACCGCCCTTACTATATGAGTGCGCATTCTACACAACTCTCTTTCCTTATTCCTTTTTCATTGTGCCTCTTTCCTTCAATATTAACAGTACAAGCAATTAGACCAGAGCTGACTTTTGAAGTCCTGCTTCTTTTCTAACCTAGGGAAACAAGTGCAACTCCACAAACCCTTGTGCTTTGACCCAATGCTGAAACATAAGGCTCGGAGGTGGAAGGAGAAAATAATCGAAAAGCTTCCACTGTTTTTGACGTCCTACTTTGAAGACTTAAAGGGTACTAGTATCCAGGCTGGGCAGAGATCTGGTGTTATCAACACCGGCCCCCTTACGGTCAGCAACACCGGCGCTCTTGTTGCCAACGACACTGGCTCTCTTGCTGTCAGCAACGCCAACCCTCCCACTTTAAACAACACTGGTTCTGCTGCTGTCAACAACACTAATCCCCCTACTGTCAATAACACTGGCTCCCCTGGTATTACACCCGGCGTGCAGAACACTTTCCAGCCTGGTAGCATCCAGAACACTGGTCCTGGGACCGTTTTTGGTTCCGTTCAAACGCAGACGATCAATGTCTACCAAGCAGGTTTGTCCGGACCTTGATCTAGTTTGTGAGTAATAATCTTGTGGCCGATCTTGAACTGACATCCGTTCCATAAGATCAAAAACATGAAATACTTCAGTGGCTCTCTTCAGTGGATTATTCGTCACAACAAAACGACTTTCTGCGCCAAAGAGAAGAGGGTACAGGACAGTGGTTCTTACAATCTCCTCAGTTTCAGCAATGGTATAGTCCTTGTTTCTCTCATACCTGTCTCATTCCCATTATTCCTTAAGCTAACGAATCCACCAGGCTGTCAAAGAAGCCAATGACTCTATTCTGCCCCGGCATCCCTGGTGCTGGGAAGACTATGCTTGTATCCATCGTCATCGATTATCTCCAAAGGAACTTGGCAGGCTGTGACGTTGGCATCGCATACCTATACTGTAACTTTCGGCGCATCGAGGACCAAACGGTGGAGCAGCTCATTGCCAATCTCGTAAAGCAACTACTCAGGAACAAATTTCCACCGCCAACCGCAGTCATGGATGCCTATACTCGACACGAGAAGCATAGATCACAGCCATTGTTGAGCGATCTTGAGGAGATGTTCCATAATGTTACCACCTTGTACAAGGGCGGAGTTTTCGTTATTGTTGATGCGCTGGACGAGTGCCAGATGAGCGACAATGTTCGTTCCAAGTTCATTGAAGCCTTACAGCGCCTTCACTCCAGAGAAACTAATGTCAACCTCCTGGCCACATCTCGCCCTCTACCTGATATTGTGGAAGCCTTTGATGGGCACTCCTGCCTTGAGATCGTGGCCCAAAAGGACGATATCGAGAGATACATGCGTAATCAGATGCCCAATTTGCGCGCTGTCTCAAAATACCCGGACTTCCAAAATGAGATCATTAGTTGTATTGTCAGTGTCGCAGATGGCATGTAAGTTATCGTTTCTACAAAACATGGGTCATTGATTCAATTGAGCATATGCTTATCTTCGAAATCAGGTTTCTACTTGCCTACCTCTTCTTCGAGTCCTTGAAGAATAAAGTTAGCGCAAAGCGCATCCGTGAAACACTTGACACGCTTCGCACCAACTCTCAAAAAAAGGATCCAAAGCTGGCCCTACTACACCAGGCATATAACGACGCAATGGAGCGAGTCAATGGGCAGCCAGATGATCACAAGAAACTCGCCCACCATGTGTTATCCTGGATCATCTGCGCCAAACGTCCTCTCAAAACGATAGAGGTTCAGTATGCATGGGCTGTCAAGGATAGTGAGAACGAGATTGATGAAACTGCGATCCCTGATGCTGGAGACATGCTTTCGGCATGTTGTGGGCTCGTTGTGATCGACAAAGAAAGCGAAATCATTCGACTCGTCCACTATACAGTTCAGGAATATTTCCAGGATACTTCGACTCAGTGGTTTCCAAACGCCCACCTCGATATCGCAGATACCTGCGTGTCATACCTTTCGTTCAAAGACTTTTCGGGTGGTCCTGTCAGGACGATTGAGGACGCAGATGAACGACTTGGAAAACCTCTCTTTACCTATGCTGTTGACTACTGGGGACAGCATGCATCTGCGTGTTCGTTCTACACTCCTCAGCTGCTTGAGTTATTGACAAATCCGGAATGGGTCAGTATGGTGGCACAACTTTGTAACATCTTTTCCGAAATCAGAAAGTATCCTTGGGTTTCGTCACATGGTTTGATGCCATCTCAGAATGCATTTCACGTGGTTAGTGTCTACGGGCTCAATAATTTAGTCCAAGGGCTACTTTTTCGTGCAAAGGATATTGATCCAGACTGGAAAGACAACAAAGGCCGGACGCCGCTGAGTTTGGCTGCAGGGCATGGCCATACGGAGGTTGTTAAAAC